CTTACGCGTTCGGCATCCATGCTCTGAACCCATGCATGGTATGGCTGGCTGTAATTTCCGATTTTATGCTTTTATGCCTTTATACTCACTTTATGCTTGGGATCTACATTTCGGCTGACCTGGCCTGTGCATTTACTTCCCCTATCAAAAATCGACGACGACTACTATCTGTTCGCAAAACTCACCTTATAATAGGGTTGTGGTGGAACTCTTGATAGGGTTGGTGTCGCATATGCCAGGCCTAACTCATACTCGATTTTAAGCCTCATCCGAGCTTATTTGGACGTAACCCTAATAAATGAATCTAATCAAATGAATCTTATGGCCTCGGCAAATCCACGCTAGTGGGTTGTATGGAGAATCAAATGAATCTTATATTAGATTCATTCAACAATAATGGATAGGTCTATAGCTAGCACTCTTGCTATAATGGAGTTGTTTTATATTTGTCTGCCTTTTAATTATAAGTAGATATATAATACTGCATTTAAGATAAGTAAGTAGTTAGAAAAGTGCTATATAGCAGGTACTAGACTCTGCTAAACACCTTAAGATAATCTAACCTAGTAACTTTACTTTAAGGCTTCTACTTGCATAGCTCTTAGACTATTCTTAGGGTTAGCGTCTAGATATAAGCTAAGTAGGTCTTAAGCACCTAGCTAAGCAGGCGGTGCAGTTTAGCTTGCAGGTGTTGCTTAATACTAGCGGCGCTAGGGATAATATACATCTAGCACTACTTATAGACTAAAACTTAGTATAGGGGGTTATAAGTAAGCTTGCTAGCTATTATAAATAATAATAACACAGGAAAATATAATAAGAAGAGGGTATAAGGCTAGATAGAGGAGGGAAAACGAAATTGTATTTCCTACTAGAATGTTTCCCAGCGGAATCTAGGGACGTGCTAGGGGGGGACGGACCAGGTCGGGGCCCGTGCGCGTGCTTTCCACCGGGAAACCGCCCGCGCATAAGAGGTAGGAAATTGATAAAGACACCGAAAGACTTCTTAATACCAGACTGGTTATTAAGTTAGTCAGTCAGTCATCAGTTGAGACCAAGAGAGCAGCTGACTGACTGATAACTTACGCGGTAAATAACTGACTGACTGATATCACCACCTCTGACTGACTGACTGATGTCAAAGGCTTCAACTGATGAGGTGACTTAAATAGCGACTGACTGATGAAGATACACCCTCTACTATCGTCCACGAGATCGCCGACTCGAATCTCCCTTCTGCCGACAAGTCTTTACCGCGCGTTCTCAATAAAGTCCAGACCATTGTAGGTGCTGGTTTGGAGACTGTCTTCGGCGTATTGAGATCGGTGCTGTATCACGTTTTTAACAACGCTGAGGTGCTTCAACGTCTGCGGGCTAAGCTCCTGACAGTCAGTAGGGTATCGTCTTCTGAGGATATTATGGAATTTAAAAAGTTTGAGCAGCTGCCGTACTTGACATCCATTATCATGGAAGCCTTGCGGCTGAGTCCGGCGATCGGGTCGAGAATGGCCCGCATCATTCCTGATGAAGGCCTGCTCTACGGGAATTGGAGCATTCCGGCCGGAACGCCTGTGGGAATGATAACCATTCTGATGCATTTTGACGAAACGCTGTACCTGGAGCCGTTCAGCTTCAATCCTGACCATTGGATGGACATCGAGAAGCGTAAGAAGTTTGGCAAGATTTATGCACCCTTCTCGAGAGGATTAAGGATGTGAGCGGACATGCAGTATGTTCTTTTTTCTTCTCATTTCTGGGCTTTGACTTCCTGTTTGTGTCCTTTTTACTAACGCAGCCTTATGATCCAGCCTTGCATGGGCCGATCTGTAGTTCACTCTTGCCGCCCTTGCTCCTCATTTCGACTTCACATTCCAAGATATTCGGGCTTCAGACTTCCGAATGAGAGATGAATTCGTCATCGGGACAAAAGCTAAATCAATGCTTAAATGCCGTGTGACCCTACGCGAGACGTGATACAATGGACGGGACTTGAGCAGACATTGCGCGTGTTACGACCCTGCGAGGAAGACGTGGGGAACTACAGTAGGGCCTGAGTAGGGCAGGGTGAATATGTCCCGGTGCCTTGCCTTGCCGTACCTGAAGTACGGGCGAAACCAAAGGTCCAACACAGTTTAGTGTATCCAAGGCTGCTTCCAGCCGGTTTCCCGTTGCCAGCTTCTGGTCGAGCTGTAGCTGGATTTGCTCGGGTCCTGGGCTACTGTAGGATTATGTCGGCGCTAGCAGAGGGGGTCTAAACTAGAAATTAGCGGATAGAAAGGCGGGGGGTCGGGTCCGGATGACAAGTACCGGTACTCTATACAGGAGCAGGTAGGCTTGTGGCCAGTTCTTTCCAGGAGGGTGGACATGGTCATAATTGGTTGTAGGAATCTGAATCTGAATCTGGGAAATGAAGGATCGCTGAAGCATAATAACATGTGCTAGTTCTAATTCTAAGTTTCTCGCAGCCAAGGCCATGATTCATCTAAAAATGAACTTCAAGGGCGCTTCCGGGTGATGTGGTGTGATTCAGTTAACTCCCGCTCCGATGTAGTAACACATCTTGGAAGCTCATAGAAAACTTCACCAAGGGCACCATCAGGTGAGGCTGCCTTCTCGAAGCTTAACAGTCTAAAGTCTCTTCACAAACTCGTAGAAATCTTGAAGTTAGATTATACTTCAACTGTGGCACAGTCCGGTGAGAAGTTTTTCCGTCACTACAACGCAAACGGCAACGCCACCCGTTTTCCAAATGAGTGCATCGTCCCTATAATCGAGACAAACTTTCATATAAACGCTAATATATATGTATTTTGCTTAAATGAATGCCTAGGCTCTAAGGTAAGTATTAAAGATAATTTAGGAGAAAAGTGTGGTATATAAGGTGTATTATGTCTGCCAATCCGTACAACGTATAAATTTCCTTTTCAGGACAAACCATTCCTGCAAGGACAGGGGTTATTTCTATTTTCAACCCCTAATTGCAGCATCTCGACATACTCGTACGCTATATATCCAGACGATCCAGACGTCGTACATCGTTCATCGTTCATATTACCAACTTCAACCATTTACCCAGACTCGACTCTTGCGTTGTGAAACTGTTATCCATACCGGTAGCCAATTGACAGCAAGCTTAAATTGAAACTCCGCTCAGCTGATATCATGTCGTCAAACCAAAGACGGTTCCATTCAAAATCACGCAGAGGATGCAAAGAATGTAAGAAGAAGAGAACAAAGGTAAGAAAGTGATCCAAGTACTTAATCGTAGAACTGATCTTGATTGATGTAAAAGTGTGATGAAACAAAACCCCGCTGCTTGAAGTGCATCAAGCAAGGAGCACCATGTTCATTTATCGAGTCTTCACTTATGGTCATAGCCTCCCACCAAAGTCGATATGCAACAGATATAGGCGACTTTACTCCAGATTCTCACGCCAAGCCGAATATGTTGCTTCCGCCCCTCAGGTTTAGACATGTGCCTAGTCAATCCCCTACATACAGCATTCCCATGAGTCTTGACCCTATGGTGTTTCCCTCCACACCTACCACACGCGGAGACATCGATGCGCTACGACTCATCCATCATTTTACCATATCCACATGTAAAAGTATTTCGGATGCAGATAACACAATCACGTCGTGGAGAGACAATGTCCCACAATTAGCCTTTGAACACGACTTCCTCCTCTCATGTGTATTAGCCGTCACTTGTCTACATCTAGCCATTCTACATCCCTCCGACGCCTATCGAAATGCCGCCCTCTATTACCACACAGAAGCATTAGCTCGATTTCGACTTCATCTATCATCAATCACCCCTAAGAATCTCTCTTCGGTATTCGCATTCGCGTGCTTAATGCCATTATTCTCATTCGGGATCTACTGCACCCCCTTACGCCGTTTAGATACTCTCTCGGGGATTTTGGAGATATTTAATTTGATGAAGTTCATCGCCGCACTAGTCAAGTCCAGCGCGCGAATGCTTCATCCAAAGCAATTCCCACAAGTTGGAGTTCCAGAAGTAAATAATCCTGCTACGACATTTCCTGAAGAGATTGAAGCTTCGCTCACACAGTTGTCTGATTGGAATAACACAATAACTTCAGATGAAGCTCTTCGAGGTACATATGGGGCAGCGATTGATCTGATGCGAACTAGTTTCTTGATAGCCCATGAACAACCAGGTAAGAAGATGGCCGTGATGCCTTTTCCCATCCAATGTCCGGTGGAATATGTAGATAAGTTGATGGCGAAGGATCCGCTTGCCTTGGCCATTCTCGCACACTATGCTGTGATAGTGCATTGGTTGAGAGGGGAGCACATATGGATGCGAGGTTGGGGGAAGGATATTGTGGATGCGGTAAAGGAGAACCTTGGTGATCAAAAGGAGTGGCTCGATTGCATCGAGTGGCCCATGGGTCAAGTCCAGCGTGTTTAATAAGTGTAGAGTTGAAGATAACTTTTAAATAAGTAGTTGTAACTTGTATATAATCCACATAGCCCCATCTACAGATATCATTCATGACTCTGAGAGTGTAAGCAGATAGCAGTAGTTTGTAAATACATAAAAATACATTATCAATCGTGTAGGGATGAGAGAAAGAATGGGACACACAGTCAGCGAGAAGAAGGGAGAGGGGAGGTGTGTGAGAGGAAGTGAGGTGAGCTGAGCTGGTGAGGTATGGTATACCTAGGTGCAGGGATCGGATCAACCTTATTTCCACTAGCGCCCTTCTCTCCTTTGATGAAAATCTGGGGAACATCAAGCGCAGCACAGCAAAGGAGAAAGATGCAAACAACACCAAAAAGTGCCTCCCTTTCTTCTCGATTCTGTTTCTGGTTGTGCCTTCATGCCCATATCTACCGTAAATAAGTAATCACATATACTTCTACATCCCTTCTCGGCATGCCGGCCTAACACCTTCGCGGATGGAACAATACTGCCATCTGCCATCCCGAAGCTTAACAAGTGCTGGTGCTGCCAGCTTCAACTCAACACGATGACGAGAAGAATTGTGAGTATATACACTGGTTGGTGTGCAAATTTACATCACCTTTCGTATTGACTGCCTATTCTCCGATTTCTACCCAGAAATACCTCTGGTCCCTTTTTGATCGCCCTCACCATACACCTCTCCGCACACTCCCACTTGCCTGGCTCAAGCTGACCATACATACTACAGGTTCGCACAATAACCCAGCTGGCAGCGTTAACAGCCCTCACCATTGTCGTCGTCTACTTCCTCGATAATCAATTTCGCGTCCTGCCTTCCGCTATACACAATGTTATGCCCGCGCATCACCCAGGACTGGTCATCACAGACATCACCGTCACATCATGCTCGCATATAAACCTCTTCAGCAGCTGCAAACTGGACGCCAACGTGTGGCACCGCGTTGAGAAAGACTTGTACCTTCGCAGTGGATGGGTCTCGAGCGCATACGTACATGTAAAGCGGAAGAAGGAAGAGGAATTGCTCGCAGACGACAAGGTCCTTGTCGACATCTCGGTCGGCAGACTAGATCCGTCGAATGGACAAAAGGGAGAAGCAGATGAACGATGGGAATCAAGGCCAGCGGGGCTCTGGATAAAACGATCGGCGAAACGACACGCGAGCGATTCCCAAGATGCGATTACCGCTGTAGATGTTTTGTTTGGCGCCGATGCTGTAGATCCACGGGACCGATGGTCAATGGTCGGCACACCACTTTTGCTGGATACATCCGGGGAGGTTCAGGAAGCCCGATTGAGTGTCAGAAGAGGGAAGCCTTCAAGTCCTCCGAAAGTCATACCACGAATAGACGGAAACGGGAAATTCAAGATCATGCAGGTGGCAGACTTACACCTGAGCACTGGAACTGGGCATTGCAGAGATGAGCAGCCTGTTGGGCTAAATGGTGGAAAATGCGAAGCAGATCCGCGAACTTTGGAATTCGTTTCACGCCTCCTAGATGAGGAGAAGCCCGATCTCATCATCCTAAGTGGCGACCAGGTCAATGGAGAGACAGCTCCAGATGCGCAGAGTGTACGTTTCTTTTATCTCCCGTTCTGCGTATAGTATCTAACATTAAAAAGGCAATCTTCAAGTATGCGGAACTCTTTGTTGAGCGCAAGATTCCTTATGCCTCTATCTTTGGAAATCATGATGATGAAGGGTCCCTCCCTCGAGCGCAGCAGATGGATTTAGTCGAAGCCCTGCCATACTCCCTCTCCCTAGCCGGGCCAGAAGATATTGATGGGGTAGGAAACTATTATGTGGAGGTTCTTGCACGAGGAGGCTCTAAACATTCCGCCCTGACCATCTATCTTCTGGACACCCATGCATATTCGCCAGACGAACATTCATTCAAGGGATACGACTGGCTGAAGAAGAACCAGATTAATTGGTTCAAGGAGACTGCGCAAGATTTGAAGAAGGCGCATCAAGGATACACGCATATTCATATGGATCTAGCATTCATCCATATACCACTGCCAGAGTATAATGATGAAGCGCTACCTCGCAAGGGAGCATGGAGAGAGGGTGTAACGGCGCCTGGATTCAATTCAGGATTCAGGGATGCCTTGGTTGAAGAAGGTGTCGTGCTTGTTAGTTGTGGCCAGTAAGTTCTCTCTGCACTGATCATCACCCATTCTAACCATCACAGCGACCACGCGAACGAATACTGTGCCCTTTCAAGCAACGAAAATGATAATCCGGCGCTCTGGATGTGCTACGCAGGTGGTGCGGGCTTTGGGGGCTATGGCGGATACGGAGGCTACCACCGACGGATACGCTTCTTCGATATCGACATGAACGAAGCGCGGATAACGACCTACAAGCGTATTGAGTATGGCGATACGGAGCACAGGGTCGATGAGCAGATTATAGTTGAGGGAGGACGTGCTATCTCGCTTCAAGAGTAGTTATAACGTGGGCAGGGCTGGCGGCGTTTTGGAAGGTGCATAGCGTGAATGGAACGGCCGTATTTATTGTGGAATTTCATTGTATCTCATCTGGGACTGTATAAAGATAATGATGATACCATTTTCAGCTCATATTTGAGATGATGGTTCTGGCCTCTGGGAAGTTGTTCTTATTTTGTATGACCTACCAAAAGCAATGCTAGTAGCAAGCGCTGTAAAGATCCCCGCAAGTGCGGTAACGAACTCGTGTGTTCATCTCTAAAACTATTTCGTTCAAGAATGTAACACCTGTATAAATAGCTTCAGTTTACCCACATGTCCAATCAGTCATCTTTTCAGGCCGTCCAGTATTTCTTGCGCCCCAGCAAATTGGAATTCTGTCATCGTTTCCTGCCACAGCTGCTCTCGCGCCGCTTCTCCCTCGGGCGTGTAAACAAATGCAGGAAACCTGAATGACGGTCGTTAGTTCTTCCTTGATTGCATTGCCTTCTCCAAATTGACAGATATGTCAGGGGGACGAAGGCGGGCAGAAGAAACTTACGGTGAAATCTTCCAGTTAGCCACGTAACAACCATGCGAGTCCTTTCCTTTGACGATCGCTGCATCGATATATGCAGATGCGCCAACAGGCAGAGTTCGTCCCAAGACAGCCTTGAAGCTGTAGAAGAAAGCAGCCACAAGCAGTGGTGCACCACGTTGCAGGTCTGTATTTTTGACCATTCCCGGATCTGCAAGATTTACAACGACATCGTCAGCGCTAACATAGCGCAACAGGTCAATCAAGAACAGATGCGCCAACATCTTGCTAACAGCGTATCGTTCGACGGGATCCCACGGTCGCGACTTGTCGTCGAGAGCAGACAGTACTAGTCCCCCATTGGGCTCGGAGATCGTAGCGCCACGCGCGGTGCCCGAATTTATGATAGTAAGCCTACCTGGTCCTGAGGGTGACTTGGCCTTCAGTGACGGGAGGAGGAGGATGCCGAGAAGCATGGTGGAGAGATAGTTCACCTGAATCAATGTCTCATGTCCCGTATTGGGGATCACAGCGAAGTTGCCGATCTGCATCCCCGCGTTAAGGATAGCGATGTCCAAGCGGGAGAGGTCGTCATTAACACGGCGAGCAAATGCCTGAATAGAGTCGTATGACTCCATCTCGAGAGACCAGACTTGGATATCAGCCTTTGGAAATTGGTGACGGAATCTGGACGCAACTGTCTCGCCCTTTGCCGTTGACCGTACAGCCATGATTAGGCTCGATAGGCCGAAGGATAGAAGCTGGCGAGATGCTTCGAGCCCGAGACCACTGCTTGAACCTGTCACGATGGCGACTTTGCCTTCCAGATTTGTGTCTTTCGGGGGCCACTGGACTGGGGAACATAACTGTGATTTCAGAAACAGAGATCTGGGGCTCTCTTGGGGAGGCCCAAGATTGAATGATGCTGATGTGGCCATGATCGAGTAAAGGTGAAAGAAGGTTTTGCAAATGCCAGGTCAGCCTCCTCAAACGAATTTGATCAGTAGCGTGGCAAAGATCAGGAGGAATAATGAATGGAAAATGACCCAACAGCTGGCCATCGACAGCACCATATATACTAATAAGAAGGCTGGCTCATTGCAATCACAATGCGCGCGAAACATTGGCCGAAATTACCAGGTACTTCTCGGACCTCAAATGTCATGGCTATTCTGAATCTTCTCATCACAAAATCAGTACAAAGAGTTTAAAGGAAGTTGTCGATCTCATCTATCCCATCGTATTCAGACATGCGCTAAACCGCATTAGGAATACAATCTGTTCTGGTACAAGCGCCTCCATGGCGCTTACCGCTGAGATTCCCGATGTTCCTCATTGATTCCCCATTACTCCATACCATTCGCATTTTTGCTTCTACTTCTTTTATTTTACAATAGTGCTTACCTATAATTGTTAATCAAAGGCATACATGTGCATAATCACCACATCGACTCGTTCTCTCTATGCTTCTAAACCCTTGCCAACCCGTGACAATGGTACCACCCAGCGGTGAAATACCTTTCATCATTACCACCCCAGTGATGCAGTCAGTCGAAGAAAAACGCAAATTTATACGCAGTCATGTTATGCGCGGCAAGAACTGTAGGAAGATGCCCCTACGTCCCCAGTCACGTGTTGGTAGCGGCAAAATCAACGAAAAAGTCCACACGAATAGGGAATATGCTCTTGCTATTCCAGCCAAGGTTGGGGGCGAGTGCTCCCTTACTGCTCTATCGGCTGAATTAACCCCAGACGTGCTCGCGACCATCTGGAGACGTAAGCAATACCCCTCCTCTGCTGAGCCATTTCGAGAGGATGCGGTTATAGCTAACAGTAATAAGTTAGAGAGATAATGTTTCCCGTTGAGTTAAGTCTGGTGTTCTCTCGATCCAAATCGTCGTGGCTAAGACCTATATTGAGCGACGCGGCTTGCCTTCACTTTACCGTCTTTGTGACCAAAACGTACTTGGACTTTGTGCACAAGCAGAACGAGCAAAATAATAAAACAGCTCAAGCCCATTTCGTCAAGGCGCTAAGTATCCTCCAACAGCGTCTGGCGAACAGTGATAATGAGATATCCACTTCCGACTCAACCATCTTGATCGTTGTCGGCCTAACCATGGTAGCGACTTTCCGTGGCGATTACAAGACTGCTTTGAAGCATCTTAGGGGCTTGCAAAACATGGTTATGTTAAGGGGAGGTTTTGCAGCGCTTGAAGAAAACAAACAGTTGCAAACTAAGATTTTCCGGCAAGTTGAACCTATCCTGTGATATAAAACGGCACATTGCTGACTTCACAAGTGCTGATCTCAGGGTGGCGCTCGGCGCGGGTTGTAAACCCATTTTCTTCAGCGATGGCTACTCGTGGGATCATCGTGCTGTCTCGCAAGAAATTAAACCCATCTTATGCGCCGTAGAACCATACCCAAATGTCCGTCTCCCCTCCTCGGAGCTCAGAAACTTTCTCGAAAGTCTAGATATCCAACTCCGTCTGCTCTGGAATACGCTCTCCGAATACGTACAAAGCACCAATACCACCACAGAGTTCGACGATGAAGCCCACCAGACAACCTTTGTATCAATTCATTATCATCTCCTCAACCTCAACTTCGAAGCTAGCAACGTGAACGAAACCATGCGCTATGCACTGCTAGCATTTTCCAGTAGCGCTTTTCTCGCATGGCGCGGTATCAAGAACCGGTACGAATACCTGGCTCAATCATTCAGAAGCGCGATTACTATGCTCACTACTGCGTTGCCGGCTCAGCTTTCGCTCTGGTTGTATGTCATGGGCGCCATTTGTGTCTTTGACGAGAGCGAGCGAGCTTGGTTGCAGCCTGCTTTGATCGAGGTTCTTGAAAATATGCGCTTGACGTCTTGGAGTGAAGTTAGGTTCTTTCTGAAGACTGTTCTGTGGGTGGATGCGTTGCATGATGCACCAGCAAAGCAGGCGGTTGAAGCCGCACTACATCAGTAGTATCTGCTATGCTCAGGGGCGTATAACCATCCTTCCCCGATACCCTTGTACCAGGTCTCTGTTCACGAGTCACAGGCATAATGTTATTGATATTCCAATCCTGTTGTTCATATGATTTTCATTACATTCTACTCCTAAAAGAGGTCCACCAACTCCACTCCGTCATATTCGTTACATTACTACCCAATACATTACTTCCGAAGTCGAATATCTCCATCTTTCAAAATCTGAACAGCCTCATCCCATCCTCTGGATGCAGCCATCTCCACAACGGTCTTTCCCATTTCGTCCTTGACTTCCAAGTCGAAGCCAGCTTTCTTGTTCAGGATCTCCAGAACATCCAGGTCACCATTCTCGACCGCTTGCATGATTCCATTCCAACCGCGGTATATCTTGTTGGGATCTGCGCCATGGGCGAGAAGTAATTCCAACATCTCTGTATCTTCGCCATGAAAACGGCGCAGAGCCTTGACGATTGGTAGATGCTCTCCAGGCGCATTAACATCCGCACCACCGTCTGTGAGCAGGTACTTAACAATATCCCTACGATTCTCTCGAAGAGCGGTTGTAAGAGGGGAGAAGACGCCGCCGTTCTTGTCCTCGACGGAGATGCCAGCAGCGAGGAGAAGCTTCATGGATTCAAGCTGGTTAGCTGATACCGCCATCTCCATGACTCCTTTGAAGGCGCGAGGTTCGGAGATTTCTAGGAGAAGGCGTTTGAGAATCAGAGGATTGCGGACAGCCATGCAGATCGGCCAGTCTTGTCCCCGCATATTAGGATCGGCTCCTCGCAACAGCAGCAAGTCGACCATGTCGAAGCGGCCTTCGCGGATAGCCGAGGTCAGCGGAGACGCACCCTTGGTGCCCTTGTCGTTGGGATTCAGACCTTGGTCCAGCAGCCAGTTCAAAGCTTCCAGGTTCTTATAGGTGACGGCTGTTTCTACGATGCCCTTGGGATTGTGGAGGTCTGCGCCGGCTTCGACGAGAATGGGCAGGAAGTGGAGTCTCTTGTGGGTTATGCATTTGAAGATTGGGTACTCGCTCGCCATGATCCCCGGATTAGCTCCATTGGCAAGGAGAAGACGGAGGATGGACTCTCGATTGTCTCGAATGGCTGTACACAGAGGCGTATAGATGCCATCCTTCTTCGTATCCGGGCTGACGCCAGCCTTGAGCAGGAGGCGCACCGACTCGATGTTGTTGAAGCCGACAGCAAGTTCCATGATTCCGGGAGCCCTCTTCGGGTCCGCACCGTGAGCAAGCAGGACCTGCAAGCAAGGCGCTTGGTGCGTCGACGGCCACAGCATGTGCTTTGGACCAGGCAAGTTTGGGTCTGCACCATGGTCTAGCAAACTGGCTACGATATCTGCCCTACCAACTTGAATTGCCTCGAACAAAGCGGTCACGCCTTCTCTGCTCTTGGCATTGGGTTCTGCGCCATAGTCGAGGAGGCAATCAATGAACTTCTTGGGTGTCTTCTTTTTGATGGCGCTGTTGAGAAGCGTGTTACCAGTAGCCGTGATGGTGTTTTCATCGCCATTATAGGTCAGCAATAAATGAGACATGCCTACCATATTGGCAATAACGGCATGGGAGAGTGGGGATTCCAACTCTGGCCCAGCCACGAGATTCGGGTCGGCGCCGTACTTGAGCAGTATAGTTGCCGCTCCGAGGAAGGATTGAGTGACTGCTGCGAAGAGTGGGGTGACGCCATCTCTGTCTAGTTCGTTGGTATCAGCGCCGTAGACAAGCAAAAGGCGTATAATCTCTTCATCACGGACAAGGATGGCCTCTTTCAATGCATGCACGTGCGGGCCCGTGTTTGGCGAGACACCACGATTGAGCAACTGCTCGACAACTTTGTGATTCTTGCCGCGAATAGCAGACATGAGGTGGGCTTTCAGATTAGACGTGTCGGAATCTGTAGAGTTGCGAGCATAAATGCGCGGCATGTTGGCGGGCTCAACCTTGTGGCGAACGGCTTTACCATGACCAATGTCCAAATGAGAGATATCTTCGTGGAAGGTGTCAGACTCGGTGATACCTGTCATCTGAGAACGGGCATCGTCGTTGACACTACCTCTGTCGTGCGAATCGTTCATCGCGGAATATTGCCACTCGTTGGTTGATGCAGGTGTTGAAGTCGTAAGAATAACCGGGCTCGAAGGCATTCTGATTCCGGAATCATTACCATAACCTGGGCCTGGTCTGCCGGGTAAATCTTTGTGTTGAATCGAAGACGATCTGTTGGTCCAGCTCGGAGCTTGCTGGAATTGTTGTTGATGCTGCTGCTGATTCTGCTGGTAAAGTTGTTGCTGCTGTTGGAAGCTATTCTGGTCATCTGCTACTTCATAGGGCATCACTGCTGGCATCTGATGTTGGATGCTGTTGTGACCCGCACTCCTAACACTTCCAGCACGGCCACTGCCATTGCCATTGTTATTGCCATTTCCGTTTCCATTTCCATTTCCATTTCCATTGCCGTTGCCAATGCCAATGCCAATGCCACTGTTGTTGCCATTGCCGTTGCCATTACGACTGATGTTGCCATTGCCAGAGTTATGATCCATCCTATCCAGCGCGGCGGCCAATCCAGTGTATCCAATACCCATCTCTCTCTCGACCTTGTCGCTTCCCAGACTCCATTGGAAGACGAGCGAGCTCATCCTTAGGCTTTCGCGCGTCTTTCTCAGAGCAGATGTCAACTTCTTGATATCCTGATCACCAAACATCCTACCCCATGCGCGCTTCATGCCACTGGTGTGACCGAGAACCTTTCCCAGCATCTGGTCGAGCATCTGGAAGTCAGCCTGCGTAACTCGGAACTTGATGCAGAGCTCTGTGATCAGTTCAGGAGGGAATCGCTGTCCGGTGCGATTATATTCACTTAGACCCGCCTCGATGGAGAAGAGAATCTGACAGATGTCGAGAAAGTCGTGCGCCAAGACTTCAAAGCCATCGGGGAGCGCTTTGCCGGATGTCAGACACTCTAATATATGGACCGAGATGCGATCAATGAAGCTCGTGGTCTTGTGGCAGACGTCGAGGCATTGGGTCTGAGCCTTCTGGCCACCCTTGGAGGTGGTAGCCATGGGAGTAGTGGGAGTAGTCGTGGGCTTTGACTCTGTTTCTGTCTTGGTAGGGTTTGGGTTTGGGCTTGGTTTTGGTTTTGGTTTTGGTGTTGAGGTTGTGGTTGTGGTGGGGGGTGGAGGTGGAGGTGGGAGCACGTGCTGGTGGTGATGCAGGTGTTTGTGTTGCTGCTGGAGGAAGGGTAATTGGAGGGATCGTCTTAAGGAGAGTATTGTTTTTATTGCCGGTATGGGCAGTATTCTTCGGAGGGGTCTTTTGTCGCGGTGGATTCTGCCGAGCTGTGTTGTGTCGAGATGCAGTACCTATATCTTTCGGTGGGATTTTGTGGGTATGGGTATCTTTGTCTTTGGCGGGCACATGGGGTTTTGTGGTAGCAGTCAAGGTAGGAGAATCCGGAAGACCCAAGCCTTTTCCGGATATAAGGGCGTTTTCTTTGGATTCAAAGAAGAGAGCCTCGAAAAAAGAAAACTCCCCGTCTTCTGTTCCTTTGGGTATTAGAATTGGTTGAGAAGTCATGCTAGAAAAGTGAAAGGAAAAATACCGTCGTGGTGTGTGGTGGTGGTGGTGGTGGTGGAGGTGGGTATGCAGAGAGAGGGTGGAGGTGGAGGTAAAGACTGGGCGGCTGATAGGGAGCAAGCTAGGTATATGAGGTTAACATCTGTGCCCGCGGGGTTTACTAGATATAGGCCAGAATCAATAATTCACATGGCGTAGGTCTAAGCGTTCCTTAGCTAGGTTCAAGGATTAGATTGCATAGGAAAGTGATCTCAAGTCACCGGCATTCGACTTCTATTCGGCTAGATTCGTTTGAAAAGGCCATGGGCTTGGACCCATCGCACCTATAAGGTTAGGAAGTTGGTCTAGAAGGCTAGAAAGGTGTCCCATAAGGTTAGCAAGTTTGCCCTATAGGTTAGCAAGTCTGTCCTCGGGGAGGTATATATCCTAATAGACCCATCACATCAAGTTGGTTCTTGAAGCCGCTTCAATTCGGTGTTACAAATCAATTGGTTTGATAGCGAAAGCATATCATACTCTCTTTCTAAACGCTCTTGCCGCGTGTTTTTCATACCTGAAGTAATTATACCTAGGGAAGCTATATGATAAGTTTCTTATGACCGGTCTCTGGCGGACTAGCAAATTAGACAAGATGTCCGTTTGTTATGGTAAAATTAGGGAATGGTATGCGGATACGGCACGTCTATTCTTACTCTGCTCCGTCGACTTCCCGTACCACTAGCACGAGGGCGAGCACCAGCACGAGCACGATCACGATCTAAGATGGTATACATAGGTCATAACGTCTTGATAGGTACTGGAGGTATTCGTCCGCACTTAGGTCCTTGATATATACACGGTGCTAGTGAATATGCACCACTGCGCAGCTGTGGTAGATCTTTGGTCCCCCCCCCCCTCCCCACCTTCTCCCAGGCCCCAGGGAAGATCCTGGATCTCAGATCCTTCATCTGACAGACGACAGGGAATCTCGGGACGATCTCCATACACTAAACGACGTCTTGGTAAGAATCAAACAGGGGAACCCAGTACGAAAGATCATAATCGAGTCCTGGCGTATATCAGATTTCGCTCGGCGAATTGATAGACAAACAAGGGTTTTTTACGTGTTACTCGGTAGCCTCTTTATCAAGCAGCTGAGGATATGAGCCAAGTGGATCGTGCGAGGCAATACTCCCTTGGTGTAATATAGTGGTGCCATAATTGTTTTCTCCGCACCACTGATAAAAAGCGCCACCTCCAAGTTCCAACAGTGAGGTAGAGCTCTAAGATTGGCTTGGCCGTTGCAGCGGCCTTCTTGGGATTCACACTAAACAATCTCCACTCCAGGAGGTGCCCAGGTACCTTACCTTGCACTTGTCTAGACCCTCAGGTACTATAGGTACTAAAAGATAGTCGCCGTTCAGATGTAGCTAATTGATAGGGGGATGGGATCACAAACAGGAAATCCATCTCAAGGGTCCAGTTTTAGTGTCAATCTCAGTGTCAATCATCTCAATCTCAGTCTCAATCTCAGTCTTAATCTCAGTCTTAATCTCAGTCTTAATCTCAGTCTTAATCTCAGAGCCAAGGTCTTCATGCCGTTGATCGCATGGCATTCCGAGTGCATTACAGGAGGCCTACTCCGTAGGCTAGGCCCACCCCCATCACCCGTCGTCATGAGCCGATGGACTGTGCGTTTAAAGTCATAGAATAGCTTAGTCACTCTCTGACGCCTCGACTCGAGAAGCTCGAGTGAGTGGTGACTCGAGCGTAGGAGTAGCTACTCCGTAAAGAAGAGGAAGAGGAAGAGGAAGAAAAAATCAACCGGGGTTGCATCGCTGGGCGGTTTGGCGGGACTTGGCACTCCCGTCCGTCTGCCCCTCCCTTCCCATTTGGACTCTGCAAACGCCTCTTCCGACACTCTGTAGCTGAGCCGTGTTGATACGACGCTCGCTCCCGGCCCTGGGAACTCGTCGAAGCTAGATCAAGTAGTATCTTAGAGACCCCAAAGATCTACGATTTGTCAGTCAAGTGAGTGAGTAAAACTGCCTCCCAGGTCTAGAAGAGGCCACGCCACCGGTCAAACTCTATTAAGATTCTAAAAACACATCCATCCTTCCTTTCCTCTCCAGCGTCAAGGATGAGCAGATACAACATGAGGATGTATCGAAGCTTTATACATCATCTAGCAATATATACAAGACAATTTCAACTACCGCACCGTACCGTATCCATGACATCTCTAAACACCCAACGGCAGACCCAACGGCAAGGCAAGGGCCACGCGAGTGCGCTCGGACATGCTGTGCTCGCTGCGAGATCCATTCTCTTGCATTGCATTGAGCGGATACTGCAAGTACCTTCGTACCGTACGAAGCTATAGGACGTCCACCACCCGGTCCGTTCGCAGAGGTCCAAGCAGTCATCCCATTCTCACCTGACATAAAGGCGGGAGCAACCCCAGCGCATTTCAGTTGATCTTTTTGCATTTGGGTTGGTTCCGCGAAGGAAGCGTCGCGGAGCTGAGGCCGTATATGCCGAGAGGAGTATTGGGTATTGATTGTCACCAGGGATGACTACATTGCAGGGAGGGAAGTAGAGATGCATTGGTTTGATTGGTCGTGTTATGATTAGCTACTGTACTGTAGCAAGTTGCAAGCAAGACTGCACTGCTTCTGATTAATTGAATTGTCGGCCCGGCTCACTCGTGACTCGCGAAGAGGGAGGGGGGTTTAGGGCTAAGCTACCTCCCTACCTACGGAGAAGAGCCGATGATGAATAACTCCTATAGTGTTTTACGGTCTATTCCACCAAAACACCTATAGTAATGCTCCTCATGCTAGATAGACAAAGCGGCACTGCCTCGGGTACTTTTCATGTCCCACTATCCACGCCATCTGGCACATTATAAATTGGTGCCGCTTTGCTATCTACCGCGAGGTTTCTTAAGTGACAGCGGTTTATTGCGGAGATGGCCGTAAAACACTATAGGAGATAACAGGAGATGCGTGGAGAGAATGCTTTGGGCTTGTACTGTATGTATATAGCTCAGACATGTAATAGTCCATTTAGCGCTTCATGCGATGATTGTTCCATACAAGTTGTTGGTAAAATCACGTATTGTTAAAAGATGCAGTTTTATTATCAGTAATACCTTTACCCTCCCTATATGTACAGAAACTATATCCTCTTCTTTTTCTTTTCTTTTCTTATCTGCAGAGGTACATGATCGCCGATGAACAGACAGGCCCCTCCCCCACCCCAAGTCCTCCCCACATCTCTATCCACCCTTACTTGTGGGTCTAGGTCTGAGCGAATCCTCGCTATAGTATCGAGGTCATCTTAGCACTTATAGAAACAAGGAAGCAGCACAACCAAGTCCCAGCAATGCGAAAAGGCAGCCAGGTTGGTTTGATCGCCCACTAGACACGGGCACACTGCTCGAGCTCGATGACGAGTTGGAGCTGCTCGAAGTCGAACTTGCAGTCGAACTAGAGTTGCTCCCGACAGTCTCCCCAGCGCTATAGGAGGTATTGGTAGACGTGGAGTTGTTGTTGATTATAATGGACGAGTAGCTTCCCGTCATATCGCCATAGGAGTAACTGGTGCCATTGGTCGTGTAATCCTGGATGGTGATATTCTTCACATACATAGTGAAGGGAGCTTGAGTCAAATCCGAGGATCCGCCCGCCCATTCTATGGTTCCTTCGCTTTCGTCTGCGGCGCCGCCGACCCAGTTGCCGAGCTTGATGCGCATGGGAGTTTGGGGGAAGTTTGCACCGTCCAGGGCGTCGGCGTAGTAGAGGGTGCGGACGACGACGGAATCGATGGACCAGATTATAGAAGCGGAGGTCCAGTCGATGGTGTAGATGTGCCATGTATCTTGGGGTTCGCTGACGGCGGGAGATGTGGAACGATCGTAGCTTGTCGTGTTGTCTTTTCCGAAATAGTTGGTTTCCACCATGGTTGAGTTTCCGCCAAGCCATTCCTATTGCACTTGTTAACCAAATTCTACAGAACAACGTGTTATTGAGCATACCCAATCAATCTCATCGAGGTCATCAGACTCCATGACGAAACTGCTAATAATACCCGTTCCGTTTGCTGCTCGGAGCGCTACCGACACTTTCCCAAAGAATATGTAGTTGTTTGTGATGATCGTTTTAGCTGTGCCATCCGACGAGATGATAAACTCGGCGCCGTTTGTGCCGTAGGTCATGGTAGTTCCTGTGTCGGCAGAGAATTCTGAACTTTCTCCCTCGGTAAAGTCGACCGTTATAGTTTTTCCAAGAGCAGTGTCACTTGGGCATGCTATAAAGTTGTTAGCTTGCAACACAAAAGCGATATTTGAGACATACTTGAGTTCAAAGGGTTGCAGTCAGTACTTGTCTGTCCCACAACGATTTGGGACAAAGTAAGTGCAGTAGCTGCCAACGAAAGTATTTGAGATCTCATTTTGAAGAATAGTAAATGCAATGAACAAGCGAGTGACTTTGTTTTGGGGAGTAACAAAATATTCAAGACATTGCAGAAAGAGGAAACTTGACACTTATACCCTGATAATAAGAGATTATTGTTGCTATGATTAGATCCTGGAGAATTTCCATTCGTGTCCTGTGGCTGAGGCATGTACACAGTATATGCTGCTGTGTACGAATGCTGTGGGGTGATAACACGCAAGTGTAGACTTCAGACCCAAATATGTTTCGAGGCGTGACGACGACTGGTCGTGATGCCGTGAAGCGAAACAAAAACGCGGCTGAAGAGACTTATACAACAGCTTTTTGAAGCACTTTTGCAAAGGTATACTCGAATAATTTCAACGGGCGAATCTCTTCGCTTTAGACTTTGATATTATTACTTCCAACATATGTTTGCTGTAAGATAAAACAATCATTGCGATGGCAGGATGATTTTTGCAGCAGATCGTATACGCGTCTTCCTGTCTAGCTTCCGAGGGGTGGGGCAACAAGATTCAAACACTCCTTTACAATTACGCGAGACCAAAGATGATTCCCAACTCGTCAAATGCAGATGAGGTATTTTCCAAGGAGAACCTCTTCAACAATCTCACGTTAAGAGGAGACTAGTACGACAACCTAAACAACCAAGTTGCGAACAGAGGAAGTCGAAGCAACAGACATTCGTTCCCAGCAGCTATACCATCCTAGCCCTCATCGAACTTCATGAAGAATTGCAAGTAAAGTGCAAAAACAAAACCCTAGGGAAGGTCGAATTTCATCAGCCTTCTTACCAGAACTACTAGAAGCTGGAGTGGGTATTAAGTTGTTCTACAATTGTATCCATCATATCTCCTACTCGATGAACATTTTCTTCCACAACCCCACAAAACCCCCACCACTAATCCTCTGCCCAACTTTCGGTCTGCAAACCAGTTCCCAGCCGTCCTCCTCGGACTGCTCAACAGCTTCCGCACTATCTTCTACTGCAGCTTGACCTCTCTCCGCAGCTTCGGCCCTAGCTTTCAAAAAGGCTCTTGGCCTCACAGGTCTTACATCCCATTCCCTTCCCCCAACACCGATTGCTGCGCCGAGCTCAACTACTTTCTCTAAGAACAGAGGGGTTCCGTTCTTTCTGACGTCTAGTGCACAGGTATTTATCTGTGTGATACTCGGACAAAAGACCAGCAGGCTAGCATTTGGTTTCAGTGCCTTGGCAACTAGTTTGAAATACGTGTGCGTGTCTGGGAGATCGAGGATAGCGTGGGAGAGGAAGGGAGTCGGAGACTTGGAAAGTCGAGAGGAGATGTACTGTTCAATTGTACCAACGTGGAAGTCGATGTTGTGGTAATACATGCCATTGCGGTAGTTTTTGATGGTGTTTTGAGCGTGTTCCGAGTGTTCCCTCCTATTATCCAATGTCTGTATTATAGCACGACGACTTTTTAGCCAAGCTGTATATGCTTCGAGCTGTTGATCTGCCACGTCTGTTCCTGCCTCGCCCTGGCTGTCTGTAGTCTGGGCATCTGATTGTTTTTCGGGTTTTGGGGGCGGAGCAGTGTTTGCTGCGTGGATTGCCCGCGCCAGGTGAAGCGTGAGTGCTCCATGACCTGTCCCTGCTTCGAAGATCTCGAGCTTCTCGTCGTCTGTGCCTGGTACTGTTGGGTTCAAGTCCAGCAAGCTAACAATCGCGGCGGCATCTTGAGAATATATCTATTCGCATCAGCCATTGGAGACCTTAGCAAGCAAGAGTAAGGGCCGACATACCGGAGTAACAATCCTGGGCGTTAGGTCTGTATACTCGGCCAGAGTAGGATCCGTAACCCGAAAGGCTCTTCGTTTCCTGGTCGAAAGTGTATCCCTTATTCGTCTGCCAATAATGTCGTTATGGAAGAGTTTATCGTGAGCGAGCTTAACCTCATCTCGTGGCCGAAGTGGAAGAGTGATAATGGGCTGGGTTTCGAGGTTGTTTGTGCGTTGTAATAGTACTATATCATTTTCTGGGAAGAATTAGTTGCTGGATTTGGGAAGCGGAAGAATGGCTTCTATATGTATAGACGAGTACATGCATAGGTACCTTCAATGATGCCATTGGAAAACAGTCTGCGAGTACATGTTGAAGACAATGGCACTCGAATGTTTGGCAGACATCGAGTACTCCGCTGAAGGGTGCTGTGAAGAGTTACCATAGAGCCGAAAACGTTTGATAGACAGCTTCAAAGCTCTGCTCCGGTCCCTAAATAAAGATCACCAAATCTTTCTTTCACTTGCGGCCGCATACAGGTACAGGCAGGGTTCTCAGCCGAGGTGCCCGTTGACTGACCGCCAAGGGAGCTTATCAACACCCCAATTCATTGTCTCTTACTTCAACCATCACCACAATTTACAATGCCTACCGAAGTTGAAGGAACACACCAAATTGGTAACATTTCTCTCTACACCAATACTTGGAAGGTCTTATATCCCTTTTATTCCTTCTCCTTCCTCTCCCTCCCCTCATCTTTATCAAGGTATAGCTCCAGCTCCAGCTAACCCCTCCCAGCCCGATGGACCGCCTGTCGCAAAACTAATCTTCATACACGGCTTCAACGACCATATCCACCGCTACTACTCCCTCTTCCCATCTCTCGCCGCCCGTGGAATTGAAGTCCATGGCTTCGATCAACGAGGATGGGGACGATCCGTCAAGAACCCCTCCCAGAGAGGCCTCACAGGCCCCACTACGCTGGTCATGTCCGACGTCGTGTCCTTTATAAAAACGCAATTACCCTCTCCCGTACCGTTGTTCATAATGGGACATAGCATGGGCGGCGGCGAAGTAGCAACGCTAGCCAGCGATCCAAAGTATGCGGATCTAATACCTTCCATCCGTGGCTGGCTTCTCGAATCGCCGTTGATCGCCATCGCAAAGGGCTACGAACCATCGGCTATCACGGTGTTCCTTGGGCGGATAGCAGGGAAGATATTGCCGCATATGAAGATGGCGAATCCTTTGCTTCCGGAAAACATGACACGGGACCCGGAGGTGGCTAAGAGTTTGAGGGAGGATAAGCTGGACCATGATACTGGTACACTGGAAGGGCTTGCGGGGATGCTTGATCGGTCTGCTGCTTTGGCTGAAGGGAGGGCGAGGTTGAACAAGGACGTAAAGAGTATCTGGTTGGGACATGGAACGAAGGATATGGGCACGAGTTATGAGGCGAGTAAGAAGTGGTTCGAGGCACAGACTCAGGTGCAGGATAAGGAATTTAAGACTTATGAGGGCTGGTACCATCAGTTGCATGCTGATTTACCGGAGACTAGGGATGAGTTTGCGAAGGATGTTGCCGATTGGATTTTGGCTAGGATAGGGGATGAGAAAAAGGTAGAGTCCAAGTTATAGATGAGTTGGGAATTGTTGATTACAGTTTACGGAGTACGGTATGTTTGGAATGGAGCATCTTTTTTTATCATCTGATATGATATATAATGTACACGGAACGGGTATTGCAGTATGCTTATTGTACATGTTCATCTAACCCAGGAATTCCCTATGCTGTGCTAAGTATCCTTGCAACCACCAAAGCTGGACCTGTAGATGCACAGTATGGTTGCGGTGATTGATGGCTATAATGGGTGCGGCGAAGAGACCCTGCCTTGTCAATTCTATAGAGTCACCTTCACTGGGTCTAGCCCTCATGATCGCTGGAGATGTCTGCTCACGAAGCTCGTCCAGTTTCTCCTGTCCCAGCAAAACCTTCAAGTTGTAGACGGGAATCTTCTTCACTCTCCCACCTCTGCCTTCTATATCAATAGTAGCGAACTCGGGAGGGTCAGGCGATCCATCCTCTCCTGTCCACAGATAGGCCCCAGTCTGCATCCTATGCTTTGCATTGTCCCAGTCGTTCCATGCCGTGATGTATCCTCGCTTCAGTCCATACAGGTATAACATGAACTCGACGATCCGTTTTCGCGCCAGCTCTAGTACGAAATCAGGCATTTCGGATCTGAACACAGCCTTGTTGAAGAGGGCCAGAGCAGCAGGCTTTGATTTTAATCGTCCAGGAATCAAGTTCTGGACTGGATCCGTTCCAAATCCACTATCCCTGGACAACATAGCTGCCAATACCGGGTATCGAGACAGTGTGTACATGCCCGGTCCACTTGCTGCAGACCCTTTCTGCTGTGCTTGAACTGGTTGTTGGGTTTCTGGGCTCGCCTTCGTGGAATCATCGTGGCCAGGTTGAACATCTTTCTCTGGGTCATCAAGTGTTATCTGCTTTGTGCCGGCTCCCTGGCTCGTGAACATCCCTCGGGGGATAAAATAAGGATGGCCAGTTGTTGGATGGCCCAAGATACCGAAATTCTGCAGGAAGAATCGTGGTAAAGAAACTTTCGTCATTTGACACCGGCGTACTGGGGTTGCAAGGGCGATGGCGTAGGGATTCTTCTCCAGTCGTATTTGGAATTCTGATTTGGTACTTCTCTGGGAGTGGCGCTTTGGGGATTGATACCTCTCTCTAGCAGCAAGGAAGCCCGGATCCATAAGAGGAGAGATGGGTAGGTCTTTCCATGCCCAGTCAAAGTCTGTACTGTGGTTTGAATCTGGGTCCTCGACGGTTGCTGAGAGTTCTTCGGTGAAAGCTTCGAGATCGAGATCACTGAGTGTGAGAGGTTCTTGGGAAGGTTCTTGTGGTACAGGGAGGGAGGGGGGCTTGGTTTTTTCGACTGCCTCATCAGCAGCTGCTGCATGAAGATATTGGTCCTGGTCCTCTCTTTTTGCCGTCTCTTGTTGCTGGTGCAAGTCGCTGAGGTGTTGCTTCCCCGACTTTGCCTCCCCTTTTGCCTTCCCCGTCCCTTTTCCCTTTTGTTGTTTGTTCCAGTCGCTGATGGGTTGACGTCCCCAGCTTGCCAAGCCCCGTGAGCTCCCTCGTGCGACCCATGGTGTTGGTAATGGTGTCGTAAACTTGAGACACCTTGCAGTGCTGCTACCTCTTGATATTACGCATCTGAGCATTCCACATGTCGAGGTTGCGCACCGGAGATATGGAAAGGGGGCAATCTGTACAGGTTGAAGAGTATTGGAGGATTTTGTTGATGTTCAAGAAATATTAAACTGTACTGTACAAGTGGTTCGGAATAACGATCAACCGAGTCGCGGATCGCACCGCAATGCAATGTACCTGCAGGGGAGCTGCGCTGCGAGCTCCAACGACAAGATCAAGAATCCCTCGAACGGGAAACACCAACCATTCCACCTCTATACAATGTCGGCCGTCAGGATACTGCGGGCACCAGCTCGGAATGCCTTTAAATCCAGCCTTAGATGTTTTTCTTCCCTCCCCCAAAGAGCAGAACCCAAATCGTGGACGCCCATACCGTACATTACAGAAACAATAGTAAGCTTCCCAATGCCTCCTCGCAGCTGGCCTCTTACTAACTTTTCAGGGAGGCGGCTTTCGTACATGTAACGATTCTTATTTCTCCACTTGACTCCCACTAACTAGACTCTCCAGCCGATATCTTCTCTAAACTGCTCCAAGTACATCCACTCATCCCCTCATCCCTCCCTACTCGTGAACACAGCTAAACATGTGCCCTCAGGAACGAATCGTCTGCCTCAATGGCGAAGTAAACGAAAGCGTATCCGCAGCGGTTGTCGCCCAACTCCTCTACCTCGAATCCGATTCCCCAGAAAAAGCCATAACCCTCTACATAAACTCACCAGGCGGGTCTGTAACAGCCGGTCTAGCAATCTACGACACCATGTCCTACATCCGATCGCCAGTCTCTACAGTATGTGTAGGACAAGCTGCTTCCATGGGCTCGTTACTGTTATGCGGAGGAGAGAAGGGGAAGCGCTTTTGCCTCCCGCATTCAAGTGTCATGGTCCATCAGCCAAGTGGGGGTTATTTCGGGCAGGCAAGTGACATTGCGATTCATGCGACTGAGATATTGAGGGTACGGAAACAATTGAACGAGATTTATCGGAGGCATTTGACCAAGGAGCATAGTCTGGATGATATTGAGCGGTTGATGGAGAGGGACAAGTTCTTGAGTGCTCAGGAGGCTTTGGACATGGGGATTGTAGATCGCATTTTAGATAGGAGGGAGGAAGAGGAGAAGTCGAAAGAGGGGGGTAGTAAGACATGAATGAAGATAATTAATTTCAAGTGCTCGTCTGAGATGCTTGTGGTTCTGCTCTCAACTGTCCAGTACTCTACAGGCCGAAGATCAAGGAGCTGGTGAGGTCAGCAATAGTGTTGTTCTGGGCAGAATGGTCATGCAATATCGCGGTTATGCTTGCAGATACTTTGAAACTCGGGCTTCTTTTCAACTACGGGCGTGAGACTTGGACTCTTCTGTCAGTAGCTCCGACAAATCACGAGTTGTTGAGATATAAAACTAGTTCTATCTGCTGTGGTTGATATTTTCCACCTTTCAATTTCAACGGCCTATTCCTTAAAAACAGGTTGTGGTTTCTCAGTTGAATCATTCATATGCCCCTACAGTCAGCAAGTGCAATTTTGGCTACAATGCTGCTGCTTTTACACGTCCTGCAAAGGTTGTGGTTCATGAAAAACGTTACAGGTACTTTCGTAACTCTAAAGTGATTGCTGTTTGAAGAGGATATCCATCATTCGTGGTTGAAGTATCGCTCTTGAGATATATGTACGCGATTTTTCCGGTCTGTTGGTCCCAGGAGCGTGGAGGGTCTCAAGTAACTTCCTTGAGGGAAGGGAAAGTGTTCCCCTTGGCCTGGTAAACACATTAGGAGTTCTGGACGGGACGTGGGAGTCTACAACAGGGCGTAATGTGAACTCGCCGTAGGAGCGAGTGCTTTCACGGTGATGTTGACGACGGCAAGAGCAAAGGGCACGTTCCTGATTGGCGGAAAGATCAGGGTTTTTGGCTCCTGTATCATGGGAGTGGCAGTCATTTAGAATGCTAGGCTTTGAATCATAGCTTGCTAGAAATGAAAACTGCTGTTTCCGCCGAATGAAGTATTGTGGTGCATGGAGGATTCGCTTATGACCATAATCCAAGACGGTTCACCAACAAGATATGGAAGTTCTTTTGAATCCTATACAGAGCAAGTCTCTGACGGAGTAGTTAGACTTTTGGAGCCATGTAGCAGCTGCTACTATTGTCGATGCGTGAAAGTCCCATTTCCATGCCCTTCAAAGCTCCATGAATATCTCTTAATCCGTGGAAACAGAGCTTACCTGACAATTGAAACATCATAGGCACCCGCGTCTATATTAAGCAAGCTGCTTGGCCGCCTCGCTCGATGCTTCAACGAGTTCTTAACCCACTCAATTCATGTATCATACGAGTGGAAGGATAATATGAATGTAGAAATGGTCCGTTCCCGGCTTCCAGTGAGCGATGAGACGAATGTTAGGTTCACTAATGTAAAATGGTCAAGGAGCTATTTTGCAGTCTCAGATCCAAGCCCGCAATGGCAACGGCGGATAAGTAAGCCGTATATATTACATTTCATGGTAAGTACTTGTCATCACCGGAATGCAGTGGATTTCTTGCCCTTTTGATATAGGTGCATGGTATACCATTGCAGGAAGACACATCCGTTCGGGGACCTAGTTATACTATAGTAAGCGCTTGGCAAATTCGCTCGCAGAAACAATTCTCTCTCCAAGTTGTCTAGCATTGTTATTCATTGGCAATGACTACTGTTCATCGTCCCTGATTTTCCTCTTGTTTTGAGGGTTTCCCTTCCTTTATCTCTCGTCTCGTACCTAGGTTTAAAGGGAACTGTTTTGGCCGACATACTCGTAGTGTAGTACTAGCTCTCTTTTTATTGCTCCCTAGATAATAGTTCTAAAGCTTCTTTACTGAGGCAATCATAGCTCATAGGTTGAAAGACATCAATTAGTAATCTATAGTCGGATAGTCCTAAGCTGACTCAGAACCAAAGAGCACCAGGTCATGACGTCTAGCAAATCGGTAGTTGGATTAGATATTATTTAATGGTACAATCTGCCTGTCAGTCCTGGAAAGTCCACGGGATCTGCAGAAGCTGCTAATTCCTAGATGTTTTATATATACAGAGCGGCCGACGCTAAAGTCATAGTATAAACTACCTACGATCTCTTCTTTATATACATTGAGTACCACCTCACATGATGCTATTGACTCAGCGCTAGGCATGTCTGTGCTACCTCATCGCATTATGCTTACGGTTCTCCATTGACCAGATAGCCTATTCAGAGCTCAGCGTCAAGTTAAGTCGGCAATAAGTCAAGTCGATCAAGTGTTGTAGCCAGGTATATAAGCAGACACGCCCCTTCTTTATTACCAAAAGCATAACTCTTTACCTCAAACAATCCAACAACAACCCGCGCTACAAACTCGTACCTGCAAAGTCCAAACCAACACTTTCGATTCAAGATGAAGCTCTCTATTTCCCTCTTCGCACTGCTTGCTGCATTCGCCATAGCTAGCCCGGCTGTGGCTGGTGGCTTGGGAGCACGGGTTGACTGTTCAACGTGTGGGTGTTCGTCTTCAGAGTCTTGTACTGTGAGTAATGTCCCTTCCTAGTATATGTAGACATTTCAAGTAGGGTATGCTGACACAATGGCTCTGGTAGTTTCATGTAAGTCTGCGTGGTATTTTAGGTTGTAGTAATAGCTGGCAGTATACTGACGCTGGTGGTGATTCAAGTGTTGTCAAGTAAGTTATGTTCTGGGCTGGTAGAATTCCTACTACTAATATATTTTCAAGTAAATCGGTGGAATCAATGGGCGACTTAAGTAGGGATGGCTTTGATGATAGAGGGAACTTCTCGTCGTTGTATGGGTTCTCTACTGGAGTTTCAGCCCAGCCGATGGGGACGGGGTTTTTGATGTCAGGAAAGAACTTTGGATTATCATCGAAATCGAAATGAATTCTTTGTTGGAGTTTTGCAACTTCGAGCCTTGTTTACACTTCCATCGCTCGCCTCTAGTGAGCGAGTAAGCTAAACAACTTGAACCCTACGCCCCCCTTAAACTTCGACCCAGTGCTAGTAGCACTAATAATAGCTACATGTCCTTTCAAGGTGCATTGAATTGGATTATTCCATATCCCATCACTTTCTTGCAGGTGTGTTGCTGCTAATCGAAGTATCTTAACCATCCTGGGCTTCATATACAATTCAGGGCTCCGCAGGCACACGGAGAATTGCACGTCGGCAAGGCACGCTCAAACAGCTACTAGCGTTCAGAGAAATTGGAATAGTATCACATCCTAAGTGACTAGAACTTATGGAGACAAGCCAAGCTCTCGGCTTCTTTGGGATGCCGTGCTGCACAGGCAGGCCGTTGGGGTCCAGACTGTTAAATACGCTTCGTAATCCACTCGGATCATCATACAGAATGGACTCGAGTCTCCGCTTCCAGCAAGTCGGACGGAAGAATTCGAAAACATGACTCCATCAAAGGTAAGCATATGGGAAAGGCATCTGGATGAGTCTTTTCCATGAGCGTCAGACAGGCACGAAACGAAATGGCGGGGAATCGGTCCTTTTATGCAGGATGAAAGGAAAGCTGGGGAAAGGGCCGTTTGGCGGCGCCACAGGTGAAGTGCAGGGCCATGCATGGCGGGTATGGACGCCTTTTTGAGGGGTATTGTGCGGAGTGTGGGGAAGGTGAAGATGGATAGGAGACTATGAAGCTATAAGGAGATATTGGATTGGAGATCAGTCGGGGGAAAGATTAGAGATGAGGGGGATTCGGATCTATTGCGGGTCTTTTCTTGGATGAATTTTTCTTGCGAGGGAAAATATATTGATAATGAATGCAATTGAAGGAAAATGAACCGACGGAGGATTTAAAGAGAGCGGATGGCAAAACCTGTGCGTTAGCCGTTGAGACTTCTCAAGGCTTGAAATGCTTGCTGTAAATGAGAGATTTGCTAGATACGGACAATTGGCCGCGAAGGTTGTTGGAATCAAAAGATCGAAACAAAACAGATGGGAGATATACCGGATCCATAGCAACGGGAAGGAGGAGATGCGGTTCTGCTTCAATACCGAGAATTGACCAACTGCAAACATCATGAGAGTGATCACGTGATGAGAGGGGATTGACGGCTTCTGACATGACTCGAGTGAGAGTTGAACTTTCCGCATCGCCAATCCAGTTTGTCAAAAGGTTTGTATAGCGGTCTGGGATGATCTTTGATACAGTGAACGAATGCTTGATGATCATAAATAAAGTTGTCGTCAGTTCCGTGTCCATGGCGGTTGTTAACCGCGGGTGCTCGGCTTGTTTCGCTATTATAAGCAGCGCAGCCACGCCATGCAAATTCCTCGATTCCTTCCTCTTGATTGCCACGGTAGGCAATAAGAATAGAATGTTCTTGTAGTTTGCCTCTTTCTTTTACCGGTCGTGGCGTTTGAAACACATGATAACGTTATGTGACTTCAGTGCTGACTGAGTATAAACGATCGATTACTGTGGGGCCAAGCCGAGACTTCAAAGTCCGAAGGTTCGAGGGAAGACGCGTAGAAGATTCAGAGTCTTTCTCTGCCCGATCCGAAATAGGAGAGGATGGCCTTACTGTATCCGGACAGGCCGTTGATCTGCTCCGATTGGAACGGACAACACCACAGATCGAGGCAAGTGAAAGGGGGCAAGGTGATTATCGTGGCACAGCAATGAATTGGAATAATGGTTGGAAGTACCGGAAGGACCGGTGTGTGAAGAATAATACGGAGCTCGACGTACCACGCGAAGATATCGTGACTTTGATTGGAAAAGGGGCACCTTACCTCGGTACTCGTACTATTGTGGCGTGCATCTTACGGCTGACTGGCTGACCGACGTGACGGTAGTAGATGCTGTTGATATGTATGTATGGTCTACAGTACGAAGTAGATGAGATGAAAGTGTGGAGTGGAGGGAGGCATATGATATTCCGATGGTAACTGATAATAATAGCACGCAGATACTCTTCGTGACAGTCTTCCACCATACATTGCCCTCTTCTCCCACCTCGTTGGCCATTTGTTAGTCAGACGAGGGAAGCAGCATTGGGTTCCCTTGTTCTGCTGACACAGCCCATGAATCTGTTACGTTACTTGTAGACTGGACGGGGCTGTATTGGATTGGCGGCCATGTCCTAACTCCTAAGGCGAGGCGAGTCGTGTTGTGAACATCAACATCCCCATTTTTCCTTCCTTCCCACCCACTCACTCCTGGAATCTTTCTCAGTCAGTGGTGAAGTAATGAGTATTGATAGGTCGTGCCACAATTATCACCAAATTCATAAGTGCCCTTGTTGTATATTCTGTCGTAGAAGTATCTTTTATCTTTCACTCATACAAAAACACACTTCTCCAGGATTTGGTTTCTCACCCACCCACACCACCTTCCTCGGCCATTCGTCCAATCACCGGGGTGTCGCACTCTCATCCTTCCTTCCCTCATCCCCGCATTCTGGTAAAATGAGCTTTCCCTAACTCGCCTCGCCCCCTTCCCCTTCCAAAGATACGATACCTACTCCAGACTCTCTCCACGCTGCTTCATCCACTCCCGATAAATAATTCTCCCCCAAACACCAACCAACCAACCAACCAACAAATCCATCGACTCGACTCCACGCCATCCACTCCAGAGTGAGAGTGAGAGTAGAGTGATAGTCACCGCCACCTCTCTCCATCCTCTCTCCCCTCCCCCCATCTTTCCATGAGAAAAACATCCCTCGTCGCCTGCAGCATGTCCTCGTCCTCGTCTTCGGCCTCGTCGGTGAAGAGGGCTTGCGACGCCTGCCACCGTCGTAAAGTCAAGTGCGACGGCGTCAATCCGTGTCGCAATTGCTCGTCGGCGCAATTATCGTGTACATACCACGCCATTCCCCAGAAGAAGGGTCCCAAAGGGTCGCGGGCCAAGGTTATCAGCGAATTGCGCGAAACCCAACGACAGACAACCCTCTCCTCGAAAGTCGCGAATCGATTGAACGGCGTCAGCAGCCCACCATGTAGCCCGACACTCGCGCCTACTCCTGGCCTCCTTACCAGTGACATGATCAAGGACTGCATCGACTTCTTCTTCGCAAACATGTACCCGACGTTACCCATTCTACACCGCGGACGCTTGGAACAGCAGGCTCAATACGCCGATCAGAATGTCGATACTTACTGTCTCTTGACATCGCTATGCGCATTCATGATGATACAGCCAGGCATGGCAATACCTGGCGATCCTCTCGGACTCGACAATCTGCCTGGTGCGAACCTTGTGTCGGGGAACCTGTTGATGGAGGAGACCTTGAGGGTGAGGAAGAGTTACGACTACCTCGAGGCGCCGACATTGAACAGCTTGGCTACAAGTTTCTTCCTGTTCGGATGTTACTTTGGTTTGGATCTACATAACAAGGCTTGGTTCCATCTGCGAGAGGCGACAACGCTGTCACATATTCTTGGTTTGCAAAAGGAGGATTCCTATGTACAGTTTGATGCTGTTGAATCGTCGAGGAGGCGAAGGCTATATTGGCTGCTCTTTGTCACTGAAAGGCATGTCCCACCCCATCCAATAGTTCCCTCCCATACTAACCCCCAACAGAGCGTATGCCCTTCAACGACACCGACCCCTTTCGCTCCAGGCTACCATCTCACTGCCAACCCAAAACGACGATCCTTCAGATACACAAGCCGAACATCTACACGGCTTCTTGCATCTGGTCAATCTCTTCCGCCCATTTGACGAGGGCTTCATGGCGCTGTGGAACAAGACACGGACCGATTGCTCACCGGCTTACCTTGGCGCGCTTCAGAAGCAATTGAACGATGCCCTACCGACATACCTCAACTCGACGGATAATCAAACATCCGACCTGAGGACAAGCCAACAATGGCTACGGACCATGGTGTGGCAGTTGAGTATTCAGAATGGCTGCTTGAGTTCTGGTCATGATGACCCAAGCATGACCTTCCAATATCCGGTAGAAATCGCCCGAGATTTACTTTCAATGACTTCCCAATTCTCGCAACAGAGCATGGAAGTGCACGGCATGGGCCTGGTATGTTGAAATGTCTCCTGTTTGAATAACGTTCTAATTTTCCCAGATTGAGAAGCTCTTCGACGTCGCATGCTCGTTAACGGATGTCCTGTCCCTTCTACCCCCCAATCCAGATCCGTTCCAACCCGGACCCCGTGACTACCTTCACGACTTTATCCGTCTTCTATCAGTCCTTCGCAACGGCGACCACCGCTTCCTTCCACTGCTTCTATCCAAAGTCCACGATGTCCTTCCTCGCCTCGTCAACCCCATGCTTCAAACTGTCCCAGATACCCCAGCAAGTAACAACATGTGCGCCGATGTCGATATCTTTGATGGCTTCGGCAACGCTGGAATGGGAGTTGCAAGTAATTTCCCAGGCTACAATGGAGATGGGACGAGCGGTCAATTCAAAGTCGAGCCTGATACCGATTTTACTCGTCCTGCAATTACACCAATGCCATATGATAAGCGAATCGACGACTTATCGTCACCTGTAAATGGATCAAATAATAACGACAACACCCCGTACACAAGCCCAACTATAATACAGAGCCCAATGGAGTTCCCAGACATAGCAGAGTACAACAGCTTCCCAGATCTAACCTCGCCTCACATGGGAAATCCCCTGCCTTCATCCAACCATCTAGGGAATTTTGGTGAAGGAGTGGGTGGTGGCGGAAGACCAGTTGGATTCAAGCAGGAGTACGAGGGCATTCACCGGAGCGGCAGCATGCAATCGACCAGGAGACCTTCAATACGACAAGGCAGTGCATCGAGTTTTGGTATGCAAATACCTAGGAGTATACCGGAGCAGTTCAATCACTTGCTTAGGACGAGTAGTAATGGGGACGCTATTGATATGGGGATGGGGAATCTGAATGATTCACCATTTCGGTAATGCAGGGTGATGGACAGATTCGGACAATTTATTGATGAAGGCATATCGAGCGGAGAGCGGCGGGGTCACGTCTGAGTTGACCTTTCGGCATTCGAAAGGCAATTTATGCCCACTGCCATCTTCGCAACCAGTCAGCGCACCACTTTATACCCCCTTGTATCGTCGTTATACGAATGACAGGAAGATACCAGCATTGCATACGGAAAGGAAGAAAGGAATTGTATTTTGGCGTTGGGACAAGGAAGGAATTGCTCCGGTAGCATATATCATATTTGCTTGGTTGCTTGGTCGCTTGATTGGTGGTGTTTGAGGGCGGTGGTTATACATATATAGGTTGATAGGTTGATAGGAATATGATGGGAGATCAGATTATTTACTTGAAGTTTCCTATTTTTTTATAGCGTATTGCAAGTGCATTTGCATTCATTCTTCTTCTAGCCCCATCTGCTGCTGCTAGCCATCTAGTCGAATTTGTATGTTTAGTGCGTCTACACCGGATGGATCTTTGTATCAGCTAGATGCTGGATAAGTATAAGGTGTTGGGTGTTATGAACTAAGATTTGTTGGTTTTGGGCTATTTGATTTGATGATACCTACGTGCGTGATGCGGCTCAGCCTGCGTTAAGGGCTATTGCCTTTAGTTGTAGTAATAATTACACGATTCTACTGCTCCATGTAGTATCCCAACCCATTTCTCAGCCCCATGGAGTTCTCGCGACTTAGATGACAAAATGCCCGCGTTTCATAACCTTTGCGCTTCTCTATTACCGATACTTGTATGGCTTCCACGTTCTTGGAACCAGCATCCGAATCAAATTCGAAGAGCTTAGTTCTAGTGGATATATCGAAAACAGATCCTTCTGCCGAAGCTTCATGGCACGTCTCGATCCATCGCTCTGGGCGCCAAGTATCGACATCCGCGCCCCAGTAGCGTGGCTGTGAGTGTATGGAGGGAAATGTGGGAATGATATTCATGCCAGCGGTGAGATCCGACTTTCAAGGAGCGAGGCTGGGGGCCGGTAGTTTTGACCACGGCTGGGAAGAGGGTAGATGTGCGAAGGGTTTCGTACTATAATAAATCATAGTGTTAAGAAGCTGGCATCGGATGTTCTAGCTGCCTCTTCAGATGCTCGAACCATAGCACTGATGGAATTGCCTCTATGGGTCTTGCCTTCGCTATGAATGCCTTCTCTTTTTTGATATTCCCAGATATGTACTTCTTGAATGTACTCGTCGCTTGGCCGACTAAACGCCAGTGCTTTGGTAGGAACCGCTGCAAGCTTCCCGCAAGAAACTTTGGACCCAAAAGCATGATCAATATGGCATTCTCCAGGATTAGAGAAAGGGAGTCTTTGTAGGTCAACGAATCGCCTTCTCGCAATGCAAGATCCCAAGCCAAAAGGCATCCAACTTAGCACGCGATCAAGGAATTAACCCAGGTAGTCGCTCATTAGCATCCATGCTGGGCTTCCAGGATCCACGGGGATCTGAATGGAGGTCATAATAAATTCGCGAGTACCAGCAACCGTTATAATAAGTAAGCTCACCCCCTTTTCTCGCCTAAATGAGTAAGCAGAGAAACGAAGTAAAACAAACAGCCGACTAATATGTTTTGAAAATGATAGACCAAAACAAGAGACCACAGGGATCTGATACTTCACATTGCGCCTAATCAAAACAGCACCATCATGGCTTGGTGGGAAACAAGTAGCATTCAACTTAATAGAGTAATAGAATGCACTATCCAAGCCTTCATGTCAGCTCAAGCTAGCCTTCTTGAATTGATCCGACCACTTCACAAGGCAGCTCGAGACTTCAATGCTTCATCAACCTTACAAGAGCATCTCGTCTCACCATTAAATTCAATGCTTCATCAACCTTACAAGAGCATCTCGTCTCACCATTAAATCCCTCTACCATGATCTTGGTGATCTCCGCTCTTCACTCTCGCGGCCTCTTTAGCCTGGCGCAGATCCTCCGCACAAGTCTTCACCAGCAACCAAATTATCTTGTTCGTCGGTCGAAGCTCCAATACATGCTCGTACATCGTCAAGGTCTGGCTAAGGTACATGATACGCTGGTCGTTATTCTTGCAGCGGACCTGATACTCTGCAGCTGCACGGCGAAATTCGTTGGCCGAGAAGCGGGCAGTGTCCATGAGCTTAACAATGATGTCGGCAGCCAAGGCGTATTTGCCCACTATACCATGTTAGCCTGATGTATTATACAAATAATGGAAAGCCCAAAAAGAACGAGTAGCTAGGACTAAAAAGTAGCGCAGCAAAGGAAAGACCAAATAACAATTTAGCTTACTGTAGACGGCGCGGTGTGCAGTTCCTATTGCCGAGAGCATAGACTTGGTGACTTCTTCGTCGACAACGTGGGGCATCTTTTCTATTTGCGTAGCAATGATGCTGGTGGCCAAGGCGTATTTTGACATGTTTATGGCGCGGCAGGCAGCTCCCATTGCTGTAAGTACATTCTTGGTGGCTGTTTCATCGACGAACCGACGATTCGATATCAAAGGGACTTGAGCCTTGTCGATAACAGTGTTGAGGATGTTTTTGGCTAGGCCATATTTTCCCACTACAAGCTGTTAGTTGCAATTTATCTGTTGGGAAGTTATTTGGAGTTGAGCATATTTCCGTGTCTCAAAACTTCCATGATCTTTGCAGCTCAAAAAGAAAAGGAACTGGAATAGAGTCAGGAGAGCTGCGTACTGTCAATAGCGCCAAGGGCGGCTTTCATTGCTGAGAGCATCGACTTGATGGCTTGCTCGTCCACGAGGCGTGCATCGACATTGTGGGCCTTTTCGTCGACGCTGGGTGAATTGACTTTGGCCTTTGGTGCTGGGATGGAGCTATTCCGGGATGATTGAGAGTTGCCCATTGTGCGTGATGTTTCTCGGTCGAGAAATAGGTAGTCGGATTGTTGGGGGCTAAAGAAGTTGTTGATCTCTAGATACGGCTCTGTGTAATGAAGTAGCGTTTAAAGAAAGGAAGGCATGCGACTTAGCATCTGTATTAGGACAGAAAAGCTTTTGCCGTGATCGGAATGTTAGGGACGTATTCAATCCAATATCATTAAACCTACATGACATTCACTAATCTTCTAGCTACTCCATAGATAGCGATTAACGAGACTGAGTATATACTAAGCATTTGGTAATTAGGAGAACCAGGCAAACAGTAGTAGTAGGCATATGTTGCTCTAATGGGGAAGTTACGGCACTTAAATAAATAGAGGTGTGTTATATGATAAGACAAGCTCAAGGGATCATATAATCCCCAAGTCATAGTTTTGCTAGGTCTCGTCCTAGTAGAGAAAAACAATAATATCTCATAGTAGCTTTAGAGAGGAAAGCTTTCGCGAAGCACTTGCTTTTTAACACGCCTTATAAGTTAATGCGCTTTTGAAATTCCTACCTATTTAGTCATTGCAAATATAATTAGAGTTTGATATCAATCTCTAGCGTGAATGTTGCAACCTTTCCATATTTGGCAATTCATAGACAGCAAAACTAGGGAGATATATCTTCATCTGAACATTTGAGCTTTTGCCTAAACCTTATTTCGACGACCATATTGGTGCGATGTGCAACAAAGATTTGGAATATACTTGCCTATCTAGGTACCTAGCCAGCGGTGAATTGTGGGAGTATGGTCGGCGGCGGGAGGTGGAAGATAAGGGGGGTGAATTGTTGATTGTTTATAAGCAAGCACGGAGGTAAGTTTTCTTTAAAGTTTACCCGAGTATAACACTTGGCCTAAGACTTGTTCGTAAACTTAGCAGGCTGCACACTTCGGAATTAGATTATTAAATGAAGTTGAAGCAATTAATTATATGACCAAGCGTCACATGCAGCTTTAGTTATTGCAGACCAAATCTTCACTTCTCGATGACGTGTTTGCCTTCTTTTGCATTTACGAGCAGACTCAGCATATCGGGCCTCGAATATTGTCCCACAGGATCGAGCAAAGCTTTCGAGAAATCAGTATCTGACAACACGACATCGGCCTGCAGAATTCCCTCTTCATCAGGAGCTAGTGCTTCAACAAGTTCCTTGCCATCAGGACCATAAATCATAGAAAAGCCTCCGGCGGCCTATCAATGATCATATTAGCGGCTAAAAACGGAAAACGTCCATTGTAGCACACCTTGTCCGAAACCCCCAACTCGCGCAAATGCATGGAATCCAAGTTCTCTTCCTTCACAACCTGCGTACTAACAATAACAAAACATTGCCCTTCCAGCGCCATAAATCGACTTGCTAGCAAACTTGCCGTCGGACTTCCCTGATAGATACCAATCACTTCCCTTCGGCACCTCAAAGAACGCCGGCCAGGACGCAACATGGATCTGCTCGCCTAGTGAATACTGGTAATACCTAAGCAAAGGCTGGTAGTGCTCGAAACAGCACAATGCTCCGACCTTCCCAAACGGTGTGTCGACGACTGTTTTCAACGAGCCGGGAACGTAGCCGTCGCCCCAGATCGTGCGCTCGACGTGCGTAGGCTTTATCTTGCGGCGATGAGAGACGATGATGCCGTCCGGGGAAATGGACGATTGTGCCATGTAGATGCTACCACCGTCCCTCTCGCTGTATCCCAGCACCACGAAAATCCCCGCTGCTTTCACTGCTGCGAGGATAGACGCCATTTCGGGAGAGGTGCGTGAGAGCGAGTTGGCCATGTATGTGTGTGCCATTTGTAGGTTTTGGGGCACGCTTTGCGTCCAAATGTTCCTTAGAGACCTTGTTATGTATGGATATTGGGAGGGGAAGGGAGGAACATACCATGGATATCCTGGTATCCAGACTTCGGGGAAGCCGAGGATGTTGATGCCTTTTTCGCCTGCGTCTGCGATGATTTTGATAGTCTTTTGCACCGTTTTTTGTAGATCCAGCCAGCCTGGCTCAGCCTGGACAGCACCGAGACGGATGGGTTTGGACATTTAGATTATTTTGATGAAGTGTTCAAGGATGTAGGGGAAGGAAGATTGACGTGAAGTTATTGGCGTTGCTGCTCATGGGAAAGGAGGAGCTATCTCTATTTGTTGTTGAGGAAGTGATCGCAGAAGCACATCATGGGTTTAAGTAGTACTCTGATTGCCAAGAGCTTTTGGGTTGTAACGCATGTGTAATGTGTTTGCATCCAAAAGGCGTTCCGGTGATAGGATAATCGTACGAGAATTCTATTCTTCTCTCTATCTTCTCTTTATTTCCCCTTATTGCTAAGCACATCGCATGCCAATAATCGACTTAGAAAGCCTCCTGCTGTATGTGAATTGGCCAAACGGAGGAGTAACAATATCTCCGTGGGGGTTTTGGCAAACAGCGTCAGTGAGTAATCGTGTGCCGAGCTCGAACAATCCAATAGAAACCTTTTCATAAGCCAATGCCTAGGTATGTGCTACATGTTTAAGCAATGTTGAGTAAACAAAGTGTTTCTATCTGGTCGTCTGGGAAAAATGTGGAAGCTAATTGGTGGCGGCTAAAGAGCCCTGTTGCAAGTGCGGGCATGGAGGCTCCTGGTGTTGATAAAACCTCTTGCTGTCTGACGAAGGGGGTTTTTTGTGTCTCGTGATGTGTGATTCAAAGACTTGCTATGATGTAAGCAAATGCCAATAGACGTTTTAGAATATTATTTTAACATGAAATAGAGAGACGCCGAGGATGTAAAACACGCATTAAAAATACGATTATGAGCAATTCCAGAGACACGTCACTTGACTAGGTCGCCATGATTTCCTGGTGAGAATTGAAAGTAAGCAAAGAAAGGTAGAAGGCATTAAAGATTGGATTTTAAAGTCGCAATATCCATTATACTTGCGCAACTATGCGATAGGCAGAATCTTTCAAGTGATAGTAAGTCCTCACAAGGCTAATATAGCGCTTAAAAGTCTACAAATCGAGGTGGTGGAAAGCTTGTCAAGGGCTTCAGTGAATATCTTAACAGATGATTAATAGCAAGTGCAAAGAGACCTCAGTATACCTCTTAGTTGTTTGCAAAGTCGTTGTCTCAAGAGGACTCTGGTGATCACGTGCACACTAAATGCAATCGAATTGAGCCTACTTGCATAAAGCGATGGTTCTTATTAAGCACGAGGATTAAAGAAGAAAAGTAGTTAAGCGTGCCTTGACCCTCTAACAAGTAAGAATTGTCGGGAATATCGTTCTGATTTGTTCTAATTGTCAGGCGAAGGCCCCTTTGGTATGAAGACTGGCGCTTGTGAAGAAATATGTATATTCCTTACCTAGTTTTGCCGAGATATCTCCACCGCAAGAAAAATTTCTGCTAGTGCTATTAGGTAACACAAATTGGTTAAGGCTTCTTGCGAACATAAGATAGAATTGTATTTTGCCGTTGTAAGTTGATAGGTTTTCGCATTATTTATCGAATAAGAGTCCTCTTAAGGTGGCGGGTAGCTTATAGAGCTATTGGCTGAAGAGCGCTTTATGCTCCATTATTTCAAGTGTAACTCGACCGACCCCACCTACCACTCAAAGATCCTAAAGTTTGAATGGATGCAAGACTGTGGTACAGTATCACGAGGTATCTACGAAGTAATTGATTTCCCCACCTTTGGGCAAAGAGCCGTGTGCCTTTGAAGGCTAAAGCCTCATGTACTTGGACTAATTGAGTAGCACTATGCAGGCGTCAAATCAGAATAGCAGAGACCTAGCTATATTCGAAAGTGGTGTGCTTTATACAAGAGTGAAGATCCTCACCCTTAGCTCGACTTGTATGTCTCGTCACCGCTTCAAGCCGCAATGCGGTGAGATGATTCAGCTGCCGTACGCCTTATAGAGGCAGTAAAATGTGAGATATGATTGACGTGGGCGTGAAGAAATTTCAAGTCCCTGGTCTCCGGCCTCAGTATTCGGATGCTCGTGTTCGGCTGCTTCTACGGCGCGTGGGAAGGGAAATGGTGGATCAATATCGGCACAGTCGCCGTGCTTCTCTCACCGTTTTCGGGTCTTGAAGGTCAAGGATCGTCAGACGACAAACAGACAGCTGCAAGCGTAGCCGATAGATACCTTAGGGCTCCAGAGAGGAAGTGAGTAGTGTCCACTGATATTGCTGCCCACACACACGAATACACACCGAGGTCGGGAGGCACTGAGGCAATCACGGAAGGCTTTTTAAGTGCCGGTCGCGAGGCATCGTGGTTGAAGTCGTTTGGCTGGTGACAAGGGTCTCCGCACAATGCAACTCTTGAAAGCAAATAATCTGCAGGCTTTAAGCATTAGTCACAGTCCTTATCTGTGATGGCTTCATGGAAGAGTTACGATGATCGACGTTTCTGCAACTTTATTTGTGGTTGTTGTTCTTATGCTCGCGGGGTTGATCCTGGATCGGTTCGGATTAAGGATTCTTGACTCGTGCGCGTGCAAGTCATCAGAAGGCTGGGGGCCGTTTTTCTTTCTTTGCGCTCGGCGAGAAATACCGAAGAAGCCAGTGTTAGCCATGGGAAGAGAGTACTTTCCAGTCACTACTAGTAGTCTTGCGTGTCCTCCGAGGCATAATATGATAAGAACGGAGGGCCTCTATTGCGTATGCCATACCGGTATATGTTATATTGATGTTGCATTGCATGTAGGTGATATATTGCGTGCCGGAGCTCTATGCCCTGCCTTACCAGATGCCCCGCTTCCCCTGCGCCAGGTTCGGAGGATTTATATTGACATGGCGTGAGATGGATGCGATGCGCGCTGTGCCTTTCACTGCGAGACTGTCACACCAAACCCCCCGATTTCAGGTGAAGAGCGGGTGGCTTGGTGGGGGACTTGGAATTGTATTCCGACCGTACGAGGGAATGTACTGGCTGTAGTAGCTGAGTAAGCCTCCATAGGATGAGAATATAAGTATATAGGGGGCCAACAATAACAAAGAACAGTTGGCATATAAATTAATATGTTATTCTATCATCATCTTCCCATGATAGTCATTCGCACAAGTAAATAAAAGTAAAAAAGCACAAAACCCTTGACAAGTGAAGTCTATTCGTTACTCACTCTTAATAAGCGCATGAGACAGGATGAGGATTCAATATGGCCCGTGCTGAATGGAGTCCGGTTGACTTTTCACCCACACAACGCAGAACAAGACGCTGACACAAACTTTACTTGTACAAACCTCGACTCGATCCAACCTTGACTCCCGAGCCTCACCAAACTTCACGACTCCACGACTCCACGCCCACCCAATCCCATCCTTCGAGTGAGCGAGTGAGGACACCGACACCCCTATACACATGTTTACCCGGGTCGACGTTCCTTTCCTACACAGTCGACTGTGTACGCACTACACGCCCGGCCCGGCTGCCTACCAGCTCCCTCTACGCTGACTCGGAAGTCGCTCTGGGTCAGCAGAATTCAGGCGCATGCCTCGTGGCCAGCCCGCAACAAAGCGACAGCAGGGTGCTGCGAACCAGCGGGACACCAGGCACGAGAATGGGCTTGTAGGCCCCGGCAAGAGGGTGCAGAGACACAAGAGCAATGGTCATCTCAACGGCTACGCCAAGCAACAAGAGAACAGCCATCCGTCAACTCCTCCTCTGCCTGCGACACCTCCTCACACGAATGGACACGCACGACAATCAAATGCTGCTGATTTCGCTGCAGACAACAAAGCACCCGTCGACTCTCTGAGGAGAGGTTCTTTCTCTGGCTATTCGGAATCCTCCTCGTCCGAATACTCGCACAACATGTCTACTCTCTCCGTCTCCCAGGAAAACCACCGCCGAATCGATGTCAACGCTGCCAAGAACCCTGCTGTACATCGTGACTCTGGACCGCTCAGTTACGCGCTCACGGTTCTGAGGTCCTGTCCTCTCTACGACACTATTGCTATCCTCATCGTCCTCCTCCAACTCCCCCCGACATTCCTCTCACTGGTCCACCTACTCTTTGCTACCTTGACCTTCGTCCCTCCCTCGGCCTCTGCGACTTCTGGATTAAGCTTTGTTGATATTTTTGAAGGCACATTGGGTACTCCATCTATGGCTACTATCGTCGTAGTCGATTTGTTTGTATTGCTCATATGGCTCTTTTTATGGGGCTCCCTTCAGGATATTGCGTTGGACTTGGCACAGACAGTCATTGCGTTGACTCTTGGGGGTGGGACCAGTGGTAAAGAGACCGGCTTGAACAATGTTTTGGTCTGCTTTGGCATCGTTGGAGTCTCCCATCTGGCCCGAAGTGGAAACATCAAGCAATCTGGTATACGCGCTTTACTTTCATCCTCAGGCGGAATTATGGGCTCCCCGGATCCCGACGATCCCTTGGAGCGCGCTGCCCAAACTAGGAATAAGAAGGGAGCGCATGGTTGGATTCGAAGCATTCTTGCGATACATATTTTAGCACAAGGCCTTGTACGATATGTCAGGGACTGGTATGTTAGGAGGGAAAAACAAGTCAATTCAGTATCAATAGGCGATCCGGAGGCTGGCAAAGCATTGGCAGATGCGAACAATGATTCCTCGACGCCGAATACGCAAAGTCTAGACAATGATTCCTCGACTTCTTTGCCCGTCAGCAGTACGCTTATAAATTCAAAGAAGAAGAGGAAACAAAGCGCGCAGGTCCGTATACGGCAGCCTTTATGGGCAGCTTTAGCCAGTACAAAGATCGTTATGGTAAAGGAGTATGAAACATCACACACAGCAGCCGAGTCTGCCGGCACAAACGCAACAGACATCAATAACCTTGGAAACGCACCTTTCAATACCGAGGCGGATCGAATATGGATAACATATGTTGGATCTGATGAGGTTTCTTTCAGCACGAGTTACTTTCCCACCCACACACCCTTGGAGAATTGTGAGGAGAAAAAGTTGGATGCTTCTGGGGTTGACAAGTCGAAACCATTTTTCGTCCGAGTCAACCAAACAGTTTGGCATCTTACGCGAATTAGAATAACTACGGATCCAGACGAACCAGAAGGACAGGGTACGAGATGGAACGGAGAGATTTCAGGACTTGCAGCTGCGTCCAGCTACGAATGTGATTTCGTTAGTACTGCCAATGGTGCTATCATTTTTTCCACGAGCATTAGAACTCTACAGGTTCCCACTGCAGATACGGCTGGACTATCACCGAATCCTCAAGTCTCTGGCCGACCAGGATCTCCAATCACAACACTCAAAACCTCCATTGCTTCTTCAGAGATCAAGCTAGCCGAAGAACGCAACCGACAGAAGCGAGAACGCAAAGATCAAAGAACAAAGCTCAGCTCAGTACGTAAAGAACTCGATAGGCTTCTTGCCAACCTCGCGACTGGTGGCGGCAACGACGACCGTCTTAAGCAGAAGATCCAGCAAAGTAACCTGCACATGAAGCAAGCAGAGGATGCTCTCATCTCCCTTGAAGAAGAAATCCAATCACTGGAGACTATCCCTACCGACGACACCGCCCATTACACTTCCGCCAAGTCCGCCTTCCAATCACAGCGCGAGGCACATAAGAAGTACCGAGCTGAAATCCAGGAGGCCAAGCAATGCGCCGACCGCGACGTCCTCGCTCTCAAGAACGAACTCTCAAGCATTCAACAGAAGCGTGAACGCTACCAATCCCGCATCACCAAGCTCAATGCCGAGCATGACCGCATTCTCGAAGCCAACGCTAAAGGACTGGATGAGGTCCAACGCAAAGACAAGGCGCGGTTTGATAATGAAACTAACAGATCTAACATGGAGATGATGTACATGGAGCGCCTCGCCGAATTAGAACACCAGATCACCATCGTTAGCGACGCACTCCACGGTCTCGTCTTAGGCATTGATATCATGACTCAGAACGAGATGTACACGTCAGCCAGCCCAAATGCCAGTGTTCAGAACCTCAACGCTGCGGCCAGCCCTTTCACCGCGGATCCGAACGCCATCCCGGAGAACACTGCTTACGGTTGGAACGCTGCCGGACCTAGTCACTCTGGTGCATATGCTGCCGGCGCATTTAACAATTCCACCGGCCCTGCACAGGGAATCAGGACACGAGGCAGGAGTAGCAGCATGTTGAGCAATGTTTCTGGTTTCACGCAGAGTAGCGAGGAAGGAGGAGCACCTGGTCCTTTCGCGCCTCCACGGCAGATGGGCACGGCTAACTGGGGTGATGATAATGAGAAGAGTAGCTTTGGAAGTGGGAGTGCAAGTCGTAGTGGTAGTGGGAGTGGCAGTGCTGGGGATCCAAAGAGTCCTATTGGGAATGGAAAAGCCGCGCTTGCGAGGTGGTGATGCTGTTTGCGTTTTGTGATGTTTGTACTTGCCTTTATTATAAACCGAGTGACAGAACGCTCTGAATTGAATTGTATTCTTCCTAATGATGTTTTTCGTGCTGGATGATCTTTAAACGCCGAGGTTATGCTGGTAGATATGTGAACTTGCCTGAATGCATGGCCATAGTCTACTTGTTACCTTTCAGCCTTGTCATAAACCACTCTCATGCCCGGCAAGAATAGAATAGCAACTTACCAACATGTTCAATCAAAAATTATTCTTGAGTCTCGCTCCTCGGCGTAAGCGCCTCTGCAGATTACGGAATTACCCAAATGAAGTCCCTTGACGCCTCGTTGCCTCGTTCTCTCCAATATGAGGTATCGTTGAATCATTCGCTCGGGCCTCCCGTACCACCCCAGGCATAATCGGATCCGCCTCAGGGTTCCAGCTTTGTTGCACGTCTCAATATTCAGCCCCCAAATCGTGTGTTGGTGTAATATAAGAAAAAAGGGGCTTCTTTGGCGGTGCGTTGTAGTGGAGTGGCACTTACCCCTGTCGGCCTTGGCGTTGTCGCGTCGCGTCGAACTTTGAGACGCGAGACTTATACCCTCACCACCAAGACAGCTTTTTGGATTATTGACCATAAACAGCAACCATGATCAGACAAGAATTCTCACGAGTTGACCCCAAGAGGCGCGCAGCTCTCGACCATCGCAAAAAGCAATTTGCGACTCCAGCTTTCCAGAATGTAGAGTATAAGCATCGCCTGAACTTCTATGCCACGCCTCCTACGGCCGATATCACGCTCGAGCAGTTTGAACAATGGGCTATTGATCGTTTGCGAGGTATGCAATCTCTTTCAATGTGTTGGATATCTGCTAATGTTGGAAATGGACAGTGCTCGCAGAACTCGAAGCCTGCTCTTTCAGAAACAAATCCCCCGCCGAGACAGCAACGCACATGAAGCCCCTCCTCGACAAATACCTCCCTCTCTCCTCCTCAACCTCTGGGTCCACTGCCCTGCAAGCCGAGCGCCAGAAAGACCACTACAGTCACTTCATCCTGCGCCTAGCTTTTGCTTCCACGGAGGATTTGCGCAGGCGCTTTTCGCGAGTTGAGTCCATGCTTTTTCGACTCAGGTTCCAGGCCGATGATGCGAGGGAACGGATGGCGTTTGTGGAGGGCTTGAATCTGGAGTGGGAGACTGTTAGTGACGAGGAGCGTAGGGAATTTGCGGAAGAGTTGAGGGCTGCGGGGGGTGGCTATCCGAAACGGATTGAGGAAGAGAGTTACTTCAAAGTAGACTGGATAAGGGTCCCCGAGCTAGTGGAGAGCAGGAGGGTATTTTTAAAAGCTGGCAAGGCGTATGTTCCTGGACGGGAACAGCTATCTATGGTGGTTGCGGAGTTTACGAGCAGGCTGGACAAGGCTTTAGAGGTTTGTTTGTGTTGCCACTTTCTACGTGGGATGATATGCTAATGTTTAGGAAGTTGACATCGCGAGCTCTACCTAGACTAGATGAAGACGACCGTCTCACACCTATCCTAACCCACCTCTCGCAAAACTTCACAACCCCCGACGCAAGCTACTCTTCCTCCGCTACCGCCCTCCCTGGCGCAGACATCTCAGCCCGCAACATCGACACCCTTTCCTCCTCCTTCCCTCTCTGCATGCAGAACTTGCACCGTTCACTCCGCCGCGACGCGCATCTCAAACATTTCGGCCGTCTACAATACACGTTATTCCTCAAAGGCATCGGCCTGAACCTCGAAGAATGTTTGGTATTCTGGCGTTCCAGCTTCAGCAAGATCACCGATGATACGTTCAATAAAGAATACCGATATAATGTCCGTCACACCTATGGTGATGTAGGAGGCGATTCGAATAGGAGGGGGGGTGGATATACTCCGTTTTCGTGCCAAAAGATATTAACGGAACATCCGCCTGGACCTGGGGAAGCTCATGGGTGTCCATATAGGCATTTCAGTATTGATAATTTGACGGCTTTGTTGCAAAACGTCGGTGTCAAAGATCAGGAGGTGTTGAGAGGGGTGAAAGAGGATAAGGAGAAAACGAAGTTTCATTTGGCTTGTAATAGGTATACCGCTCCCTTTCCCGGCCTCGCTATACAAAAACCCGATCTTATATACGAGGTTGCTAATCTTTATACAGGGTCTTTGAATATGTACACAAGCAAGAGATCAAGAAAGTCAGAGATGACGGTACATGGGGCGCTTCACAGTTGGAGACGATTGTCCATCCGAATGAGTACTTTAAAAGAAGTTATATGTTGAAGAATATGAGCAAGAGCCCAATCGAGACGGAAGGAGATGTCAAGATGGAAGATTGAACATCCAATGGGTGGTGTCATGGCGTTAGGAGGGATTCCTGGAAACTGGAGGAGAGGACTAATGGATTAATGAAACAACAAACACAAGAACTGATTCCACTAATACCCTTGTTTGAGATACCCATGAATACCACCAATCATCCCGCGGCTTACTACGCGCTAGTGTGCGGAGTCGCGTTTGCTACTAAGCAGTTCTCTAACCAGTATACCTAGGTACATGTTAATCATTCTCTAACATTGCTTTTGTTTTCACCTTTTCATAAAACAAAGTACATTTCTTAGTCTTCTGTTGTTATTTGATGTCTGTTCTCATAGATTACCACTACCACAGCTCTTTAACCCGACACCTTTGCGAGTCATTATCAATGAAGATATCTTCAATTTCACAGTCCGTGAAAATCAATGAAGTTTGGAAGGGAATGCTTTATTTGTTCTCATCGTGCAAAACCCTTTCTAGTCTATTCATGATTTTGTTCTTCGTAGGACGGTACTTACCCGCCTAGGTGCAACGAGCGTCGAGTATGGAGTAATGCACTCTGGGTTATGATGTGTAAATCCGGCACCAGGGAAGGGAATTGATGTATCTATCGATCTTCGCATCCCCCGATACGCATCAGCTCTCCTCAAAAGCAGGATACGATGTTTCTAGACTTCCTTCGAGGCTATCCCTTTCGGAACGTGAAAACCAACCAAGGTTCAGCAGTTTCGAAAAACACAACTCGAAAGCCAAGTAGCGTTTCAATACAGGGCTCATACATGGATTTTAGTATTGATATAGCGACTTGACACACACAGAGCCATACTTGTCATGTTGTGCTTCACGAACTCGCGCTCTTCGTTAGGGCTTGGATCGTCATAGAGCCGCATCATCACATCATCAAGGATCATGCCACGAGTTGCAGATCCAGATTGGCCCCATTCTTCCGAGAAGTGTACGTGTTGTAAAAAGCTTATTTTGACCTCCAAAAGAGATGGAAGCGGTTGGGTCTTTCAAAAGGTGGCCACGCGGAAAATTCTTACTTTGCATCCATGTTGCAGGCGGAGTGCGTGAGGCGGTCAAGCTCTTATTTTCATTGACAATAGTTATTCTTTCTGTGTTTAAAAAATGACAGCTTACGTGGTCAGAAAGATCGTAGAACCCCAACTACCCGACCAGGGGCCCCTTTGTTTGGAGCATCGAAATAAAATTGAGAAGGATGCTGGAACTTTTATTATGGATATAAGGATTGGTTCTGACAACCCCAAGCAGTTTACAGAAACTATCTACAATGATACACATGGGTATCCATGGCCAAGACCTTGCTTCCAAAAAGTCAGACATGAAAGGGTCCACCATAATAAAGCGTAGGTAAGGATACTCAAACTTTCATTTTCAGAGCGACTAAATACAAGACCATCCCAGGCTTACTTCCATTGCAGATAATCCAACCTCAAAACTATATACTCGTCTCTTCCAACCATTCTACAACCCTTCACTTGAGCTCCACCAAGCAATCATTACGCCTCCACTTAAACGTACACGCATTTGACACTTGAGCTAGTGTCAGTGCACGTAACAACGGTGGTGCCACTGCTAGTCTGCATATCGATGATAGTAGCACCACTGGGTCCAACCGACGTTCCACTCTTTACAGCCGAAGCACTGCTGAAAGTCTCGGTTCCGAAGTTGGCCAGCGAGACCTGGGATCCATTCTCCTCATACGCCTCAACGATCCACTCAGCATTGTACTCGCAAAGGTCACCCTCGCTGCTCTCGCCACTGAAAGTGTGTGTGACGGTCTTGCCGGTGGTCACGTTCTCGACAACAGCGGTTCCGCCAGTCTTGCTGGTTGCCGTGACGGTGGCCTTGACGGTGTCTCCAGCAGAGATACTGATGCCCGAGAAATCGTACGAGTAGTCGGGGTACCACTCATACCAAACGTCGTAAGTAACAGACGAGCCGGACTTGGTCCAGTCAATGCCGGTCTGCAGAATGGCAGTGCCGCAAGTGTCGCCGTCGATGCCAACCCATGAAGCGCCAGAGCCAGCGGTCGATGGAGTTGGGACGGTGAACGTTCCAGTCACGGACGTGTAGCCGGTTCCAATGAGAACAGCACCGGCCCAGTTCGTGGAGTAAGACACAAAAGTGTCGTTGCTGTTCATACCGGTCTTGATGCTGCCATCTTCATTTTTAACATACTGGACTGGCTTGCTCGATTTGCCCTCAGCCCGCCTTCGGTGGGCCTCTTGTCGCTTGGCTGTGTTTGGGGCGGCCAAGGCGCTACCCGCAAGGAGGAGAGTGCTAACTACTGCTGCGAATTTCATGTTGGCTTTTGAAGAGGGGCGGACTAAAGAACGAAGTGAAGGTAGAGCAGGTCTTGATGGATCTAAGAAGAGGTTGAGATGAAACCAAAGAAAAGAGAAAGAAGGCTGGATCTCCTGTCCTACTTATACACAGATCCAGCCTTGGAGGGGCAATATGCTCTTGGTGAACGTGTGATAGAGACCTTCCTATTTCATCCCGACATTAAGGGGAGGTACTTCGAAACTGCTGGGATTTGCACTTGCACCCTGCGGAAAACCACGTTGATGTACATGGTGAATACTTTAAGTCCTTGGCATTTTATAACGAGAGGGGTTTTTTCCACCCTAGTGATACCTCCTGCATTAAGATCAGGAGCGTGAACCGTTCAGCAGTCGTCGAGCAGATAAACCAAAGATCACGAGGGGCTTCAGTCTCTCAACTATGCCGGGCGTTCCAGAAGACTCACTTAAATTCCATTCACCTTCCTTATAGTGGAAGGATCCGACGTATTGAAGGCAATATAGATAGGGGTAGCTTTTATAATGGTTGCGTGCGTCCCTGCTATAGGTCACTTGCTATCTTCTATGCATGGGTATGTTCACTCACAGATAAACTGCGGGGTCGCTGCTGATTATTGCTCCAAAGGGCCAATCTCGCGACCTTCTGGAATCTTGGAGATCGTTGCCCTGATTGAATAATGACTGCCGGGACAGGCGACATCAGATCAGTCAGTGGAGTTCGGTATGGAGTGAGGCGTCTTCGGGTATATGCGCCGGCTCCACATGCACGGCATCATCCCATCTCCGGAGTCCATACCTGGTTGAAGTGAGCCCGTTGGATCACCCGGCTAGAGCGTGTGAAATAAGACTACGAGTATCTGTAAAAGAAAGGCCACGAATAGTAAACAATTGTGGTTGACTTTTGAAACAGTTCTCGGTGGAATCTTAACGATATCTTGGCGCTTGCGTGGCTTGATCTCGACGTGCAGCCACCCTTCCCCCACTATACAAGCTTTCACACAAGCCGTCGAAAGGCTTGTGCTGCCGATAGAAAGGCTTATATTGCCGAGATGTTGTAGCTGCTAGGGGCCCCTACCCCTAGTAGGACTTCCAGGAGCAGATCTACTTGCTTATCGATCGAGAAGAACCCCTAGCGCTTCCCAGTTGTTGTTCTATGTGTTCAGCCAATCGGTGGCCTCAAACTTTATTGTTCCACCATAGATAGAATATACGAGTAGAGTTATCTTGCATCCCCCCCTGGGCGCCTCTGATCGTCCCATCGCTATAACCCCCTCGCCCCTCCCCCCTTGACCTGTCGAGAACCGGATACAAACCTTGATATTCCAAGACGCAGCATACACCAATATACAAAATATTAAAGAACGCTCATCCTCGTATTGCGGTGTCTATTACAAGGCTAGGCATACGTCACTTTCCGGATAAGAGGCCCTGAGAATCTACTACACACCAAATCTCTAATCTAAAGCTCTTTCCTATTCCTGCAATCGCCGACAACCCAATCACACATAACTTTCTACACAGCGGCTAGTACGGTACCTTGGGGTTCTAAGCCGCAACGGAGATGCTCCCGAGATTTAGGGGAAAAGCGGCTTTATTCTATCCACCTTCTGTTTCTGTTTTCAGGTGCGTTCAGGCTACAGAAACCTGAAAAACGACATAAACTTTTAGCCCCTAACGGTAAGAAAGAGCTGGATTTAGCCCGTTCTGCTTTTCATGAAGTTGAAAGCTTAAACCCCTATTTACTAAGGTAAGAATCACTAAGATTCTATTTCCAATTTCCCCTAACAAACTTGTGGACTTGACAGAAAAGAAAGGAAGACTTGAGGAGATGGCTTCTAGGTGATAAGGTAATCATAACATATAGGATCGTTGGGATAGAAGACTTGGTCTATCAATTTATTCGAGTGGCAAGACCGTAGTATAGACATGGGGTATAAATAAGCGTGGCCTTAGTACCGTATCTCGGAAATTCAAAGTTTATGCACTATGACCATAGCGCCTAGAAGCCTGGAATACGGGATATGTCACCCCACCAGCCCACACTGCTCTCGAAGGCTTAGAAGCTAGAGGCCCTTGCCGTACTCCGTATATTCAGTCTCCCTATTCATCGCTTAACTCGTATAGTGTTTTACGGCCTTCTCCACAAAAGGCGAATGCTCCTTATACTGTAAAAGGGGATGGACACCTTAAACCAAACCCCTACACGCAAATCATTCGTTGCTGATTAGTTGCTAGGTACGCTTTTCTATGTAAAATAGACATTTTTAAGTATTTACGGACTAGAATCCATAAAACCCCACCTTTTACACCTGCAAGGGTTCGCTACGACATGTTTAACCCTTTTACTAAAGAGATAGAAGCCGAATTCACTATGGTTGACTTTTAATGTCCCATGTGGCTGGCACACTACAAATTAGTGCCGCTTTCTGCTATTTGTCGTATGTTTTCTGATATGCTCCTTGACCTCGTCTCTGAAGGAGACCTCGTCCCGGTGGAAATTGAGGGTTACAACAGCATTGATCGGGTCACTGAACTAGCAATAGCGAAAACATCTTGTTGATCAACTGCAGGTTTGAGGTATTGGAGGTCCAGTTACCTAGAAACTACGCATTAGTTGTGACGACCAAATGCGTGGGGAGACATTTACGATCGAGAATGCTATGACAGATCTTGCCATGCGTGTTGACGTTTGGGTGGTGGATTGGGGTGATGAAGCGAGCCTTTGGCGGCGACGCGGGGTACCCATCTTCCATATGGAGATACAAGACGAATGTGTCTGTAGAGTATGTACTACCGGGGGGCTTTTATATGCGTTAGTAACTATTATTGTCTCGCTGGTAATGGAACATTTAGCAAAGGCCGAGGAAAATGGAGAACTTGCCCCCCTGAACCATAACCTTCCAGAACGACATATCCGAACTAGACATATAGACATCGTAGTGAGGATGCGTGTTGGCAACAACATTTTGGATCTAGTAAGATTAGCTTCCGCCATAACCCGAAAGTTGAGAGATCCTCACCTCGGCACGGATTCTTGCTGGACGTAAATTTGAGTCCGAGTGTGCGGTAACTGATTTAGGAGCACGGCTTGAGCCGTCCATGTCACCTCGAGTTTGTGAAGCTAATGGAACGAGTGGATCGTTGATGTGCTCGTTTTCTCCTCGACGCTTCGGGAAATTGTCATTAGTGACAAGCTCAGGAGTCTATTGCAGATTTAGTAGATGAAACCACAAGCGGATAAAACACTTACAACCCTTCCAGTGTTTTGAGCAAATTTGAATCTCCTATCTCGAATCGGCAATCATCCTCTATTGGGATTGCGGGGAAGTAAACGTACCCTTGAGTAAGTAATACGAGGGTATGGCTTCTTCATGCTAGCCGTGACAGTAACTGCCTCGACCTTTGGGTCAAGGATTACGTCTGAAAGAGTGTCTACTGCATCGATCATAAGGCCATCAGGTTCGCCAAGATGAAGGCAGAGGCCAGTAATATCAGGCCAAACACCAAGGCGCGTGACACGCTTCTTGATCTCGTCCGTGAGGTCAGATACTGCCGCAATTGAAGACATGGGTACCCAAGAGTTGAAAGGCATCAGCCCCTAGTGGGGCGATATTGACTATGTACCGCTCCATGGTGGGCTGTAGGTCGGACCTGGTGGATAGTGTAGACAACTATGAAGACGTGAGACTTTGGGCTTGAGCATAGGACAAATAAGTAATCTCTTTGAAAGACTACGAACGCTGGTCGTAGAACCACAGTGTCGACAAAAAAATAGAAAGAGAAAAAGTGTAATGTATTAAATGGAAAGAGCCGAAAAGTCAGAGGAAGCAAACTACATGCCCAGAATCTCCTTTTGAGGAGCCGCTATGGGGGGAGTCTCAATGAAATGGTCCGTATATTCGAGAACGACAATATCAAAGTGGTTGAGCTTGTGGGGAGGTCAATTAAAGACAACAACAAGGCAAGACAAGGCTAAGCAAACGGAGAATACGCCTCGCTTGGAAAAGGCTGCGGTGGGAGGAGTGGTTACACGAATCACATGTCATCACCAATAGCAAATGCCTACCACTCTTTACCACCTTGGGCGAATACATTGTGCGCCTCACCCACGTAATGCACGTGAAATAGGTGTGCTTGGACATGCGATTCTTTGATCTAAAAGGACGCTTGTAGACTGTACTGATTAATTGCCAAGCTCTCAAACAACTTCCCTGGCTGAAAACCCTATTGTGACTCTGCACTTACAAGAGCATCTTAACACCTGATCACATTGTCATAAGCAAAAAAATATTTATACAGCTGAATTGCCACCAAGTATTCTCCTTTCTTCTTGCCCAGAGCTTGCCATTACGACCAACTCCTCCCTCGCAGCCCATATACTGAAGCTGGGGGATTGATCCATCAACCGCCCTTCAATAGCCATCGGACCACCCCCCGTCGCCTTGCATCCATCCGGCGGTCGAACCACAAGGCGGGAGCTCGCAAGCTCTGCGCTCTTGGACCCGAGCAACCTCTCCTGGGTTGCGGCGTTTAGGCTGTCGTCGACGTTCAAGTCTGCCCAAAGTGGCTCTCGTTTAATCCAAGCAGCACGTTTGCGACCAATAGTCACATTTTGAATGTATTCCTAGTTCCACAAGAGACAACTTCAAGTGACTTTGCGTCGTGGCGACCTGGCTTTTGATACTCCTGAATACCCCGTCCGCCTTGTTCGACGACTTTTCGACCTCGTCTCCATCCTATGTGCGCTAGGTATCGCTCCGGGTGCCGTATTCGACTTCGTTGGCCTTTTCCTCTGCTGCAAAGGTCGGATTACGTTGACTTTGCGTCGGGGAACTGGGGTGACTTGACCTGAAAATTACATTAGCAAAATATCATGGAAATAGGGGCGCGAGAACTGACGACGCTTCCTGGGCTGCTGTATATCGGTAGCATCCGAGTCAGATTCAAACGTCCCACGTCTACGAGGTAATCGTGCTGCTCCTTCTTTGCCTCTGGATCTTCTCTGAGAGGAATCCAACACGGTTCGCACACGATGAGACTGATCTTGCGGTTCAGGGGAAGGAGTCCGAGAGAGGGCCGGTGGCTGTTCCGTAAACTCCATGTAGCCGTCGAAGTACGCTGCCAGTCTGCTTCTTCGAACACCAGCCTGTTCATTCAGTCGTTGTTCGACCCAGCCGAGGTCAATGTGGTCGTAAAGATTTACAACACCGAGGGCGCTGATATGATCACCTGTATCCATGATAACAACAGCCAGCCTTTCGACAGAGGTTTCGAAAGAGAATGTCTGGTGCTTGGTATCTGCTGTCTGGGTGCGTTGAAAGTGATCGAAATAGCGCTGTTGAGGCGATGAAGTGATGTTGCTTTGTGACTGGGCTTGAAGGGGTTAGACTGTTTGTGGCTTAGCGTCCCTTTGCGCTTGGTTTGGCATCACTCACAATTATTAGGCGGCAATACAGTAATATTATCTTCACAAAACTCCACAACTTCTATACTTCTATATGAAATTATCCTTTTTATGTAATTTACCTATTCTCCACTCATTACATGCTTCGCCTTCAATAACATTCTTACATATAATCTACATGGGTGATGGATCATGGGTATCTACCGAGCCTTCTACACGCGTTTTAAAAGAGAGAGGATTGGAAAAGCTTCCATTAAACAATGACGAGAACGCCAAAGACAGCGATCCCACAGCTGAAATCTCCGTGGCGAAACAGTTGGAAGTAGAAGGAACTTTTGCCCGGCTCGTGCCTCAAAATAAGTATGCTCGAGATGCGTTTCAGAGGCTGGCTCAAAGCTCTCGCGACCACCCGGCATATCTCCACCACAAACAATTCGTACACGTCGATGAACGTAAAGACATCGACCTGCTGGATCGGGAAGACTACTTCATATTTTCTCTCGGCCTTCTACCAGAATTCCCCGCCCTTGGCTGGAGGATCGGAAAAGGCAGATTGAACCGACCAAATCTGTCAGTAGACATCCGAATTCACGACGGCGAAGGAATGGCCGGAGTGCATGCTCGATTCTGCTGGGTGAAAGGCGGTGGAGGATTTTTCCTCTTTGCAGACAACCTTCGTACGGTACCCGTAATCTTGAATGGAGAAGTCCTCAAACGAACTCAAAGATTGATCCCGTATCGAAACTCCATTTCCCTTGGCGAGTGCAATTTTAGTTTGAAGTTTGAAGAGCGGACACCGGCGCTCGAGGAACAGTTCCAAGTAGAACTTTCCGCCTTCTATCTCAGTGTTTTGCGCGAAAATACGCCGTTGCTGTTGCCCACTCCTTCCGGAAATGAAGTCACGATTGGAAACTGGGTCGTCAGAAATCCCATTGCAAGCGGAAGTTATGGGCGTGTTTCTGTTGTTTCTCACATGCAGACAGGACAGCCTGCAGCAGCAAAGGAGTTGTGGAGAACGCCGCGCAATAAATTCTCTGTTGATCGTGAGATATTCATTGCGAAATATCTTCAAAGTCATCCGCATGTTCGTTTTGCCTCCACACTACTCGCACCACGCTGACATATGTACAGAAAAGACTTGGGATCCCATTTGAATTCTACCACAAGAAAATAGTGGACAAGGCAGAAAAGTTACGATATGCAAAAATTCTGGACGAAAATTGGAGTCCTGGCCAAGCAGACGCAATTGACTTGCACATCTTGTACAGCCCTTTGTCAACGAGCAATTTCTCAGCATTGATCAAATCCAAAGCCTCCATTGAGACCCGAACACGCCTTTTTACTCAAGTCCTAGACGGTGTCGCTTTCCTTCACAGTCTTGGTATTTCACATCGAGATATCAAACCTGGAAATCTCATGGTCAAATCCTATGATCCACCGGATGCTCAAATTATTGACTTTGGTTGTGCAACCACCGTTCCACGAACTTTGTATGATAGACCAGGAACGGTCCCATACCTTGCTCCCGAACAGTGTGAAAATCAATGGCATGACAAGAGTGTTGATTATTGGGCGTGTGCCCTGGTCGGAGCCGAACTTGTAGGTTTGAAGAGACGAACTAATGAGAGGATCGCAGGCGAGAATTATCTGATGTTGTGCTACTGGCTTGATAATTACGAAGGGCCATCTGGACAAGCTCTTATTGATGTGTGCAAGGGAATGCTTAAAATGGAGCCGGCTGAACGGATGACTGCTGCTGATGCTCTGGAGAAGCATCTTTCCGACTTTCATATAGACGTGAATACGGGCCTGAAACGTGCGACTGATGAAAACCATAATTTGGTTTTAAAAGCTGTTCGTGTGGTGTAGGCTTTTTGCGTCCAAAGCATTTGATGACGATCAGTTTAACCATGGAGGAAAACCAAGGAGAATTATTTTCTTAGGTAAGGAAGCTTCCCGTGGAAGCCAAGCCAAGGGATAACTCAAAATCGTTACGGTCTCTCCCGTGCTGGAACAAGTACCATCCAAACTTATCGAATGCCTTGCAAGGGGGGCATGACTTGGAGCCTGGGAACCTTGGGTATATCTGACAAATTATTGAGCACAATTTCGATCATCAACCAAGGACAAGTAGCACATGATGCAGAAATTCTCGATGCAATATTCAGATCGTTCAAGACGAACACCACTTTCTCTATCTATCATAAGGTACCTACCTAGTCAACAAACAAAGACAAGCTAGAGATCCGGCCAATTAGCTTGGGAACGGCTCGTCCCGGGACGATGTGATGTAATAATTGCACCATCGCATGCATGCATGCATGTTTGGAGAACTGCAACTCGAAATCGTCCCCAAATCATTTCACATACATTAAAAACAACATCTCTCTCTCTCTCTCTCTTGTATACCTCCGTTACAGCCAGCGCTACCTCTGGAAGTCGACAGCAATCTCACCAGCCAAACAACGACCCGAAATGTCTACCCCCAACTTTGACATCAATAACCTCTTCGGAGTTAAGGGCATTGTTGCCGTTATCACTGGAGGTGGAAGCGGACTGGGCCTCTATGTTGCCAATGCTCTGGATGCAAACGGAGCAAAAGCAGTCTACATCATTGGTCGTCGCAAAGAACCCCTCGAAAAAGCGGCAAAGCAAAGCGTGAACGGAACCATCATCCCTCTTCAAGGCGACGTGACTTCCAAAGACTCGCTCGCATCACTTGCCGAGCACATTCAAAAAGAACAAGGCTTCATCAATGTTCTGTTCGCAAACAGTGGCGTTCTTGGAGTCCAGAGCTCCCAACTCAACCTCCCCAAAGACCGCAAGCCAACCCTCAAAGAGCTCAAAGACGCACATTGGGCTCCTCCTATTGAAGACTTCACCCAAGCCATGAATGTCAACATCTCCGGCGTATTCTACACCAGTCTTGCTTTCTTAGAACTTCTAGACGAGGGCAACAAAAACGGAAACGTGGAACAAAAATCAAACATCATAGTAACTTCTTCCATCGCCGGTTTCTCTCGCCAAGTCGCGGCCGGTTTCTCGTACTCGGCTTCCAAAGCAGGCGCCACTCATCTGGTCAAGCTCTTAGCCACACAGCTCACGCCGTACAAGATCCGTGTGAATGCTATTGCTCCGGGCTTGTTCCCTAGTGAAATGACCGAAGGCAACCCAGTGTTTGCTAATGGCGATCCGAGGAAAGAGGGCGGTGTTAAGACCGAATTTGTGCCGTTGGAAAGGAGTGGGACTGAGGAGGACATTGCGGGCGTTGCGCTCTTTTTGATTAGTAAAGGAGGCGCATATTTGAGTGGAAATGTCATTGTACCTGATGGAGGCAGATTGGGACAGATGCCTGCTACATACTAGAAATTTGGAATTACGAGAATAGACGACCGAAGTCGGGCTTATTTTTGGTCGAGATCAGGCCTCATCACTCTTCCTAGTCACTGAACCAGTCTAGTTTTGCTTGAGTGTACAATCACCCATTTCCCATTAATTATAGCAAATCCCCAGATCTCTTCACATCATATCTCAAAAACTTTGTGCCAGGAATATCAATTAGCCGCACCATCAGTAATTCTTAAAATCTGTCAAGTGACTCAAGCCATGTCCGTCTTGACATCTATCTACGTCACCCGAGCCATCATCGATTTTGGTCTCTCAACTGTACCCTAAAACTAGTCACATCTCAGCGACTCAGCCTCTGACTTCTCTCCTAGGTCGCTACTATTTCTAAAACTGGACGATGAGTTCAGTGCCTAACGTTCCTCCTCACTTTCAAGGTTCCTAAACGGACTCGAGCTCTTGCATTAAGCCGAACTTGTATACCCGAGGCGTTTGAATCGTAATAATTATACTGCTGCATATTTAACGTATTTCGTTGAGTCTGTGACTTAGAACGGCCCGATCTGCTAGCGCTGCCATCTAAGTACTTGTGGCTCGATCCTTAAGCGACAAATAAAGGGGAAAGGGCAAGTGGGGCATCATAAGTGCGTACCGGTACTATATATACCTTGATCCTTCGCATACCAATTCGTTACATGCACTAGCAATTGACGCTCCTGATGCACGTGTTACTAAACCCACCTATGCATATTCGCTGTGACATATCTAAGGTTGTCCCCCGCTCAAGTATAAGTATGTGTATATTTCTTCATTTAGAAATCAATGCATGCCTAATCACAACTATGCGGTTAGTTCCAATCCCATTTGGTACTTCAATGATATGGAAACGCTCGACTTACATGATATCTATATCTGCATCCACACCCTCCATTATATGCGGCTCGGGATAATAATGCGAAAGCGAACTCCACTCCGCACCTATATATAGGCACTATACGCGGCATTAAAACTCAACCTCTGAGACTTAGCAACACACTTTAGAGGTCTCTATATTTGCTACACCTATAAGTACTAAAATTGAGGTTATTCTATTTTCCCGTGACAAGCAAAAAAGCTGCGAACATTGATTGTTGACCCCTTAGCAAACCAATATTGATATATGGTATATATCATATAAAATCAATATGCCTCGTTCGCTCTTTTGATATCCTATTATAACTTCATATTATAACCTCACAGGATGATTACCCTTTGGTATTTTGAAGATCCAAGGGTCGTCTTTCCAGCGGTCTCCAAATACTACAACACAGTTTTCGCAGTTAATATGTCCACATTCTAGGCTATACTATGGTCTGCGTCGTAAGCAAGAATAACAGGTGCTACTGCTATGGATACTATGCCAGCGGCCTGTGTAACGGCGAAGAGTACTTCTATGGATATCTGCTGAAGTTTCCCCGCTGTGGGTTAACTGATTAAAAAGTTCTTGCAGCCGGCTTTCAATCCTGTTTGCAAATCCGCTAAAGAGGACCATATCTGGAGATTCTTTAAATGCCATTACTCTAGTTCCACTCACCTGGAGAAGTACATCTCTATATAAGGTTTGGAAGACCAATTTAGGATCAAACACTATGTGTAATTAGATTTTATAAATTTAGGAATAGATGAATATTACTTACTATGACTTTGTGGAGGATAATTATCTAGGAGGAAGCTCGACGCAATAATAGGGACTACGAACTCGGGCTATGTCCTAATCAGGGCTAGGGCGAAATGGCGCCGGACCGTCAACTTTGGCCGCTGCAGCACTGATTCCATGCCTAGCCAATACGCATCCCCTTGCTTATCATACTAGTACGACTAATGCATGGGAATAAGTATTATGAGTCACGCTGGGCACGCCGCGTACCGTGTCGTGTATTATATATGCAGCAACATTTACGGAGTATGTCCCTAATGAGCTTTCGAATTGAAAGTTTTCTACCGGTTCACACCATAGAATTATAGGATTCTTGCCTCTCATCAGTTTTATCTTCATTCAACTCTTCTCGTGTTCTCTACATTAAGTTTAACCCCAAGTCTCAACTTCCTCTCGTAAGAGCCTTTAACACCGAAAATTACAATAGACACAAAGCAGCCGTTCACTAAGATGGTCCAACTCGATTCCGCTCCAGCGCTTGTGGTGGTCGACATGCAAAACGGCTTCTGCCACAAACAAGGTAGCTTCGCAAAGATGGGCATGCAAAGCGAACCAACAGCGATTATTCCGCACATCAACGAGCTGCGCTCCGCGTTCCGCGCTGCTAATATCCCGGTCTTCTTCCTGAGGACAGGATACAACGCCGACTACTCTGATAGACGCGGCCGCGACGCACGGGATCGTGTTGAAGAACTACAAGGTCTGGTACGAGGGTCTTGGGATGCCGATATCCTAGACGAACTTACGCCTGAGCCCAACGAAAAAGTTGTCGACAAAACGAGAAATTCTGGTTTCTTTCAGACGTCGCTAGAAAGTACCCTAAAGGAGCGCGGAGTCAATCATTTGATTTTGACAGGAGTGGGGACGGATGTATGTGTCGAGTCGACGGCAAGAGATGCCTATCAGATGAACTTCGCCGTTACTACCATAAGTGATGCGACTGGGACATGCAATAAGCCAGACCATTTAGCCGCTCTACACACCCTACGAATATTCGGCGGCACGGCGTCGACGGCAGAAGTGATTGAAGCTTTGCAAAAGTCACAAGACTTGCGCAATCAAAGAATGTCATAGACGTTGGAAAAGACTAACTCATGTATGTTCCAATGTCAAATCGAGCTATCAATTCCGCCCAGTCTTTTCTTCCCAGATGAATAAGACTCTTGTTAGCGCCTCGCATGAACCTGTCGCTTCTCTTAGGTAGGATAGCACTATATGCATCAGCTATTAAGTCCCAAAGTCTATTCTTAAGAAAGTAAGCAGGTTTTATGGTCTTTGAACTTAAATTCAGATTTTGTTAAAATTCAAATGCAAGTACCTATAGTACCTGGGTCGTTGAAGTTCCGAACTTCCATTACATTCCAAGTGCACCTAACATAAAACGCCAGATATCTCCGTATAGCCCCTATAATCAAACCCTTTTCTTAATGCTGCCATGAGTTTATTTATCTACATCCAAATTTAACGATCTGAAATCTCTACAGACTGCCATCACTTACTGCAGGTGAATGCGACATCCATTGAGCTCCACCAGGTAGCGCTTTCCCCTCGTCCTTCTCTCGCTGTGACGCTCGTATATCCATTTCCTCATCTGACGGATTTAGTTTAATCACAATAACCGCATCATCTCCTCGCAGATCCGGATCAGCAAAGGGGGGCTTGCCAGCAGCTGGAGAATGGACCAGCTGATTACTAGCCTGCTCCTCAGACTCGCGGCCCAGCAAACTCGCCTCACCATCCAAACGCTCATAATGAGCATCGATAAGCGTCGCGTCCAGGGCATCCAATCCATACCCACATCTATTCCACAGCACCGCATGTCTATCCACCACCCCGTCATAACACATGCCCCACCCCTCCCCATCACTCTCCACAAGCCCTAGGTTTGGGTGCGCTCGTCGCGTCCGGTCGATTATATGCACTATTGTTGGAACAGCTATGTCGTGCGGCACGGAGAAGCGCCCGAAGATGGACGCGAGGAATATGTAGTCCGCAAAGAAGCGCCGCGGGATGTAGTAGATGTCCGTTGGCGCTGTGCACCATTCCTGCGCATCGACAATATAGCCATGCGCGCTTCCGCTCCCGCTACTGATCAACTGAGTGACAGCCGCTAGTCCTTTCGGGATACCAGATCCAGATCTAGATCCAGAACCCCAGGATGATAACCAATTTGACTTGCTGTGTTTTTCTGTACTGGTCATACAGTGAAGACTCTGTCCCTGTGATGGATTTCTTGGGTTCCCGGCTTTGGGAAGCCATATGTTATTTATGTTTGCTCTGGTGTATGCTAGCGGGTCGATCCAAGCATCGTGGGGAAACCGAAGAAGACCCTCGATCTCGGACGTTGCTTTGTGGTCCAAAACTAGCTGCATGGTCTTGGCGGTTTGCATATATGAGGTCTCCTCGTTTTGCCAGTAGTCATGGGTCAAGTTGTGATGATCCTGATGGTCGTCTAGCTGGTGTACAAGTTCCGGGTCCCCAGGTAGGCTGAAATGCATGGTATGGAAGAAAGGTTCGTATTTTAAGAGGAGAGACATCTCGGAACGGTTCTCGTTGTTGCTATTCCAGCGGATCATAGAGAGAGTATTCTTGAAGGGAGATGTAGTCATTGGGGATTTGCTAGGTTCCATTTTCACAATTTGGACTTTGGATTCGGGCTGCTTGGGAAGTGCCGAGTTTGTGATGATGAATGCAACGATAGTTATGGTGAAAAGTTTCTTCTGATGAAGCTAAGAAAAAGAAAAGTTAGAATGAAGGGTGATTTACGGTTTAAGGGCATAAGGATTGTACCTTTGGGAAGTTTGCAGTCTTCGAGAGTATAGGTAGTTTTGATTTTTCGAGGACTGGGGAGGGAGAGCTTGGGTCGTCTGATACTGCAGCTGCCTCGTAAAGCAATGAAGCAAAAATCACGGTAAATATACTCGGCAGAACGACCCAATCTAACTCTGTTCCCGACATTAATGGTACCAGGTACAGCAGAATACCGGTTGAGATAGCCGTCGCAAAACATTTAATGATAGCATCGGCATCTAATCATGTGAGTAACATATCGAGTTTGAAGGGGGATGCATAAACATACATTTGTAAACAGCAGTAATAGCAAGAGTAATGAAGGCGTTACTCATGACGACTATCGCAAGATGCTTTCCATAACCAGAGAAGAATGCTGGCTCGTCAGCTTTGAACATTCTCATGGTCAAGTGAAATATCAAGTTGATAACTGTGCCTAATGCATGTAGAATCATATTATCGGCGTGAAGTGAGGCATTGTCTCTCTTCAAAAGAGCCTGGTGGTACACTCCGGACAGTGCGCTCAAGAAAACCTGAAATAGAAGAATGCAGCCTGTAGAAACGGAATATGAGATGCGTGTGTTCGGTTTGTATTGTGCAATGCTCGACCCAAGCATCTATAGACTGTTAGCAAAAGCCTTGGTGGGAAGCAAGACTACCTACCTGAAAGAGGATAGCAATCCATTGGAGTTTCGTCATGTTGCTTTTAAGTCCACATACTACCAATATAGCCGTCATGAATGTTATGCTAGACTGAATATATTGGACAGTTCGCTGGTCGGCAAGTTCAAGGGCTGCAGGAGTCTTTCAATATCCAGAGTTAGTATATCGTCATGTAGAAGTACAACTCATGATCCAATTGCAACTTACAATGTTGTTAATAAGGGCGTATAAGAAAGCTAACTGTATAAAAGCATATCGCGTGCCTTGGTTGATATCGTTTTTACAATACCCCCAGAATATCTGCAGCTCTGAATGCGACCCATTTGCATCCTCATACACTTCTGGATGCCTTGATGGATGATTGCCATTTACTTTCATTCGCATCCTCTCGACCAAAACTTGCTTCGGCTCTGGAAAACAACTCCTCTCGCTTGGTGGCAGAGGTGCCAGTGACAGATTAACAAGATCCCGAGCGATCTGGTCCCGGCTTTTGCATTCAAAATAGAAGAACACCGTTGAGAGAAGCAGCTTGGAAAATTCCGCGAGAGTGGTGAATGAGGATGTTGAGAATGGGGAGATCTTGCCCTTCGGCTCAGGCCCGGTAGTATTTGATATGATTCCCATGCCGACTTGAATCAATATCAGCAGCAACGCTGCCGAATACGCTGCTCCCAACGGCTGGGAAAGCCATCGCTGAGGATTATAACTAGCCATATTCCTATGTATGGTACTGTATGAGTGAAGAGAATGAAATGTGAGTGACAGTGAGTCCCTAAAAATGATGGATTGAGATGATACAAGTAGAAGCGAAATGGCGAAAAGAGATCAAATGGTCAACAACCTCATTTAGCTCCTGGTCCTGGAGAGTGTTTTATATTTGCCTATAGAGGCAACGACCTTGAAGGAATGAATGTACGGCGAAATCAGAGTTAAAGGATGGCGAGATTGGCTGTCAGCATAGAATTCGAAGACATTAGCAACGACTAGTAATGACTTGAACAATCTACCAGCGACAACGCTATGGATTGCACTATGTCAGGATCAAGATGTGGGTAAGAGAGAGGTGCATGGTAGTATGGAGAAAATAACAAACTCTATCTGTTTATAGAAAGTCGGACAGATGCATGGCAAACACCCTGTGAATGGAGTTCCTGGCATCCCACCAAGATATGAACCACATTCTGGAGCGACTTCAGACATTCACAACTCGGGTTACTCGGGATCCGGCATCTCAACTTACTCTGAGATAGGCAATTTAATGCGAGTTGGGTTTACATTGAAAGAACCCTAGAAGAAAGATACTATTTGGGTCTGAATATACAGCAGTTTGCATATCTCAGGTGTTCCTTCCACCTACACCTTCATCAGTCAAGCCATTGCTATTCCGCATCTTTTATATGTCAGTCGTTCCCTAGCCTAGCCTCATGTCACACTCGGCCTTTTCTCTGTCAGTACCTATAGCGTGCTGTCAGCCGAAGATAAAGTATGGTGTGTATAGGTATCACAAGGTGATCACTTCACTACAGTTGTAGGTCCGTAATTTAGGGTCTTGGTGGTCGCGTTGGTTGTTAGTTCGACCCCGTCTCTCGGACAGATACATCCATAAAAGACTTCTCCGCGGCTTGCTAGGATACTCGGCCCACTACACACTTTTTAAGCGATAGCTATCGCTATCGCTATTGCCATCGCCATCGTTATCCTATCTAAGAAAGAATCATCAAATATAACAATGATGAAGTTCTAATAAATTAACCTCCTTTTACTCCTAAATAAATGCAACGACGTCTATCACGTGCAACGATAATCTTGGGCGATCAGACTTTTCTATACCCAAAGTCGTTTCTAGCAAAATTGAAAAGATAAATAGCCTCTACGAGTATATTAGTCCGAAGCTTAAGATATTTAGGAAGAGCCTTTATCTGTCTGTAGAAAAGGAAGTGGCTGTGTGGTCAGGAAAAGATTATTTTTAGAGCACCATATCTAATCCCGCGATGAGAAGTAAAGTAACAGAGCAGTGAGCAGTTTACCGCGGACACTCGAGAGATAATTCCTACATGTAGTAATTTTTCCCGAATAGATGTCTACCTATTCCTAGGAATCCGTAGCACTGCAACACAACACGATGCTGCAGCTGCAGCAGCCGCCTAATGCCGCCACATCCGGCGGCTCTCGCGCTACTCGGTAAGCTAGGGAGGCTCGGGAAGGCCCCTTTTTGCCAAGAGCGAGCTGAGTCCAAGCTCATCTGAGCTCGCCTCGCTTGCCTCCAGGAACGCGACGCGAATAGGCACTTCGCACATATGTGACTACGAAAAGAATTATAGCCCACAATCCGAGGCATCTAGAATTTTCAGCTAGAGCTGACTATACAAGTATGCCGTATTCTGCGAATAAACGACTTAAAAGAAGGAAAAGAGTGCACTCTATATAAAATGTCTAATATCGTATAAGTTAGGATATAGTTCCCCCTCTGAAAAGCAGCCCCTCCCCTTGATACCCCCTCCCCCTCCCTAAACCAATCAGATGCTCAACACTAGTATTTATAAGCCCGTGGTTTATCTTATTTAGCCTTAAGTAGGGCCTTATTAAGGCTACAAGTATACTAATAATTACACTTTAGTATAGTTCAAAAAGTATCTAGAATACTATAATAAGACAATACTCAAGCTAAAGTCAAAAGCAGAGTAAGGGAAGTAAAAATAATGTGTCTATAGTTAGGGCCACTTGAAAAAGTTATCAGCCCCGCTTTGGCTATACGCGCCCTCCATAGCCGATCAAATGTACGCCAGGAAGCTTAGAAGCCCAGGGCTACTGTCTCAACTTGTACGGTACATGCTAGCGTATAAGACCATGGTCTTATCACTACGTTCGGGAGAACCCCTCATCACTGACCCCACAGCTCACCCCTTTTCACCCACCCCTCTACAACAACCGGCTTCTCAAAGACAGGCATCCAAACATCCGTCCTATACAATCCACAAGCCCAGTGTTTGCCCCCAACACCCTCTACAAACCGCTCATCCATCCAAGCACTCGCCTCCTTCTTCTCCACATCCCACTTCAGCGTACTCCAAACCCGCAACCCACTTTCCCTCATCGTCTCCCACGCTCCTCCTTTCACAGACCCATCAACTTCATCGCCCCAGGACGGATCTAGAATTAGACGGAAGAGGATCGTTAGGTTAAGAGGTGAGAGGATTATCTCGTGGAATATGTGGGGTTTTTGGTTGAATGGCAATGCCCAGCGGAAGAATAAGCCATAGAACCATTTTGTGAAAGCTTTACGAGGAAGCAAATCAGGGTACAGGTGAGGACCTGGACCGGACCAGGTGTAGTAGGTGTAGTCTGCCATAGGCCATAGAAACTCCTTATTCTCTCGGATCATGATGATAGTTTGGGCTAATTGGAGAAGCATTTTGTCGTCGGTTATGAGTTGGTACTCGGAGAGGTAGTCTAATACTGTAAGGAAGGAACTGGAGTTTCGCAAACAGTTTGCTTTCACGAAGACGGAAGGACATCTTCTGCATAGTGGAAGCGCATATAGGAAAGTTGTCAAATGCCCACCCATATAATCCCTGGGAGTTGTTAACCATAGCCAATTGACAGGACATCTTAGCTTACGGAACATTGCTTAGATGAACCCTGTCATAGTGAGAGTATGAAATTCCTTGGGTCTCATTCCTCCAGCACTATCATGATCTGTAACACTGCTGTAAAGACCCATCTGAACCTTTTCCGCGACGTCCACATAGTCACCAAGTATTGCCTCGACTTGCAGCCTATCATCGAGAAATCTGATGGAATTTGCGATTTCTTGGAAGAAAGATGACATGTGATCGAACAATCGGGTGGGGTTCGAAGGTTTCGTTACCATATTATCAGCAGGGAAATGAACCAATGACTGAAATGGATCAAACCAAACATCAAAGTCCCGTTCTTGATTATTGGTAAGTAAATTATTATAGTATTGTACGTCGATCAGAGTAGTGTTGGGGTGCCAATTATCTCGAAGATGTTTGGTAAATATGCCCACGTCCGCTTCCGACTTGGTCGAATGCTTCTTTATCAGTTCTAGCATTTTCGGATCCTGCTGTCTGAGAACCTTCTCTGATGGGTACAGAACAGCGGCGGAGATATACATCTGCTTCTCCTTCTGGAATGGTCCGTCGGCCTTGATATTGGAAAGCCCCATTTTCATAGAAACTCTTTCAACCATCTCGGCACTGGTAAAAATATCCTTTGCTTTGCCCTGCCAGTCTGTTAAGGCTTCGATGTACTTCGGCATATCTCTTCCGTGAAGATACAGCCAGCTCACAGGTTGTTGGCCTTAACTCAAGAGACCTAAAGCTCGATCAACTGTGTTGGTCATTTGGTCGAATGCGTAGGGAGGCATCACCGTGGAGATATAAATGAAGAAAACGGTGTTCAGCACCATTTCAGCTTTATCAGAACCTGGGTCTATTTCTGACAGATATTCAAGCAGCATCCAAATAATGATGTTCCTGGATATCGCCGACTTGGCAATGTCGTTGACCGTCACGTGGTAAGTCCTCTCAGGGACTTTCTTCTTCCTCTCCTGATCCGCAATATCGATGAGTGTCTGCAGAACATTTCGAGCATCCCCAGCACCACCAAAGAAGAACGAAATGCTCTTCAAATAAGGCCTGTAGGTGCTGATAGTCACTGGATCGAATAGTGAAGTGGCAAGATCGTGACCGACAGAAAAATACTCAGTAGCAGTAAACGTGGAAGGTTTGTATCTGGGTATTTCCTCAAGTAATCCCTTCCTCGTCGGTCGCTGTATCAACGTGTACTTTGGCCTTGGCAACCCGGTTCTCGAGCTTCTGCACTTGCTGCTACATATCCTCCGCTCCTTCTGCTTGTAGAAGGGTCATGGCCCTGTGTGCAATTGCGATACATTCTTTGTATTTACCTAGCTCATATAGTGCAGCGGAGAGGTTGCGAGGGGGTAGAGAATCATGGGGTGCGAGCGTTTCAGCTTTCAGGTATTTATCACAAGCTGGATGTATTTAACTGGCTGGTCAACCGCTAGTAGGTTCTAATTTACCTTCAAGAAGCTTTCCAGAGTTGTAGAAAGCATTGCCTTCTTCTCGTAGACTAGTGGCCGTCAGTTCTACCTCATCAGAATTTGAGGTTGCCATTGCGTTTCCGGATCAGACAAGTATTTCTCAGTAGCGCTGTTTCTCTGGAATTTCCACTTTCAAAGAAGCTTGTCGCTTGGGCAAAATTTGGCATTTGTCCAACCTGGAGACATTTCATTAAATAGAACTTTGAAAAAGACGGGAAAGCGGTGAGGTAAAATAGACAGAGCCGCGCTAGCGACGTGGAGAATTGCATCATCACGTGGAATGTAATACACATTCAAGAGGAATGTTTGCTAGATATGTCAAGGATCCTTAGCAAGGTGAGGCTGCGTGCATAGTAGCAACTACGAGAAAGAGCAATTGATCGGAAGCAGGCATACAAACCCTACACGGTCTCAGCTTCAGTTACAGTTATAGTCTCAGTCAAAGGAACCGAAAAACAACGAGTCAACAATCCATTCTATCTGACGACGGAACATAAATTGTGCCCGGAATGAAACATTTCATACAGGCAGGAAACCAAACCTCCAACCAGCCAACCAGGTCAAAAGAAAATCTCATTCAACGCCCTATCAGAACACCGCGACAAGGATAAGTTCAAAACGCATTTATCCTTAGACACGCACAGGAACACAAAAACAAAGCTTCTTATTTGCATTTAGGTCTTTCCTATTAAAACCCATCCATGCAAAGCCCCTTCCTCTGGTCAACCTAAAACACCAATTCCCGCCAGCCGATGATACGTGAGCAGAGAAGAAAATCCCACAATGAAGACCAGACCAACCCTCGAGATGAAAACACAGACAGTGAACTGGATTCCATAATGAGAAGTCTAATCCCTCCGCCGGCTGGAAGAGCCGAAATCCGGCTCGGGGTGTGTCTTCTTCTCTTTCCTTCCCTTCACCCCGAATTCTGCAACGAGCAGGAGATGATCACTCGGGAAGTGATGATTGGGGAATCCAGGCACTGTTTTCATGTACTCTGAATCCACCCCTCCAAGTACAGATGCCAGTTCGAGTGTGTTCGTTGAGTACCAGATGTGATCAATGACGTCGTTGAACCCAGGCGTGCAGTTTGTGAATGCCAGTTGATCGGGAGTCTTGTCGAGAGCACTGTAGGCAGAACGCAGTGAGAATGGGTGGTCGATACCATTCTTGGAGAAATTGCCGTACTGGAAGTCACTCAGTTCCTTGTGGGAAGGTTTGATGGTACCCTTCGCCAATAAATCATACACACTGGAATCCGAGGTTGAGTTGAAATCACCACAAAATACGAAAGGCACCTGAGTATTGCTCGAGTACTCCATAGATGGAGCTGGCTCTTGGGCGGGCTCAGTCTCTGCCGGGGCATTCTCGTCTGCTAGACCAAACTTGGTGCTTTTGTCCACGCAGGCGGGCTTTTTCGTAAATCGTTCGGACATCTTATTGATGGTTTCAATGAGAATGGCCGTTTGGATTAACTTGACATCTGCGTATACAGGATCCCAATGAAGATGGGTGTTGGCGACAATCAACCTCGAACCAGTCATCCTGTTTTCAAAGAACGTTACTACGCCAATGTTATCTCTCGGCATGACTCGATTGAAGATATCGTGCTGGTTTTTCATGTCCGGTCGATTGATAGCGATATTGGACATTTCGACGACTTGCTTCTCAAGTAATATGTACTTGTCAGATTTGTAAAACGTTGCGGATCCATCCACATATTTCGCATCTTTCTCGTGCATGGTTTTCGCTCGAGCTTTGGGCCAGTATACACCTTTGTAACCATCATATGCGAGCTTCGGGCTGAGAAACTCGGTCATTGTCTCCGAGTCTACCTCTTGTAAGCAGAGAAAATCAGCATCTTGCGCCCGGAGTTCTCTCAGGATCATGTCTCTTCGGTATTCCCAGAGCAGAGCGTTTGATGGGGTGTAGCCGTAAAGCTGTGTCGTGCAAGCTTTATCGCATAGAATGTTATAGGTGGCTATTTTGAATTTGTCGGGGTTCGAGGACACGTCTTGAAGAGGAATGGTGATTCGGTCGGGGGCAGGCAGAGGTACTATGATAGGTTAGTCGAGAACTGCAAATGGACTGAAAATTCCTACTTGGTGCCTCTTCTCGGAGGGTCTGCATAAGCGCCTTTGTACCATTTTCCATGATCTCTGCCCTCTGTCCCGCATCAAGTGGATTTCCCTCAATTCCTAACATATCCAATTGGTAGAGTGACCCTATTTCATTTGGCAGTACTCGGATGGAGTTGTTGAATAACAGAAGTTTCTTGAGATAGACACACATTCCCAACTCCCGAGGCAACTCGGTCAGTTGATTATACGAAGCATCAAGATGCCTCAAATGCCGCAACTGCCCAATTTCCGGAGGTAGGTGTGTGATCTTGTTGGAGGCAATGTAAAGCTCGTTCAAAAACCCGTAATTGAAAAGTGGGCTCGCAAGTACTCGGAGCCCTTGCCCACTCAAATCCATGTTATGCCAATCTTGCCGTTTTACTGTTTCTTGACGGTACGGTCGCCCTCGATCTTCGTCGTTTTCTTCCTCTACGGCAGCTGTATCGACATTCGAAGCTGAAGTCAATCCTCGGTTTTCCCCAGCTTTCTGCCTCGCAAAGTGATTAGGAGCTTGGTGGTCCACCATTTGTAAATTCGCATCCGAGGACTCTTTGTGAAGCTTCAGTTGCTCTGACCAATGTTCTGTGATTTGCAGTGCTTGGCCACCACGTGTAACGCCGGTATGACCATTTTGAAGACTGTTCGGTGTGAAGCTGGGTGTAGAATTTGATAATACCCCGGACGAGAAGTTCGTGTGATGCCCGAGTGCCGATCCATTAGTTGAGTGTGTGCCATGGTCTGGGAGGTTATTTCCCTGGTGTTGAGTGTGGTGCTGTTGCTGATGTTGGTGTTGAAAATTATACATCATCGACATCTGTCCGCGGCCTCCCCCATTGACGCGATTGCCATGCTGCCCATGCTGGTTCCCTTGGCCAAACATGCCGTATAGATTTTGCGCGGGCGAGTGTGAGTCAGGGGATCGAGAGGGCGACGGCGTCTCGGTGGGGAATATGGACCTGTTGTTGGGAGGGGTGCCGTTGCGAAGGATATGGCGCGGATGGTGTGCGTGTGTAGGTTGTTGGTAATAGTAGTTCCCAGCGCTCTGCGGCGGATATCTGTAACCATCTGCCATCTAAGAGTTCAAGATTTAGGTGGGAGGGTTGGAGAGGGGGGCTCGTATCCGTTTTCTTCGTTGGCACATAGGTATGCTGTACCGGCATCGACTTAGATTGTGCCACCGCGGGTGTAAATCGAAATGCGTGAATGCCAGAGGCTCTTACACGCTTTGATCGCGAGACTATCGGAGCCAGCTGTAGGGTAGCTGTATTGGGAGGTAACGCTGTTGATTCTAGGTACAATTGGCCGTCGCGGGGTTACAGACGAGCTTCAGAAGCTGGTAGATGATCTGAAGAGGAGATAGGCTCTGCCAGAGCAAGATCAAGCGTTGGGAATCAGCTAGATAAGTGAGCTGGTTGCGCAAGAATCGGGGGGTAGCGTGAGCGGATTGGGGGCGGGATTTGGAGAGGATTGGGGAGGAAGGTACCTTGTATTCAAAAGAGTGCGGGCAGTTGGTGCGAGGGATAATGCGACCAAGATCTCACGGAGCAGGTTGCGTGTCGTTGTGCTGCTTGCTGTTGCTTTTCCTTCTTCACATGAGGTTGCGATACTTGGATGCTTCGAACAAGCGCGACGGTCACGTGTTCTGATCTTCTCTTCTCTTCTCCTCCTGCCTGAGGTTCTACAGAGTAGGTAAGCGAGGTGAATACCTTAGCGTCAAAGTGTCATAAGTCATAATCACTTGTCACTTGTAACACAGTGATTCTTTCTAGGGATGATTCATCCCTTTATTCATTCACAAGTTCGCCACCATCAAGATGTATAAGTTTCTTATCACGGCTTAAGAGTAGATTAACTAACGTTCTGCCTCTCTTGGGGCTTAGAATTTTGTTGATTTGTCAGTTAGCTCAAGGGCCCCACGCTCGGTTTCCCGTCATTAGGATCTTTCATCAGTTCATAAATTCATATATCTTCACTTTGCCAAACTCGATATCCATGGCCGCTATTGCTCTACTTGAACAGGCGCAAATCTACCGCTGTCAAACTGATTCATGGACTCCCAGTCCTTTATGCTCGGCTTCCATATGCTATATATTCGGGTTTCAGGTCTGGAAACCAGCATCGCTGAACAATTGCAATACTCCGCGTCACACTCGGAACCGAGATTTTATTTCGAGACATGCACTTTTATTTCCAACATATCTAGGGAGACTCAATAGGTCATTAGAATCTTTGCTAGTGTTACATTAGCCCATCAAGCTGGCTTCCGTCACACTGACAACCGCCTTTGTGTAGCATATCAAGTAGCACAGGACTCAGGACGATCTCTTTCTTAGACGTCGCTTCGCCGGAATATGCAGGTATCCGTTGCACCGGGAGTAAGGTTCACCTGCAATGGGCCTATTTTCCCAAGGATCAGAGTTCTGGCGGCACCTCACTGCTAACAACAACACTTGAAGGCTTTTTCGTGACCTTGTAATGGGAAAGATTATTGGCTCTTATAAAGCTGAACGGGTTGCAGCAAGGCCCGGACCTACCTATATCTGCACCAAAATTGTCGGCGACGTAGCCAGATGGTATTTGACTGAAATGGCTTCTTGGAGTTTCAAAAAGCCACCTCAGCTCCTTCCACGGAGAAACTTCAACCTTACCAATTATACAGACCCATTGTCGGCGAACTTTCTGCCTTGCTTTGAGGATGTTATGAATGGTACCGGGAATAACTCTACAAAGGGATGCGGGGAAGAGCCCGGAGAACTGTTCGGGGGGTTGCATGCATTATGAGCCGCGGCCACAGCTTATGTGAACGCGTAGGGCACAAAGGACACGATTAGCATATGCAGGTCTGACCATATGTCGAATCCACGTCCCCGATGATGACTGAAGTGAAAAAGAGCGAGCGGAGCAAAGGCTTGATGTGCAGAAGTGCGAAAACGGCATTGTTTTATCCCATGAATCAAGTGCTTAATCTGAGACCTGGGCTAGGAATATGTTGTTGGTTGTCAGGCTGCCAGCGTATGTAAGCAGGGCAGGGCAAGTAGGCAGGTGGTGTAAGGTATCGTATCTGTCTGGCTACCGGTAGAATAAGATTATACTCGACGTCTTTTTCCTATAATAATAAGGCTGGGCCTCTCCTACCTTACTTCCATGTCTTCTTGCGCGCGACCCTCCTCTCGCGCGCTACTTGTACAGGACTCCTCGTACTCATACATATAGACATACTCCATATTAAATCTCCGCCTTTTGGGCAAGTGGCCGATCTTTGACTTTGACTTTGGCTCAGACTTTGGCTCTGACTTTGGCATTGACGTTGACTTCACGTGTCAGCTCGCATCCATCCATCCATGGAAATAAGCGTACTGCTGGTCCAGTAACGAGTACTGTGCGGAGTATCAGGTCAGGATCGAGAAGGCCAACATCAGCAAACGGAGAGTAATGAGCAGCCTTTACAACGTCGTATCACCACTACCTTACTTACCTACTCTGCGTGGTTTACTCCAGCTGGTAACGTGAGCGATTCTTGCAGCAGCCTGTTTACCTTAGTCTATAGGTACAGTATTCTATACTCTACACACCTCGGAGGGCCTTACTCCAGATCTGCAAACTTTAGGCTGCAGCCGGACCCAAGCGCGGACTGCTACTGCCCACCCACACCCCCTGCAAAACCCAAACCAGCCTGGTGAGCGAGCCGTGAGCCAGACAAATCGAATCGGGTCAGATCCGATCAAGAAGCGTGAGAAATGGCTGAAGCGGGTTTCTTCTTCAACTCCACTTGCCAGCGCCCCGATAGAAATGCACCTCCCTCCGCCCACACAAATATATCTGTCCACTCTCAGGCCCAACCCGTGAAGCACACTTTCAAAAGACCACGTCCACGCCGCGCCCATTCAAAGTCAAGACCCTCGACCGGCTATCAGGAACTATCGCCGACTTCCAATTCCACCACTGATCAGCCCTCACTCCCAAGTCCCACTGGAACATCAAAGGATCCATTATTCTCCAAAGGCGGGGGCGAACACGATCGTATGTTTCTCTCAACACCGCTACCCGACTACAAACACGCTGCAAACCAAACCATAAAGACCCGCGCCCAGGCACAAGCAGCCCAGGCCATAGCCCAGGCCGTCCGCAAGTCCTCTTCCAACTCAGGAGGCAGTGGTCCCAAAACGGCCAAAAATGCTGTCGCAGACGCCGCAAGTGGGAGGATAGAATACATGCAGGGTCGCTCGAGTAGCATATCGGAAAATACAACAGCAACAGGATCAGGATCGAGCGGGCGCCTTACGGAGATCACGTCGAGTGATGGACATTCGCTATCGGCGAAACCGTTCACGACGCGAAATGGGAGACGATATCTACGAGACACGACGGTGACCTACCCGCTCCCGTGCGACCTTCAGGAATTACACAGACAAACTTTACGGACTATGCTATTATGCCAGATCTTCAACGGACCGATCTGCTCACCTGCTTTCAATAATAAACCCCCCAAACGTGTTCTCGAGGCGGGATGTGGCACTGGTTTTTGGAGCGTGATGTGTCATCGGTATTTTTCGCAAAGAGGCCACAATTCGATTTCTTTCACTGGAGTTGACATCGCGCCTCTAGCACCACGGGTGAGGGATGACCATGACATGAATTGGCGTTTTGTGCAACATGATTTACGGCGGGTTCCGTTACCGTTTCGCGACGACGAGTTCAATTTGATCATGAGCAAGGATCTTAGTATGATTTTATCGACACACATGCAGCAAGCATTAATGGACGAATATTTACGAGTCTTGAAACCGGGAGGGACATTAGAGATCTGGGATGGGGATCACTCGTTACGAATGCTGCTACCACACGCACCACCATCGACCAAGGAAGAGGAGGATGATAGTGAGGATGAGGAGCAGGTGTATACGAATGCAATGGGCACGTATACGCTGACGCCACAGACACCTTTAGCGGCACCGCAGAATCAGTATTTGATGGACTACAATCTATGGATATCCAAAGCTCTGGAAGCACGGGGTTTGACCCCGATGCCTTGCACAACAATGCGACCTATACTCCTTCAAGAAATCGAAACCCTGGAAGAAATAGATTACCGCCGCCTAGCAATACCCCTTGGCGAGGTACGCTGGGAGAGGGAAGGGGTTGGCGGTGCCGTAACACAAGGTACAAACGGCGGCGCCATCTCCTCGAAAGGCAAAAGCAGAGAATCGGACCGCAGGATGTTGACCGTGGGGCAAGCTGCGCTTCGGAGAACCGCCCTCCAGACGGTGGTCCAGATGATAGAAGCACTAGAGCCACTTCTCCGCGAATCCAGTGGTAAAGGCCAGGACGAGTGGGATCGCTGGTACGGGAATATGATGACCGACCTGCTGAAGAATAACGGGACATCCTGGGGAGAATGTCTAGAGGTCGGAGCGTGGTGGGCTCGGAAGAAAAAGACGACAAGCTGATATGCTGTATCAAATCACATTACCAGTACGAGTCTTCGAAGGATTGGTGTGGTTGCGTAGATTTTATCCGGTATATCACGCGCAACAATCAAGCCTTTGTTCTTTGCTGTAGCGAAATGTAGGTTCCAGCCGCAAGATCAGGATCTGCGAAATGACTTGCTGGATCAAGTTTTGTCGTATCGTTGACGCAGCGTTCGATATCTTTTCAGATAGTACCTATAAGTAAATATACCCCATTAGCAAATTAACCCAACAACCCAAACCAAAGCCTCTCTACTTCTACTCTTGTAAATCCTGTCACTCCATCCCTTCCCATTACGTATCCCCAAATTAGCCACGTCGCACGTCTCCTAGCTATAAAATAATAAACCCTCCAATTCCTCCGTCCTTCCACTCCCATGTCCTCTTTTACTCTCAGTCGCCACAAAGCCATACAAACATTCATGACGACCCAACCTAAACTCCTCCCTCTCCAAGAATATACGAAAATAAAAACTCACAAAGCTTCAATCTCTACATCCACAACACCCGCATTAGCCTGTTCCCCGTATACCTCTCCAGCTTATACAGAGATATCCGTACCTTTCCTTACGAAATCCGCCCTCGCAATCCCCCTCCTAATCTCCCCCTCGTCGCTCATTCCCGCATTACCCATAAATGCTTTGTGTAACCGCGGTTGGAAGTATGCGTAGCCTAGGGGGTAGGAACGGCCTAGATGTAGTAGTTCTTTGGTTTGGTTAGCTCAGGTAGGTGCTGTGCTTTATGTAGTGAGATGAGTGAGTGGGTGGATGGTGGGGAGGAAGAGAGGAACATGAGGACGGACGTTTGTAGATGTTAATTACTTCTCGGCGGAGAGTTGGGTTGGTCATTTTAAGAAATTGAGGTATTGGAAGAGGATTTCGGGGTTGGAATGGTGTTGGAGAGAAAGAGGGAGCTTGATGATGATGGGATGGTATTTGAGAGCGGAAATGCGGCCGCCTTTGACCCGAGGTTGTCACCTAGGTACGGTACGTATATGTACTTCGTAGAGTTTAGTTTGTTGACTTTTTCTTTTCTTCCTATAGATATTACAAAATCGAATTTAAAAAGGAAGCACTATGATAGGAATCTTCTCTTATTAACGCTATCTTTATTTATTCAATCAATTTAAAAATTCGAAGTCTCGGTCGAGTGGTATCCTTGACGGGCTACGGCTCTTTGGCGGGGAAGCTTCAACAGCTCTTCGTCACTCAACTCTCTCCATCTTCCATTCCCAAACCTCAAAATGAAACCCCGACTCCCAATCCCCCTCCGCACCTCCCCGCGACATGCCTTCCTCCAAAAACCCGCCCAATGCCTCCGCAACTCCTCCTCAAACCCCGCTCCATCCACCTACGAACAGCTTCCCCCCACCCCTAACCCCCGCTGGCTCAGCGACATGAAAGCCCGCCTAGGGAAATGCATCATGTTCGGCGGTCTCGACGCCCCCAGCATAGCCAATGCCGCGGGCGCCCTACGCATCCTAGCCACCGAATGGCGCTCCCTCGTTGCTGGAAGCGAAGGCTTCCTCGTAGACAAGAAACGCGCAGGCCTGCTACGCCAAAAGGTCGTCTGGGGAGAACAGGACTCCATGAGCCACGTCAACAACGTCACGTATGTGCGTTGGGCCGAGAGCGCGCGCGTCAATTGGGCGAATAACTATGCGGTGCATTTTGATCCAGCGCATAGGAGGGAGTGGGCGGAGCTGAGTACGCCCAAGGGGATTGGCATGATTTTGAGGAGTATCAAAACGGATTATAAATTTGTAGGTTTTTCGTTCTTCTTATCCCATGTAGCTACGGAGAGTGGGGTTTTGGTTCTGGTTCTGATGGTTGAGCAGCCTATGACTTACCCTGATCACATCTCCGTCTTCCATAAATTGCATAGCATGCCTAAGCCTACAGACTCGCATTTCGTCCTCGATGTAATGATTGTCTCGGAACTACGGCAACGGCCTGCTGCGAGATGTGTCGAGGAAAACGTGGTGTATGATTATAGGAAAGGCCAGAAGACGCCGCTTCCGCCGTTCATGTTAGACGCATTTCGGAAAACGTGGGAGGCTCAGGAGGCGGAGAAGGAAAGGGTTGAGGAGAGGATGAAGGATGTGCTGTGGGCTGTTAGGAGTGTAGAGCAGAGGACATGGGATAAAGAAGGGGCGGTGGAGGATATGGGAGGGACGAAGTGAGGGCTGATTTAAGGGCGTAGATGGTTGCATATAAAGGCGTATGAGGTATGTATATATGTATGTATTTGGAGATTACTGATATAGATAGTAAGAAACATGTTATGACCTAGTAAGCATCTTAGCTGGCCTTTGTCCCGCGAAATGCTAAACACGTTTCTGTCAATAGCTAAGTGGTCAATGCCTGTCGACATGTTTGCAAAGTCAAGGCTTCGCATTCTTTTTGGATTTACTTTCTATCAACATTCTATCAGATTTCAAAGCAAATGCAGTATATAAGCATTACTTGATACATGACTACTTTGCTCGTTCGACCTCCTTGACCTTGATAGCCAAGTATGAAGGCGAAATTCCAGTGAGTAGGCGAGAAAGTAAGAAAGAAGGGGATTAGGCTCTTTTTGGCGTTGTGGGTGCTAGGAGCGGTGTTGGGTGGAGAGGGGAATATGTGTAAGGGTTCTTCCTTGTCTGTACTTTGATTTGAGGGTTTCTCCCTCTCTTGCAAGACCTCTAAAAATCAAAAAAATGATTGAAGCTCATCATGGCCTTCCACTTGCTAGCGCGGGTCCTGAGGCTCTTGCCTGTGTGGAGCGGCGTGTGTCCCAGGTGAATTGGAGTTTGAGGGCGATGTCCTTGAAAGAACCCTGTGTCACGTGGTGGTGTACAAGATCTGGTATATTACTTCTCTTCTGCGCAAATTGTAACATTGTCTTCCTTTTTCCTTTACATGACTCTTCTTTACGAACTCTCGAGCGGAAAAGTTGGAACGCGAATTCTCACTGATCTTGCCTGGACTCACTCTGTCGTCTTCTCGGATCATTTGACATCTCAGACATAACAAGGTAAGCAGCATTTGTAACACTTCCTTGTTGCATTCTGTTTTCCTCCTTCCCTACTATTGTCAAAGATCTGGCCGATACAAAATTCAATTTCAGAGATCTCCCCTCTTCAAAGCTGATGGAACGATCTAGATTCACTTAGGACATCTCTCCCACCGCAACATCATTCTTCAACAACTCATAAACACAAAACCGATCCCGCGAGACCAATACCCAACGCCGAGCATATAACTACGCCCAGAGCCTCTTACAATGGCACCCACTATCTGCGCTATCTGCAAAGAACCAGCAAATGCTAAGTGTACTCGGTGCCGAAGTGCAGTTTACTGCTCACGGGCATGCCAGAAGATAGACTTCCCGTTGCACAAATTGCTTTGCTCTAAGATAGGCACATTCGTTGAAGAAAAGCCTCGACCTAGCGATGTGCACTATCTAGCCTTGCTGTTTCATGAAAATTCCAACCTCCCAGGATTGGTTTGGGTCGAAGCAGAATATATTTATGATGTAGGCAATGTTATCGAAGAGTTTTGGCATTGCTCACGCGGCGTAAAACCTTATATGTCTGGCTGCAGCGGATGGTATGTAACTCTTCCGAGCACTTTGTTTCTTTATCTGGGCACAATCAGTATGATGCTGTTTTATCATCTCGTAAATCACGAGAAATCAGAATGCAGTCATGGGCATCAAATATTTTGTAGTACGCTATACTGACTCGGCGAATCCGTAGGCCCATTTTTCCAAGTCACAACCCTCACAACATCCAAATCTATGTTGTTGGCAGTATTGAACACAAAGGAAACCAATGCCTCGCACACCTGACCGACGGCTACGCTACACGCGATAAATCAATTATGTCCGTCATGCCATATGACTGGAGTGGTCCTAGGGTCGTTCTTGGCTTCGCCGAGAGAAATATGTACGGCGTTTTCAAGTACCGGGATATTACACTCAATGATCTCCGGGCTGCCCTCGACGATGTCTCCACGGACCTGAGAATCTTCGATAGTGGGAAAAGCAACCCCTTCGTTGTCCATGATGGCAACCATTGGACCAAAGCCGTCAAGGTTAGCTGCACAGGCGACCAGGAATTCTTGGGCAAGGCCACATACCGCCAAGTTGAAATCAGGAAGGACCACCCAATTCTCTTTGCGCAAGACGATACTTCCACTATCTCAAAGAGCATGGGATTCACTTTGCTTGCGAAAAAGTGCGAATTTGATCCTGCTTGGGTCTTGAAGCTGGATAGCAAGCCCTATTTTGATCCTTTCTCCAACCGTCACGCTTTACATATCTTGATCAATGCCGACCCATCGGACAAGAACGAATGTTGGAGCAGAGTTGAATTTCCCAAATGGGACAGTGGAAAAGACCCGACTGTTCTCTTCGCCAGAGAGGATCAAAACGACGTTACAGTACATCAAATTGCGGCGCTTTCCTCATACTGCCAAAACGTTGTATGGGACAAAATGAACTATGAGGATGACCAAGACAAAGAGAAGAGGACGGCGGTCGTTCAGAAATATGCGAGCGCAGAGGCTTTCAAGAGTTACTTTGCTAGATATTGCCAAAAGAGGTGTAATCTGGGGGAGGAAGGCTGGGCTGATGCTAAGCCTCCTGCTCCTGCCAATAAACAAGGTGGCATGAGTGATATGGATCGTTTAAGGTATCGGGCTATGGATTTTACGATTTGGATTTCCATCTTCACGGTTGTGATATCTACGACAGAGGATCTGATGCGGTGGAGGAGAAAGAAGAGAGTGAGAAGATAACGGAACTTGAAGCTATGGATTTTTCTGAGTCCGAGGAAGAAGAAGGACACGCAAATATAGACTTTGGGGGTATGGAGCTTGATGAGTCTGATTTGGAAAGGAGTTATGAGCATTCGAGTGCTGGAAGTCTTCCTGGAAGTCCAGAGAGCAAAAGGAGACGCCTTTGAGATATGCTTAGGTTCGCTACCTATAACAAAACGCACCTAGTCTTGCTATGGTTAAGGGTAAGAAGTTAGCGGCATAGTATAGTACACATACATCAGTCTAATGAACCAGACTCGGCATAGAGAACTAGCACCCTTTGTCTTTATATTTCGTGATTTTAGCGTGGTCTTTATTTCGCTTATTTTCAGGGGTAATAATCGCTATCAGTCTTCCCTTTTTAGCGCCTTTCAATGATAATCAGTTGACGCGGATATCTAACATCCTACACAATCTGTCTATTAATACCCTACAAATCCTCGATCCGGGCCCAACCAGCCTCACAGATAGCATAGCAATCACTTATTCACCGTTGATTTTATACAATCAATACACCAATTAAGAGCTGTATGTTGGGCCTTTCTGAAGTTAGAACCCCAACAAGTATCTAACCAACATAACCCTTCAAGCTTTGAACCTTTTCTTTTCTTCTCTTTTTCGGCTTCATTAACTAAATCAGTCATTGTTCTTTTTCTTACGTTTTCTAAGAGATGGTGAGAGCACCCCCCCTCTTGCCATATGCTTTCTAAATTTAACTACGCAATTCTGGATGTGATTGGAATGATTAATATCCAATAAACTATAATTGCGCAAAGTAATGTTTGACCTTGCTGAAGACCTTATCTTCTACCCTGTTCTATGGCCGTCTCCGCAAAAAGAAGAAGCCTCCCTCCCGGTGGACACAACAAAAGCGGCACGCCATAATACGGGGAAGCAGATTAAAGAGCCTAAATGTCCATAATCTTCAGTTGTCCTGTAGGGAAAGCCGTAAAACACTGTAGGAGTTATGTATAGTATGTATAATGTCAACTTAGAAGGAAAGTGACTAGGTACTGATAGCTAATGAGGCTGAGGAATGGAACATCCTGTTTCTCCCAGTTGCTTGCGAAAATGCCACTTTTAGTCAATTGAGACCAATTATCTAACGAAGCGTATCTCATGAAAGAGAGATGAGAAAATGATTGCACAAATATCATTATTTGGTGTTGTGGTTGTCAAGAGGAGGAGTGAACCTTCAAGAGGGGGGAGCGTGGGTCCGAGTTAAGGGGTCTCGCTAAAAGCTATACCCCTGTTAACTTTAAATCTCCGCATGCAAGCGCAAGGCAAGGCAAGATAAGTTCCTAGCAACGCGTTGCGCTGCAAGAATCCAACGTCACATCACCCAGCAACGTCCACAAACACCAGACATTCTGCCCTACAGTGCGCATCCTCTCCCCACACGTATCCGAAGACGAAACCATCTACCGTCATCTCCGATCTTCTTGCGCCACCCGTTTTTGCCCCCTAGTCAAGTCAATCATCGGTCGCAAACATGGCCGACTACACCCAACTCAAGGTGCCAGACTTGAAGAAGCTGTTGCAGGAGCGTGGTTTGACGCTATCTGGTAACAAGGCGGATCTCATTGCGCGCCTGTCAGAGCATGATAAGAAAGATGGAGGTGGTACTGGTAAGGCTCTCCCTCTTGCGACGTCCTGCCCTTTATGCGCTCATACTGACAAATCCATCTTTCAGCAGCTGGTGAGGATGAAATCGACTGGGATGAAGATGACAAGGCTACAACAGCACCAGCTGCTGCCGCCATTGCTGCTGGAGGTCAAGGACAAGTCGCAAATCCGACTGCGGTTCCCAATCAAAAAGTCGATACCGATCCCTCTGCGACTACCGATTTAAAGGTCATCGGCGGAGATGCAGTGCCAGTAGCAGCAGATGGCGTTATCGCAGCATCAGGCGCAACATCTACAGACGCTGCTCCGATTCCAGAGGAGCCAAAGGAGGATTTTAGCATTGGTATTCAACAAACCGATGCAGAAAAGGAGGCAGCAAGACGCGCGGCACGGGCCAAACGATTCGGCATATCAGAGGATGACGAAGCGACGAAGTTAGCAGAACGGGCAAAGAAATTCGGCGTTGAGACTAAAGAGTCAGTTGTTCAGGGTCTAGATTCTGCTTTGCCGGAACGCAGACAAAAGAGGGGAAGAGAGGACAAGCAGAGTCAAGGTGGTCGGAATGCAAAGAGACAGACACCGGATCGACGAACGGGGCCAGGACCAGGACCGAAGCCCGCGGCAGCCGCTAAAAAGCCTTCAACCCGAGTTGTCGATGATCCGAGTGAGAAAGCAAAGGCGGAAGCACGAGCGAAGAGGTTCGAATCGGCTGCTTAGATCAAATCGAATATTTTACGGATGGGCGAGACGATTTCCCATTACCGTTTACGGGAGGACTCTGGCTTGGCTGTATAATAGAGAATATGAAAAGTTACTTGGCAATGATCAATTGGGGTTATGGCGTTTTTCAGACCTGGGGATCCGTTCCCGTCATGGCGTGTTTGCACCGCGATTCACCTTCATTTCCCACGTTGCTATTTTTGGCTGCTTGCAATATTCCAAATGGAGGAGATTCAGATACACAAACACTTGGTGCGGCAAGTTTGGTGGATTACGGCTTGCTGTGGCTTTTTTGAAGGAGGGATTTTGAACTGTCGTCCACTCTTTCATTCAGGGTCCAGCTTGCCGCGGATAAGAAATCCGATTTTCCTTCGAATTTTCACTTTGCCTAAGTCGAATAGTCTCTACGCGAAACGGGTAAGGACCAATGAGTGTCAAGAACAGGACTTTGATGTTGCAATAGGCTTCCGGGAGCGGGGCCTGTCCGTCCCTCGGTCTAAAACAACTAACGTTCTGCCTCACGGCCGTATTACTTGGTTTAAGGGCTTTTCTTGGGTGGCCTTGGTGGAGGCTCAATGATGAATGAGAGTTTGGAGATATAATATGCTGAATTGATAGGTTGAAGCGATTGAGTGCTGACCCTAGAAACAATACACAGAAAAGGAGGACTGTGCCCTCTTACAGCATGAGTTGGGAACAAGACGAAAAGAGTTCCAAATAGAGGTTCCCTTCACGTCGCCGAGCCATAGAACTTCAGAAAGGCCCTTAGACTTTTGTTGGAAGAGTGGGTTCTGCACACCACTTCGTCGTCACGTTATCATGTCTCGTTCCAAGACCAAAACGCCCCTTCACCACCGTCTGCCAATGAGCGGTCGTAAGCGCCCCTGTGACAGCGACTCTGCCCTGCTAGACCCTCTGGACCCTTTACGCCTCGTCGATCTGTCACAAATGGTTATTTTGGGCTGGCATCTCGAAAGTCTCGCGAGCTAACGATCGAATGCTTCAAAATCTTGCCTGCCACGTCAATCGCATGAGTAATATCAAAGTCTTCAACTGTAGCGGGTGCATATGTAGAGACTTCGCCACAACGATAGACGCCGCCAGCGCACAGTCGCCTTGATGCGCTAATCATGCGCGCTTCAGCTTCGCCGGGAACGTGATCTACGATCTCCTACAGTAGAACCTGCCTGGCCTGGGAGCGAGGAGCGAGGCGAGGCGAGGTCAGCCGTCAGGCTTCCATACCATCATGCGACAGACAGCTCGGAGCTTGGTCTATCTTAAGCTCAAGTGCCTCAACAAAGACATACCGTAGATAACCCTTTATTTTAGACAACACTCTAAGGATCGGTCCGTTTGGTAGGCATCGAGACGAGTTCAGTGTTTCCCGAAAGGGTTGGGCATCAAATCAAACGTCGCAATTGCAAGTAGGCATCTATTGCCGGCTGCGGGGATCCCTGCCAAAACTCTGAACGACTTTCGCAACGTGCGACTTTCCTTTTCCGGCTGCTATTATTATCGTTAACTATTACTACATGTGTACTCCGTACGAGTAGATAGCAGCTATCACGCACTAAGAGTTGGCGTACGAACTGTATTCTCCTTCAAACCCCAACTCCCTTTATGGAGCCCTACCGGTAGTCTACGGGTAGGGAGACACCATCAGGGTCTGTGGGTTATCAAAGTTTTAAGGAGGTTCAAAGGAATTTCGCGAGCCGCCATGAAAAATCAAAAGATTCATTGGACGAGAAAATCCCCTATTCGACCAATGAGACCTGTCTACAGCTCTAGACTGCTGCATGGATTACTGAAGCCCATGGCCATTACAACCAGATCCTGAAGGATAAAAGGATCGTGGTAACCAGGGGTCATTGTTGGGCCATTTACGGCTCTGGCCGCCACAATAATATACTATAGTTCAACCTTGCTGGTGTCCGCCGGGAAAGACAGTGCTGACTTTGATTGAGCGAGGCGACCCGGATAGCGACCGCGACGGTGCCTGTGTTACAACAAATGGTACGCCGTTGCGGGGACTTGACGTGAGCAAAGTACCAAGTACCGCTGAAAGCTGACGGTTGTTCTCGGGCTTGAGCGATGCGACAGGCCAACGGGGCCTCAAAAGAGGTCCAATGACAAGCACATGATCGTGAAAGAAGCGCACACAGCCGCAGACCAGCCCAGCGCCCGCGGCTTGGAGATGTTAGTCTTACGAAGGTAGAGAAGATCACCAAAATAGACTCTTTGCGACAAGCGCCATCGCGCCCAAAACCGATCCACCCATCCAGGCCGTTTCTCACCCCACTTTTCCCTCCTGTGCTGACTTAGCCCGCGAATGAAGCCCCGGCGTCTATTGTATGGATCTTCCCACTCCGATGCCCCTCCTTCCCTCCTTACCAACAGAGTTCCTATGGGCGAGGAAAGCTCACCGCTCCACGAATGATTTCTCTCTGAGCGACCTGCCTGCACCTTATAGGTCTCGAGTACTTGCAACTTGCAGAAGCGTTAAACGTCCTGCAGGATGGCGCAGCAGCTTTTGCACGTACCGACTACTGCGTGAAGTCGTTTCGTTGATTTTGCCCTGCTTCTCGCCCCGAACGTTCCATGTCTTTTCCATGCGGCCAACATGACGCGACTCCATGGATCTTTTTCCTCCTGCAGAGGGCCTCTCTAGGTAGCGACCGCCGGCGACTCCAGTGGCATTGGACTCATAGGCACGTTATTATTGCTCACTATCCTGGAAAACGGGGCCCGACGCCACAAGCAAACATACCTACCAAAGCCTCTTCTACTTCGCAGGCTTGACAGCCACAGACTGAGTAGTCGCGATATTTCTATCTATCTCCCCCCACTCAAGGGCATTGACCTCATATTCTCAAGGGTCAGCCCCTCCTTAAGCTTGTACATCCCGCACTTCAGCACTTTGTTCGCAAAAGGGCTTGCGTTACTAAAGTAACAGCGGCTCGCTCATCTACCAACTATTCTTCGTCTCTGTTTTCTGGCACACACGCGGTTGTTAGTCCCCACAAGTCCATCTACCATCCCTGATCCACGTTCGAGCCTTAAACATCGAGGTCGCCCCCCGCAAAACTGGCGCATTTTATCATTTTGGCTCCGTTGCTACTCAAGAATTAATTATCTTTGTCTTTCGCATTCCCTTTTATCGTCACACATATTTCGCATACCCTGGAGGTTCATTCTATATTTCAGCCTATTCAAAACATTGCCTGGCTATTTGCACGTGCGAGTACGAGGTATATTGGCCACCACCCGCCACGCCTAATTACTACTGCATCCTTTGAATCGCAGCGACATTTAGAGCTCTCGCATACTTGAAGCTTCCTTCCCTTTTAGATATCAGTCCCCACGGATGAACTAGATCTGATCTGGTTGTATATTAATTGGGGTGAGCTTTCGTTAGCCAAGACTTTATTTCAGTATACTGATATTTTTAGTTTCTTTCATGTTGCTCTGAAGACTTCGAATTGCGCCACACATTATCCAGGAATGTTGTATATACATCGATATCCTAATTTTATAGTATTGGACCACAGCACAGCACGAAGCAGTGATGAGGAGAGAATAGGAACATAATGGCATCATACAAAGCTGCGTTCGATCCGCCTACCCGACCAGGGGAGTCGGGACGCAGCAGGAGGACGGGAACATACATGCATGGTGAACCGCCGAGGATGGAACATAGAGAGGCAGACATTATGCATATGCCTGGCCAGATGGAAACGCATCGAGGGCAGTCTCCAATGCAGAGGACGCAGCCGACAACACTACCAAAACCGAGTATCAGGGAGCCATCGCCGGTTTCAACGTCAGGCCCAGAGATTAGGTCCAAAGGGTTTGGGGGGAGCTTTGGGTTCGGAAAGTCAATTGACAAGCCCTCTGCTGGATCAGGCGCCCGGGAATTAAAAGGGAAATCGTCACGCAATGTTCTCAGAAGAAAGCCGTCCTCAATCGCCACCCAATCTGGAGGCTCGCGCCCTACTATTGAACGATCAAAAACTGCATCGCCCATGAAGATGTCTCAGCACTCGGGTGAACGCCGCCCAAGCATGGAAGCCTCGCTGAAATCAGCTGAAGCTTACAATGAGATTTTCACAAGGCCAAGAGCAAGAACCCCAGCAGTTAAAGAGACTCCTCGGATCATTCCAGAGCTGGACAGGTATCGGACCAGGCCAGTGGTTACTTCAAAAGTCCGATCCAATGCGGAGGTTCCACACAAGCTAGCTACTCAAGACTTGCCACCTCCTACTCCTCTGTTATCTGGTACGCCTTTGTATTCAGGAGGTAGCAGTAGCCATCGATACAGTGGTTATAGTGGTAGTGGATATAGTGCAAGTCCCTCGACCAGATTCTCTGAATCCCCTGGCCCAGGAGGAGCGTACAGTAGGAATACAACGCCGACATCGATGTCTTCCCAATCACCTGGAATCGTTGTCCCTTTGAAGATAAACACTCCGAGATTACGTCAAGGGAGTCCGGCTACATCATCACGACCACCACTCTCCAGGAGAAGAGCGGGAAGTACTCCTAATGAGATTGAAGAACCCACACTTGATTCCCAAGGTCTTCCATCTTTGCGAGAGTCAATCAACTCTTCGTCTTCAAATTCGACGGTGAAAGTCGAGAACAAGAGCAAAGAGAAGGAGAAGAGTAGGAAGAAAAAGAGACTATCGCCGCCTCCACCAAGCCCACCGCCTCGGAAGTCTTCACATAAGTTTAAGCAAACAGCACCAGATCAACATGAATCTCCTTCAAAACTGTCTCGAGCTCCTGCTAAACCGGTCATGGCATCCCCCTCCGAGTCTGCTCCAGTACAGCGAACAATATCTGCCCAATCAGAAGCTAAACATACACCGCCTCTGCGGCCGAGCAGAGACGGCGCACCGGATCTTCGATCACAGCTCGGTGACTCATTGGCCATTATGCAGAGCAACTTATCGGGTATCAGCCTTTCACCAGAGCGTCGACAAAGTGGCGTTTTACGAAGTACAGCAACTTCGCCGTTGCAAACGCAGCCGGTTCTTCGACCGCCTCAGAGAAGCCGCTTACCTTCACGCAACGCATCTCCAAGTCCTGTACAGGCGTCACAACGTCAGGCGACACCTGCTCCTGCTGGGCTAGGTATAATTCCGGACCTCAGACCACAGCAAGCTCATTCTACGTCCAGCGGCATTACTTCTCGGACTCCTAGTCCAAGTGTTAACAACTCGAAACCTCGCTTTGGGCTCTTCGGAAGACGTGTTAAGACTACTCCTGAAGTTGCAACATTGGACACAATCAAAGACAAGGCTCTACGGAAAGGGCCTGCAGCAGGTACAGGACATGAAGGCTATGGAAGGTATGGGACACGAGGGAGAAGTAGCAGCGCAGGCGCAACGGGAATGAGTCGAGACAGAAGTTTGAGTAGAGGAAGCTCATCGCAGGATAGTGCCGCTCATGATCCTTTCTTTCTCGAGCGGATGAGTCCAGTTATCATTGCAGGTGGAGGCGAGATCATCGAGAATCGCAATGCGAGCTCAGAGTTGTCCCGCACGGAAAGCAACACCAGCCTCCTATTGGGCAGACCTAGCATGGATTCGCGAGACTCGTCCAAGTCCAACCTAAGCAACGAGGTGTCGCGTACCACGCTCTGGCCCTCTGCTCTTCCCCGCGAAGCTCCAAAAAGCACACCGGCGAATACGATACCGAAGGGTCGACGACCTTCTGATTGCAGTGATGATGGGATGCACAACTCGTCATTAGCCTTCCGTCGGTCGATGCAACGGCTCAATCACTCAACGGGTGCACTTCACATACCGCCACCTATCAATATCCCAAGCCGAGGTGTCTCGCCCACAATGAGTAGCATGGATGCGAGTATTCTGTCGGATGAGTCGCAAATGGAAATGAAGGTTGGGAGAGGACGCAAAGACCTGCCGAAGAAGCCGAAGAAACTGGAGAAGCGTGCCAAATCTCCGCGGAAGTGGAACTTCTTTCATCGATCGCAGCCGACAAGCAAGTCGAAGGACGAGTCTGCTGTGCCGGTTACTGTTGGGAAGCCGCCAGCGAAGACTGTAGCTCATTACGCTATGCTCGACTCCTCGGACGAGCAGCAAGACCCAATCGATGTGGATCTTGAAGACATCCTCCGCGATGCCAATGATATGGAACTGTCGAATATGGAACTGGATGCTCTTCAGTTTGGTAACTACAAGGCGAACATCGAGCGCATCGAGAACCTTCACTCCGCGATTGCGAATTTCCAGCAGGAGCTACCCCCGACTACACGATTGGAACCTACAACTGCTGTTCCTTTCTTCTCATCGCCTGAGCCGATTCAAATCACTCTAGATGCCCCGCCAACGGAGTTGCATCTCGGTAAAGAGATGGCACCAACACGTCCAAGTCGACTTCCTCAGGTTGGCCGGATACCAAAGGTTGTATCTGCTAGGCCACAAGCAACATCCCCAAAGTCATTCTCGAGACCCTTTGCTAGACTCAGCACTAGCCAACCTCTTTACCAACCTCCAATTCTCGATAAGCAGTCTGTAGCTTTGGGACAGAGCCCGCCAAAGTCACTAGTGCCATATGCGATTTCCCAGACGACCGAACGCCAAGATTTCGACAAAGATCCCAGCGCGTGCCAAAGTTCCATTGATGTCAAGTCTGACACGACAACTGCTGCAAGTCACCAAGACTTCCTGGTCTTTCCTCTTCGGAAGAATTCCGAAGCCACGACCAGTAGTAGTTCTGGGGGACACAGCTATGCCGGGACTACAGCAGTAATCCCCGAGACTGACGCTGAGCTTGCGGAGGACGAAGTATGGGATGAGTATGACGACTTGATTGAGAATGATAATACCGTCAAACGCCCGAGCTCGACCACATCATCCCGTGCAGGGCCATTTGAGTACGAAGGCTACGAGACTCGCCAGATGAGAAAGAACAAGATGAAGGCTAAGGAGTCACCCACGTTGGCTCCTCCACCTGAGTACAATGAACCAATTACCGACGAGTCTAGACGCTCTAATTTGACTACATCTAGCCACTACAGCGCTGACATGAGCTCTCGAATGAAGGATGCCTTCAAAGTGGTCCCGTCCCCATCAACGCCAATGTCATTTTCGGATTTCTTCGCCGAGTATGGCCATCGCAATAATTCAGTTCATGACGATTCGGCTCAGAAACCACGTCGGCCCTCGCGAAGCAGGTCAAGGAAATCATCTTCGTCTAGTCATAATTCTCGCTCTCTGTCCAAGAGACCGATCTCAGAGCAAGATGTATCCCCGATCTCTCAAGTCAATCTTCGTGTTGGATCGATGACAGTCAGCAAGTGGCTTACATTTGGACATGTGCTTTTCAGTCCTGCCAGGGAACAGATCATGCAGGTAGAAGGATTATCTAAACGTCATTCCGTCCTTGTCCTTGATGGTCTTGGCAATGGTAGGCACCCCTTCTTCCCTTCCCCTCATCTGTAAAATAAGCTAATGAAAGCAGATGACTGGTCCTTTTACGCCGCAGAAACTTATCCCTCATCAACCTTCTATAACCTCTCTCCCACGCGCCCCCTCTCCGCCTCCCAACGCACCTCAACTAGTGCCTCCTTTCCACTTACGCCCCCCAACCACCGGCAAATCCAATACACCTCGCCGCTTCATAAATTCCCGTTCCCATCATCTACCTTCACCGTAGTAGTCTTCCGTTTCCCATCCGGCATGTCTGAAGCCGCGTACCGCAACATCATCGCGGAATCGAAACGCGTCTTGAAGCCGGGTGGATATCTCGAAATGGCAATCCTAGATCTCGATATGATGAACATGGGAAACCGAGCGCGGAGGGCAGTCCGTGGATTGAAGGTCAAGATCCAGGCTTTGGACCCGGGCATGAGTCTTGGGTCTGCTTCTGATACCGTACTCCGTATCGTCGGCAGACGTGGCTTTGGCGAAATCAAGTCCTGCAGTGTGGGCGTTCCTGTTGCTTCTACCGTCCCGTCTAACAAGACAAATGAGAAGAAGGATGAGAGGAGTCTGGCGGATATGATGAAAGATGACTCTGATGCTGGCGATGAAGGCATTACGAAAATGGTAGCCAAGGTGGGGAGATGGTGGTACACGCGCTGCTACGAGATGGGTGTCCTACCCGACGCCGATGTTTCGAAAAGTCTGTTTAACGATGGGCCCTTGTTGTCTGAATGCGAGACGTGGAACTCGAGTTTCAAGCTCGTTGTGGCTTATGCACAGAAGCCCGCTCTGGGAAGGAGGACTAGCAGTGTCTGATTCCCAGCACTTCTCATGATGTGTTTGTTTGTTCAATGGTGTTTGCTTTCCGCTTTCTTTTGCCTGCCTTGTTTTTTTTTTTTTTCTTTTCTTGGAGCATTTAAGCGTGCATGCATAGCGAGGAAGCGAACATAACATCGCGCAAGATACCAAGGCGCGAGCCTATCTTCTTATTGTTCTTACATTACATTTCGGTCACAGGTTGGCATATGCGCGATCTGGTTATTGCTTAGGGACTCGAGCTCTAGTTCGGGCTGTTTTGTTTGGATTTATTGGGGTGTATATGAAGCCATGGCGACTGATTGAACATGATGAGGTTATGATTTTGCTGTCATTTATGTTTAGATGCTTTTAGTTAGAGATACCCACCCATCCTTCTTGGAATATAATGCGATGGATTAATAATATGGATATTTAGAAATAAAGAAGATGTTTGAATTACTATCCTTGATATGTGAGTAAGGGTGAGGTTACTCGATGAAGAGTCAAGACAAGTTTGCTTGAAGTCAATAGCTGGCATGAACAAAAAGGGGTCCTGATATCGAATTAGACAGACCTTTCATATATGGCAGAAATGCCAAGAATGCTAGGGAGGACACAAATCATCTGTTCGTGGTATTTTACATGTTACTTGCGGCTATGCCCATATCAATTTGGGTATCTTCTGGCTTGAATGTGCGTTCACCCTCTTTGCCATAGTTCTCGCAGAGTTGCCGGCTTTGAAGCATGTGCGCATCGCTCTGGGGTTTGTTTGACTAGAGGTTTATTCAGTCGGCAAGGCGAGCCTTGTCAATTTAATCATCCAGCTTGCTGGTATATTCAGGAACGTGCAGGGACTGGAGCTGAACCACGGATAGGGAGCCAATCCAATATTTGAGCAGAGGGCTCAAAGTTCGGACGAGCCGGTAGGAAGTGTCAAAAAAGGGACTGGGAAGATATTGAGCAATTGTATCATGAGTACTGTTGCTGTTCGGGTGGAAAAAGCCAAGCGCTAAAGCTCAAGGCTCTCTAGAGTCAGTCTTGGACCGGCTTATTGAAGCTGCTACGGAAAACAATTAGCTAATCTACCGTCTCAAAAATTCCAGTCATTGCCAATTATGAACCACTAAACCATTAAGTTTACTAGACATGAAAAGCAGCACCTATTCTTATCGACTTTTGATATTATGCCACTTATTAATTAGTGCCGCTTTTTCTGTCCACCAGCCGTGAAACAGTATGGGAGTCACGTGTAAACCCTATCTAAGCAGGATTCCAGCGATTGCAACGACCTCGACCACAGTAAACTTGCTCCCTGTATCCGCCATCCAATGAACCTCTTTCTTCGACGAGTCTCTCCTATTATACGACCAATGTCAAGCCCTATATCGAGATCTAAAGTCTCGATACCTCATACCGAAAGAACAGCGAATGAACCACGTGACAATGCAAGTCCTCTTCTTCGCCACTCTTGATCATGGCAAGCGAGGACTGATTCTTGCCTAGAGCTTGCATAAAGTGCTGCTGGAACGTATAGAGCAAGTCAATGATGATATTCGGCTGTTCCGGCTCGTCCCAGCTAATAGTGAGAAAGGACTCATGAAGGTGGGGTAATTTCCCTCAGTCCCTGATCCACTGCCTCTTCAAGCAACAGAAGTAGAAGTCATGATCGTAGCTTTGAATAAAGCCTGAAACTTTTGTTTTACTTGGGAAAACTGGATGCTGATCAAATGATAGTTCCTTGCTGGCCAATGGCTCGACGTCCACGTCCCTACAATCCCACAAGCTGGTGGCTTCACAATAACATCACCGCCGTCACATCTCGGGTCCCAAGAACCATACATTGAACTTGCGATCCAAAAGTCACCCTCTAATCCACCTGCTGCCTGGCTTTGGCGGCCTAGTGAAAGCATTTTGGGAAGTGAGCTCCAAGTCCGGGTGGGCGGCTCATTCACATGGCCTCCAGCAAACTTCCAAGCCAAAGGGAGGAAATTGAAACGAGCAGTGTTTGTTGCTGGAGGTGTGGGAATCAACCCGCTGATGAGCATGTTAAGCCAGCTAGGCATCGACCGGGAGGCTAATGATGACTTCGAGGTGCAATTTTTGTACTCAACGAAGGACCCACGGGCCTCCAACCTCTCTCGGATTTTGTTTCTCGAAAGACTTCAGCAAGCTTTTGAAGCTCTTGGCGATAGATCTCAGCTCCAGTTATTCTTGACACAGAGCAAGGACAAATCAATAGACGGCAAAAGCCAAGTGGCAAGAGAAGAGACGCCTATCCAGAGGAGGAGAATCCAGGAACATGATGTACTGAGGGTCCTGGGCCCGGTTGATGAGAGGAGTGATACTGTATGTTATATTTGCGGGGTGCCAGGAATGACTGATGCTTTTGTGGATCTTGTGCAGAAGGCCGAGGGAGTGGATGAAAGGAATGTCTTTTGCGAGAAGTGGTGGTGAACATTCGCTGGCTCCGAGCGGATAAAACTCGTACTATCTATATATATAAAAGCTGCTTGGGCAGATCGTAAGTACGTACGGACCGTCAACATCTTCCTTCGCCTTAGTGCTCTTTAACTTCCCTTTTGCCTTTGCAAGCGCTGCGTCTGGCGGAGCAACCTTGCTACAACCCGATTTCCGCGTGAGGACCTGCGCTCTAGTATATCTTGGTGTTAGCCTTCTGATTTATTATTTTGCACTTTTCGCTTGGATAGGTAGGAAATAATACGTACCAACGCGGACCGTCGATGTACTTTGGATTCAGCTTGAACTCCTGTGACGATGTAGCAGGTTGGGCTTGCGGCCTGGTGGGCTTAGGAAGGTCGAGAGTCGCTGATATATGTGTATCAGTAGGATTGAGTGTAGTTTGTAGAAAAATTGGGTCTGTTTTGTTGTTGGTTTGCTACGAGATATTTGGAGGGAGGGGTCATGTCCATTGGGAGGAAGAGGGGAAGTTTGGGAATATTGGATAGAGGGAAGTTGGCGGCCGCTTGGGAGTTCAAAAGATATTCGGGCTTCGAGATATAAACATGCTACATTGACTAAGGTAATATAACGTGTTCTCCAAACATCATTTCAGGTCTTGAAAGCGTCAATATTCGCATTTGAAAAAGCGCGTCGTCAGCATGGAGCAATTCGGGTTTGAATCGAGGTCGTATTTTAGAACCCATCCCTGTCACGTTTAGTCGAGAGGGAGAGCTTTTAACAGCATGTCTGTGAACAGGACTGTGCCACCATCTAAAATAACTTGAGTTTTCAAGAACCACGAGGGCTTCACGGTCGACTAATTCACTTAGCACCTTTCCTTCTTCACTTTTCCGATGTCCACGATGACCAAGAACCTGTCTGTCCCCAACCTCATGTCTAGGCTAGAGCGATTCAACTATGTATGACAAATTGGCAAATCGATATCAACAACAATTGGTTTGTTAAACTTCTTCCCACCACCAATACCATGAGGCCAACTGGATGCCATGATAGCAGCGTTAATGATGCAAGTCTCCTTGCGCCCCATCCTGCCAGATAATGCCTCGAGATCACAAGGTTGTGATGGAGGGATACCACCTAGACCTCGTGTAGCTGCTGAGAAAAGTTGTGGGGGTACTGCAAGCAAGCCTGTGGTGATCTTTGAGACTCCAACCTCAGCGGTACGTTTTGGGTCTTTTGATGCGGATGATAGTTCGGTCAGGTCATCAGACAGCCCCGTCAAGGAATGAGGTGGGTTTCCCGAGGGTTCTAGATTGCTTTTGTTCCAATCGCCCCGGGAACCATCATTTTCGATTGGCTTCCTCCTTGAAGATAAATCTACCAAAGACATCTTCTTATTGCCGTGGCCGGGATCTTCCCACGTTTCCACGTTAGCTTCTTTGTACTTGATATTGGCATCTTGTAGATCCCATTGAACAATCTCGGATCCTCTACCCTCATGAACATGGCCACAAACAGCTAGCTTAGGCCGGACTCTCCATAAAGCATTTCTAAGCCCATCGCAACCTGCTGCTCTCCAATCTTTTCTTTCGTCGCAATGGTATTTCGGCGGTGTATGGGTGATAACAATGTCGGAGTCTAGTGGAATTCGATCCCAAAGGTTGTCGGCTTCTTCTGCACTGTATCCGAACGCCCACATGTCCTTTGCCGGTGAATATGGTGAACCAAATATCTTAAATGTTGTTTGGGGGCCGGTAGGAGACGAGAGGTTAATGATGGCAGCTTCGTGCTTTAGCCATATTATCGAGGGACATTGTTGTAGAAGTTGGATGCACTTGGTAGGGTCTTGCGGCTCTTGGTTGTGGAAGCGCGAGCCATACTGATTATAAAAATCGGTGTCTAGGGTGATGTCGTGGTTGCCTGGGAGAATTAGAATGTGGTTCGTAGAAGGGCTGAGGATATGTACCGGCGACAACAATTTTAGCCTCGAAATCAGCTTCTTCGATCCATTTGAGCGTCCTTTGCAGCTCTTTCTCAGACCCTTGGTTCGTCATATCCCCGCAATGTAGCAGAACGTCGCCTTTAGGCAGCTGAAACGCGCCGCCTGGAGCTGCATTGTGGGTGTCTGAGATGCATACAAAGCGTGTCTTGCGCAGTGCAGGAGGATTTGTGTCAGGAGGCTGTTGATCAGTCATCCTGTGAGGGCAAAAGAGGGACTAGATAGAACAGAAGTCTACAGGAAGAAGAATTTCAAGAGAAAAGGACTCAGGGACTTGGTAAGATATAGAGACTCAAGAGGAAGTGACGGCTGCTGCCTACCTTTTGAGTACCAGGCTGGCATGCTAATATGTGCCATCCAATAGAACTCAATACAAGTAATAATTACCACCCTCATTACAAGTGTAGTATGTATAACATTTTGAAAAGGTTGGCGTGAGCAGAAGCTGAGTTGATGTTGATACCTTATTGCGGCTCACATATTGCTGCATGCATTTTATTAGCTCGCCAAGCCAAGCCTCACCTTCCGCCCGCGACAACCTCAAGCTCCCCTTTAACCGCTCAGTGAAAAGAAACATTCCCAAAGATAGTGCCTGTCTACCTCTCCACCCTTGCCCTCAGCTTAACGCGCTCGATATTCCTCTAATTCCTTCGTCTACCCATAATTCTCGCCGAGCGTAATTGGCGGCTACCTGAACGCGTCTGTGCTCCCAACGCACTCCCGCCAGAGTACCATTCAATTGATCGTCGTTTGATCTAAAGAACGATTTGAGCTTCACGCAGGTCTCGAGAAGCACTCACTGTTCTGCCACGCCTTCATTTGCCATCTGCGGAGACTGCTTCACTTTATATCCAAAGACTGTCTAGCACCAACACATCCAAGACATCCCAACACTCGTTTAAACGCCGCTGAGCGCTTCTGATTACAATCGATACCTTAGTAACGGATCGACATAACTTCAATCCTGACTTCGCGATTCACGAGGTAAGATGGCTGCGGTCTCCGCACCGCATGCCTCCAGCGCCTTGACACCCCCAGCAAGTTCTCATGATGGTCAAAATTCATGGAGTTATTCTGTACCTGCAGAAGACGAGGTAAGCTGGGAATGCTACGGCTAGCGCTATCATGAAACTCTATTAATATTTCCCTGAATAGAACGCCTCCCGACCGAAAATGAATGATTATTCTAGACCCTCTCAATCACATCCCACGAATGGAAATCAACTTCCTCACAAAAGCTCCCGTCCCGACCTTTCCCAGCGACGAACAGATACATATGGCTCCGGAAGATCGACAGACTCTGGGCATCTTGCACCGGGCAGGATAACTGCCTTGTCTCGAAAAGATAGTAATATCAGTGAAACAGGCAGCGCACCAGACAGCTTATTAGATCTTTACGGCCCAAACAGGAGCGGAATTAGCAGCATGGACTATGGCGAGAGGAAAGGGCCGGTCGCTGAGACATATGATGTACACGACTCGGAGCGGTCGAGATGGATCCACAGAGACAAGCTTGCCCGTATAGAAAGTGAGGAACTTCAAGCTGCAGGAATAGTTCTGCCTCGAAACCGAGCAGCCAGCCGATCAAGACCAAGAGATGCCAGTCGAGATCAGCAAGGAAATGGTATCAGGAGTGAGCAAGGTGGACAGAGAAGGCAAATGGTTGAAGCACCCCCAGTGGAGGAGGAATCAGGAGAAGTTATCAATTGGGATTTACGGACACCAGACGAGGTAGCTGCGGACCAGCATTTATACCAGGACATGAGTGGAGGTATCAAAGGCGTTTCGAAGATCCCACTACTCAAGACAAGTCCACTTCCTATACCGATGGAACATCTTGAACGCGATACGCCAATGCAAAGGAAAGCGAGTGCCCTCTGGAATGGCGAAGAAGAGCCGATATCATATCCCAAACCTCGCGGGCGTAGCCAAAGTATCAAACCTTTTGACCCTACACCAACTCCGACGTCTTCCAAAAGGATGGTATCCGAAGCCTCTCCTGCCTCTCCTACGAAAAAGATGGCAGCTCCAAGAAAAGGGTCTGTGTCAAAATCCAGAGCAACTTCAGCACCGCAAAGACCCAAAACAAGAAACGGGTCTGGGAATGCACAACGACCACCCACTCGATCCGGCGAAAATAGCGGCAAGCGTCCAGAAGGCGACCCACCTTGGCTGGCAACAATGTATAAACCCGACCCCCGCCTACCACCTGACCAACAGCTCCTTCCCACAGTAGCCAAGCGCTTACAACAAGAACAATGGGAGAAGGAAGGGAAATTCGGCAACGCCTACGATACCTCATTCCGGCCGCTCAATGACGAAGAATTCCGGCAACCCGAAATAACAACACAGACGATAGAAATGGAGGAGCAGAAACCGGAAAGCCTGAATCCAAACTGGCCCCTTCAAGGCCCCAAGAGCCCAATGCTGAGCACAGGCAGACCAGGCACAGCAGGCAACTACTCTACAATCCCCAAAATCACGGGCACACCACAGGGCATTGGCCCACTCCCGAGTCCCAGGCCACCAATCCGAACTCCTGAACCGCCTGAAAACACCAAGAAGGGAGGGTGCGGGTGTTGTGTTGTCATGTAGATTTCATTTGTGGTACATGCAACTTGTTGATAATCATTGCATTTTAATTGAGCGCCAGCGAACCTGTCCATGCACAGGTCTGAGAATCCATTTCGAGTAACCCTTATTTTTGCAGCGAGGGCTAGGACCACGCATTTAGTACAAACGGGTCGATGGTACAAAATTGCTCTTTCTTTGCTCACACGACTTACGACCTTTTACACAAAGACCGATCTTTTTTTTTTTTTTGTTAACTTGATTCCCCTGAAAATTCAGTTAGTTGGTTGGTTGTGGAGTGTGGAGTGTGGAGTGTGGAGGGAGCAAATTTGCAGGGCGGGCTAGTGATTGGATTTCCTGGCGAGAAGTGATATGGAGATGGAAGTGGGGAAGTGGACGTGAGTGACTAAGTGAGAGAGCGATGTATATATATTAAGTTGTAAGGTATGGGTTGTACATAGACCCGAGTGAAGAGCTGAGAATGGAGATACCTATTGAACATTGCTATTGATTCCCTCCCTCGCCATGCCATGCCATGTTCTAGACCCCCAACTTCGTCATCGTGTAGACTCTAACTTCTGCTCTCTATCCTCTCTCAGATCTCGCTCATGGCCGAGTCGACCCACTCCACTCACTTCCTTGACTCGGCGTCCATCTACATGTAGTACAGGCCTGGACCTTCTAGACCTCTCATCACCTCACCACGCATATGCACGCTCCCCGCCCCGCTCCCCGCTCTGCAGGGACCCCTGTCTGTCCTGTCCTGTCCTGTCTGTCATTCATGGCGTGGCCTAGTCGAACCCGCCGTTGAAATACTGTACATGGATATCGATACGTAGGTAGGTAGGTAGGTAGGTAGGTAGTATAGTATAGTATACTATAGTATAGAGAAGTAACGCACGCCCTCGCTATCTCGTATACTTGCCCTTGTAAGATTGCTTGCATGGTATTATATATGCGGTTCCGTAGAGGGATGTGGGGTTTAGGGTATGGGATGTGATGGGAGGGAGTATGGAGTAAGAGTTTATCTAGGGGTCTAGATTTGGGGGCTATAAGATACAGTACGGGCAGGTAGGTAGAGTAGATTAGGGATGAATCTAGATCGCGATTGTGGGGATGTGGTGGGTGTGGTGGGTGTGATGTGATAGGTTGATGAAATCGGGTACTCGAGTAAGGTAAGAGTCTTACCTTAGATAGAGAGAGAGAGAGAGATGCTAGCGATAGGGATAGCGAGAACGGCTTTTATTAAATACTGTACCTATCTGCGTTGTGTTTTATTATAAGGGTAGGTAGGTATAGATCATATAATACACCTTGTGGATTAATCCCTTCCCTTAGTAAGAACGACCCACGGAGTTTTCCTTGCTCTTCCCCAGATCCAGACCCAGACCCAGACCCAGACCCTAGGAGGAGAACGAACGGAGCGGGACGGTCGATCTAGAGAGTGAAAATCCGGAGGTTGCAGATCGGGTCGGGTCTTCTCGGCATAGGTAGGCTAGGGTAGAGTAGGAAGTTTTTGGAAGGTTGTGTGCACAGCTACAGCACACTGAAAAAGAGAAGGGAAAGGGAGATGCGAGAGTATATCTAGGCTTGGAGAACGGAATATTTACCTTGAAACGCATTTCTGTTTAGAAGATATATGTATTGATTATTTGATGATGATGTTGTTTATATGAAATAAATAAGTGAGTAAGAGAGAGAGAGAGAGAGAGATTTTACACCGTAGAAATGTGTGGTGCGGTGAGACGGTGACGGTTACCGGGGCGGATAAACGGCCTTCCAGGCTCCAGGATAGGAATCGAAGTCGAAGCTTATTTGGTCAGCTTACTGTACCCCTTCCCTTCCCTTCCCTTCCCTTCCCGGTAAACGTATAGTAATAAAAGACTTTGCGCGCGCATATACGGAGAGGACGCAGTAGTCATAGGTAATGGTTCGGAACTTGGGTATTAATTCAGGTCAAGAACAAAACACTGCTAAAGATACTCGTATGAATGGTATCATCCAAATATCATACCGGCATCATACCATGACCTGAGTAAAAGACACGAATCCTCAAGGTACTGCATATCGTTATCCTCTCACCAATGCAGTCGAGCAGTTAAAGTTCAAACCGTAGCATGAATGCGTGTTAGAGTTCATCAGGTCAGGTCATGTTACCTTCGCCTGCGGGTTATTCGCGCAGATCCTTCCTCTTTGGTACGAGATGGAGTATCAACTCCAAGACACTCGAACCGAGAACCCGAGGATCGTGATCTGAGCAAGGTTCTACCCCACTTGCTTGGGCAGTAAAGTTTAGATAATTATAGTACGGAGGTACAGTACAGTAGAGTTCTACGAAGATTACTCGGTATAAATCCTTCGTCGTGAAAAAAGTAAAAGAGAAGGCCTGGCCATTCTAATGACATGAATGCAAGAGATGGATTAATGCGTAGTATTGAGCTGTTATACTGACCTTGACCGTGTTGGTGGGATTTATGAAGTCATCAAGACATCTAGGCCTGACTTAAGAGTCGAGTCGAGACTGAGAGAGCTGAAACTCCTAACTCCGTACCGAATCATAAGATGGGATGGCATGGGTGTGCTTGTTGGAGCTAAAAGGTTTTGAGGTAGAGCGGGGCATGTGTTTCGAAGTCTGTTTGCATCGTGGCTTGGGCCGGAGCGCGCGGCATCCATTCAGCGAAAGATGAATATATATTAAAGATTGGCGTGTGTCCTTTTCTTAGATGGCATGGAGTTATTGTTATTTATCTGCAATCAATAAGCAAAAGAAGCTGCACCCAACCGCACTTCTTTCACCGCATCACCAAAATAACCTACATACCAGTACACCTGACTCCCAGATTACAACCTTGCCAATTATCATCATCCCAGTACTTATCTGTTCGACGCGTTCAGATACTGTACTGTACCGAGGGTAGATACAAGATTGGTAATCTTTACGCTTCTTATCCAATCTCGGCAAGGCTGCAAGATCTTTATAATTCCTCGACTCGTTCATCTCAATCGATTGCACCGACTGGCTAGAGCGACCGCCTGATCTCGCCTTTTGCATTTTCTATCATTACGGCACTCTTTGATACCTCACTTCCCTTATTTAAATACCCAAGCTTCCTTATTCTTCGAGACACTATCGAAACTCAATTCAACACCACGCTACAACCCCACACAACACCACACCAGAAACACTTCCATCTGCTAGTATGAGCAACAGCTACCTCCAACCCGCCTCCAAATCCCCCTCACGCCTACACCGTCCACAACCTCAACGCACATCAATGTCTTCCGACTCATCCACCTCATCTTCCGCATCCTTCTCCCACTACAACGATTCCCCCGCCCCTCGCGTCGAAACCCTGCGCTGCTCACGATGTGCCAAGTGTGTCGAGACTGTTGTTGGTACTGCCCGGGCAGGAAATGGGGACTTGGCCTTGGGACGAGTGAGCACCGACGATGCGAGTGCGAGTGGCATGGTGCGGTTCGGGCATAATCTGTATTATTGCGATAGGTGTGCCAGGATGGTGGGGTATAAATGAGGGTGCAGGAAGAAGACTTCAAATACATAACAACCGATATTACCACGACGGAAGCGAATGGCGAGGAATGGGAAGATGGAACTACAAAACACACGACGATCATGAAAAGATGACTACGAGCGCATTCAGAGATTCCTACACCAACATCTCAGACGATGGAAAGTCCAGCCCACCACCACCCTCAGAACTATCCGTACTTGACCCCAACCATGATTGATTGATGGATTCAACTCACGATACTCTACGATACGCTACGATACGATACGCCCCTGTTCAAACCGCTATCCCCACAGCACTGCCACTTTTCATTATGGATACTCGGATACTCGGGGCGAGTTCTGTTCCTTGAATATGCAAGCCACACAACCGACCCCGCCGCCACTCACAGGCCGCCACAACGACACAACACCGCTGTGATTGAGCGGCCTCCACATCGTGCTTCAATGATGTCATTACGGAGTAAAGTTCAATTCAGTTTCAACGGCACGCAACGTCATTAGTACATGCACTTCCTTTGTCTTGGGTATCGAGATCGGCGTCTTGGGGGCCGCGGGTCTGTTCATCCAGGCGATGCCTGTTTCTTGTGCAGCGGACCCTCTTTCTATTTGCGTTTATGACCATGTATAGCGAACAGTCTTGTACAGCAGCGAATGAATGAGCGATTCGGCGTCTTTTCCTCCCTCATGTTTTATATCCTTGTATCAGTAGATTAGGTATGGAATGGAATGATTCAGCTGGCTGTTTCGGTTTCGAGCGGTGTAAGGGTAGGGATAGGAATGAGCAATATAATAATATAAGAAAACTTGAAGTTTCTATATATGCGTTCTTGTGATATAGTATAGTCTACTTCTACGCTTGCATGCCTGATTTGACTATTGACAACTATTCATTTCGTGCAGTTCATGTAATAGTGTCCTTGCGTTACTATTCGCTTTATTTAGTGGTACATTATTCCGTTCTAATAGCAGATTCGTCACGGGAATAGGACTAGCAGACGCAGACGCAGACGCAGACGCAGACGCAGACAACTATTGTACCTGTGCCACCACCAAGACACCTTTGGCGGCAGCATTCCAGGTGAAGTTACCTACCGTAAATGGGGTTTGACAGTTTGAACTCCCTGCCACGTTTCAGTGTCATATGCAATGGCAGGCCTACAGGTCGGGTAGCTAGTGAGACCACAGGGCCTTGTAGGAGAACTGAAAGCTCATCGGCGGCATCGAGAACGGCTTCTTGTAGTTCTTGGATATGTGGTGGAAATGGGAGCATTGGGGGACTGGCAATTGCAAAAGCTGGACTAGGAAGGCCAGTGAAGGAGATGTATTCGTCGACCTCACAGGGTTTTGGATAGATCAGAGCAGATGGCTCGACAATTCGACTTGGGGTAGACATTTCGCCGGAATGCCTTTTTGGACTGCTGTTCTTTATCTTCGCTTGTATTCTTATCCTTCCTTCTTCACAGACCGGAAGTGCCAGCCATCGGAACAGCAAGTGCGGTTGCGATGATGGAGAAAATGACAAGGACGTTTGAATAATGCATTTCGAGTTATGTGGAGAGGAGGGTGAGTTCTTGTCTTGATTGCAGTTTGACGAGGTCGGCTTGTCGAAAGGTTTGAGTTTGACTCTATGATATGAAGAAGTGATGGGATGGGGAAAGTATGTCTTATTTATGCTGTCAACTGCTCAGTTTTCAGTTTGTTGGTTAAACGACACACTTCCTGGTGTAGCAACACACGCCTAGAATACGACGGTTACCTTCCTGCCAACATAACATGCCGGCTCCCGCAGGAACTCTTATCTATGCAGGATCGCATCCCACCTAGTTTTATACTTGTGTCTATTTGATTACTTCATCGCTGAATATTGCATTTCATTCCCTCTATATTACATAAGCACCTTCGGCAGCTCTTGCCTAGGACCTTATATCTATAGTATGGCAACACTATCTTATAGAACAATCGTATATCCTAGTACTGACTTGCATATATATGATAACACTTCCTATTTGCTCTGAAGCTAGATGTTAGAAGCACTGTATATATTAAGACTAAGCTAGGTATCTAATTACTTAATTGGTAAGTTATTAGTATAGAGACATCTTCTAACTAGCTAGCTAAAGTTTTGAGAAGCGGCTAATTTAGTAGATTCTAGAATATTAATACTTATACTCTTAGTTTATTAAATAATTAAATAGTTATTTCATAGCCAACTAAATAATTTAAGGGTATAATAATAAATGTGATCTAAATAGAAATTTTATTAAAGTATTTTATTAATAGCTAGAAAGTATATTAAAGAGCTAGCGTTATATAATTAGCAAGACTTAGTAGACCTACGAGTTTCTAGTCTATATATATATAGTCTCGTAAGGTTTTAAATAATCTAGAGCCAGCTTATGCTCTTGTTTTATTTACCAATATAGGCCTCAAGGACTAACTCACCAATCGCTGACTTATTGCTCAAGTATATAATCTATATTGCCAAGCCGGTTTCTTGCATGATTACGGCATTACGCCCTGATATAATATTGTTACATTTATGCAAGTAAAAAAGTTATCGGATTGCTTCTCGGAATATCAAAATCAGGAAGGTAGTAGGTGAAGAACCACTGCATGCAGTTTCGTACTTCCATAAAACTTGGCATTACTTTGATAGTATTGCCACACCAGGTCGGATGATCTAGACATTAATATGCGGTATTGAAAAGCCAGAAGTGGCAATCCTTCGTTGTCTCACTGAAAAGTTTCTTTCAAAAATTTCTCTTCAAGATACCATGCAGTCTGTAACTTCCACTTGGGGTTACACACTGGTCTAAAGTTCAGAGACCCAGGATTCGAAGGAAACCCCTAGCTTTCTCACATTCATCAAATCAAGCTACTGGGACTGGACTCTTGACTGGGAAGATCTTCGAAATGCCCCCGTCTGGGACTCGGTTTTGGGATTTGGAGGAGATGGGGACATCCGCGCGAACAGATCTGTAGCCTACGGGCACTGCGTGGCCGACGAACCCTTCGCTAACCTTCTGGTTTCCTACTTTGGCAGTACAAACAGAAAAAACATGCACTGTCTTTCCCGTGGGTTCCTGTCACCCGAAGAAGCATGACGGATTGCTCCTCTCAGCAGCCCCAAGTTGATTGAGAGGACTATGGCTTTGCCAGAGTATGAGGACTTCTTTACAAGGCTGGAATTCGATGCACATAATGCCATTCCAACTTTTATCAGAGGGGATTTCTATGATATCACTGCTCCAAATGGTGAGCTCCTTCTACCAATATTGGATTATGGAGTGTACACTGACCAGAGGAATAGATCCTGTTTTCTACCTGCATCATACCCAACTTGGTAGGTTATGGTGGAAGTGGCAACAGCGGGACTTGGGAAATCGTGTACGCAAGTTGTCTAAGCATGGCCATGTCGAAAATGTTCATAATGTCATTGATATGGGCGAGTTAGCTCCTAAAATAGTTGTCAGAGATACTCTTGATACCTTGGTGGACCCACTATGCTACCAGTATTAAGAGTTTGGAAATGGTAAATCTATTTGAGCTGTGATTCTTGGAACGAGCGAGAGCGTTCTTAGCTTGTGTTAAATTGAACGATATTTTATAAAAAGCTTTACAAAACACCGTACCAAAAGCGAATTAAATCTAGGCTGCCCTAAAAGAAGTCCCCTTGTTTAGTTGATATGAGGGATGTTAAGTAGATACGCAGAAGCTCGAATCCAATATAGACTCCAAACCCAGCCAATTGATTGTTACATAATCTAAAGATTCCAATTGGCCCGCTAGATCTGTGTTCTTAATAACCATGACAAACCCGCATTTAAAGCCTGAGCGCCCCCCGCCCTCCCCTAACCTTTACTAGCAGAGAAAGTTTATATTCTCACTCCGCTCCATTATGAACACCGAATCCGAACCATTTCTTGCTAATTCTTTTCACGAGAATGTTTCTAATGAAAATTCGTCTACTGATATAAGTTATCCACCACAAAATCGAACAGTCAAGATCTCATTTCGAATAATAACTCTAGTCTGCGTCCAAATTCTGCTCATCGTCTGCTACACTGCCGCCACAATTTTCGTAATCAAACGCAATACTAGCATCAAGTCCTGGTCTCCTAATGGTTAGCACATATATATCTTCTTTCCCGGCCCATATGTTTATGGCTGTGATCTAACATATGGGATCAACATCAGCAATTGCCAATTTATCAGTCATCCATGACATGAGTACCACGAACCTGCAGACGACCCGCAGTAGGTACTCTGGCCCTCCACACCCGGACATCGATAGAGCATGGGATGACTTGTTCCGTCTGCAAAATATTCGAGTCACAGGCGAGGAATTTGATTTCAATCAAAGAACGTCCGTGGAGCTGCTAGAAGGGGGTGGATACATGGCCTGGCTGGGGATTTTTCACGAGCTGCATTGTGTTGTGAGTAGCCCATCCGAAATGGTTCTAGCAGCCAAGTTTTCAGACAAACGTATGCCAACTAGAGACAGAAGATCCTAAGGCAGTGGAAGTATAAAGAGCACTACTTTAAAGATAACTCTGAAGGCGAGAATAGGCTTTTAGAAAGCCACACAGGTAAATCAACCTGCCTTTATCAATTAGTTGCGCTCCTAATATGGATACAAATAGATCACTGCCTGGATCGAATAAGATCAAGTCTGATGTGTCATCCAGACGTTTCCTCATTGGTAACTTTCTACTGGGGACCTGATGCTCCTCAACCTGTTGTAAATGCGACAAAAACGATGCATTCATGTGTTAACTGGGATGGGTTGATGGAGTCTACGCGGTACAGGGCACTGCCAAGTCAGGAGTTGAAGGAATTGAAGAATCCCTTGTTGCAATGATTGGAGCCAAACGCCGACTGGATGACTGAAGAATGAACCGTTGTCCGGAAAGAGTCTCTGCCATACTTCGTCCGTGTCGTGGGAAGGGACCTCTCCAATTGTTCTGTTATAAGCAAAGACTTTCGGCCCAACGTTAACTAGAGATATATAAGTAGAAATTCTGGAATCATAGTGCGAGGCTGGAACTTACGGCTAACTCCTATAGTAGGTTTCAACGCTACGGAGTCTTTACTGAGATAAAAACTGGAATATGCGACTGCAAAGGTCCAGAGAAGCAAAAGTGCACCGATAGTGGATATGTATGTGAGATAGGAAAACTTTGATGTTTTTAGACCCTTGCTGGAGCAGGAGTGCTGATCGATTCCGTCTTTGATCTTGGCATAGTGATGACTTTGAAGTAGGCGAGGAAGCACCATTATTCCTGCCTTAAGGATCAAATAACAGTTGTCTTTCTTCAAGCTGAAAACATTAGAACAAAATTAAAGCTCAGCAGCAACTTCTAAGCAAGATCAACCACAGCCAGCTTCACCCAGAGCGCTGACCCAGGCAGCATAGGTAAGCCGCACTTTCCCAAAGCACTTGCCCCCCCTCCCCTCTGCACCCCCTCTTGCTATCCACATATTGCACCTAGTACAGCTATCTCTCTTGCACTACTTAAGACGAATATGAATTTCTTCGACCCGTCCAGATTGGGGTGAAATGACATAACCCGGCCGGCTAGGGGGAACTTAACATGCATAGATGAGGTTGCACCACTTCCGGTCCTCGTAAACGCACCGCAGTTCAGCATGAAGGTTGGTTCTTCAAGACGGTCACCATCTATAATTATGTTGTTCTAAAAAGCCAGGTGGCACAAAGCGTATCTGTCGTCCTATTCAGCCAACTCATCAGACAAGGATCTGGGACCAGCTGACCATAGAGAAATCGACAGCCTTATCTAACTACTAGCATATTATCCAGCGTGTGGGAAGACGAAGACTCAACACATATACGTAGTGTCTCCTACGAACATGTAGATGAGCGTAATTGTGCGCTTATCTTAAGGATTGAGTGGCGTGGTGACTACGACCTCGTTGTCGCGGTATTTTACAATACCATCCCAGAGGCAAGTTTCAGTCACGACAGCGACTGTACAACTACCTTGACAACGTCCGCGGCGCGCTAACAGAAGATGGATCTCTAGAAGAACGTGGTCCTTTACCCTAACTAAGTAGCCAGTCTAAGGATCTAGCCTCTTAGCTGGGCGAGACAGAATAGCCACCCTAATATAGTCTTCTATCTATTAGCTTAGGTTTATTAAATAACAAACGCACCTATAAGCGGCGGATTGTATAAAAGAGCAATACTGTATACTATAGTTAAAGTTAGAGACAGTAGAATAATAAGAGGACCATAGAATGCTTTCTTTACTAGCTCTCTTTATAACCTGTGGCTCTTAAGAGGATTTTAGACTAGAGGTATATAAATGCAGAGGATTCCTTATAGATACAACTAAAGAACACTTCTTAACTCTTAGTTAGATGAATGACAGAAAGGTATATAAAAAGCTAAGAATAGAGATATAAGCTAAAAGATTTAGCTTTTTAGATAGCATATTATAGATAAAAAACCTTAGATATATACTAATCATTAAAAGGATGTCCTAGGTGCACTAGGTCTATAATAGTCACATCAAGCAGAGGGACGAGTGAAGTGAGGGGGGCTTTTGTATTCAACAAACACGTACAATTTCTGGCAGGCGCTCCTCGATCGAGCTGACAAATGCGCCAGGGATCGTTCCCGGAAGCCTCTATGTGAGTAAGATGCCAGGATAGCCAGAACTAGGATTTTTTCTCCGGTGAGCATTGCGCGTTTTACACTGCTTTGAATCTTATATCTATAAAAACCGTTTACCATATCGACGTGTCACTACTTTGCCAATCCCCAAGTCTTAGAAAACTGTCTTTCGGTACTCCAAGCTCTTGCATGCCTATGAACAGCATTGAAAAGACGATTCTGGGAGTCCGCATTGTCTTCCCGGTTCTTGCGCTGATATCCATTGCTCTAGAGTTCGCCGCTCGTAGAGTGAGATCTGCACTAAAAGGAGACGATTAAGTTATCAACAGAAATGAAGCTTAGCTGCCTGGAAGTTTCTTGCGGATGACGAATATAGTCATCGTGATAGTTATTGCATAGTGGATTGCATCTATCTTCCTTAGTATTAACTTCCGATTGATGCTGCTTATATCATGGTTCCAAAAAGGCCTTATTACTCAGCCAGACACCTATTAGTAGTCACTGAGATTTGCTGCAGTTTCCAAGAATAATATGAATCTTTATGCTTTTCTTCTCGCATTCGTGCTCTGAAAATGAGTATGAAAAGAAATATTACTCTTATTAGAATATTTTAGCCTGGCTTCCGGTCTTGTATACTTAGTATTTATTATAAGAGATGAGTTAGAGGTATAAAGATATTACTATTTCTATCTAAAGTAGTAAAACTAGACTTAACTGTAATCGATAGGAGAAATAGAACTAACAACTAGGATTAAGATTTGGGAATTATATTCATAGACTAGCTTAAAAGATATTATAGCATCTACTAGTATTCTATTTTATAGATATCTATTAATTAAGAAACGTTTCTTAAAGTAAGTGTAGTATAGATATAGCATCCAAGCTCTTAAGATATACTCTTGAACACAACTAGCGGTTTCAATATAGAAGAAGCTTCTTAGCAATAACGTATCATAGGATTAAATTACTATATGCTTAAGATAAATACAAACTCCTATCAACTAAGTTAAACGAATCTAGGATTGGATCACTCAGGGTAGCTTTCAGCTAAGGGGATAAGCGCCAAGGGACCAATCTTAAACGTTTATTAGTATGAATTGAACAAAAGTACTAAGTGTAATGGTTTTATTTTCATCCCTTTGAAGAGACAAGCATGTTGTTCGTATCCTTGCGATACTAGGTATGTCCAATGCAGGCTTTAGGATCCTATATATTCTCAATCTTTTGCATCTATTTCCCATCTAGAAAAAGCAAATACCTTTAGGAGAACAAGCCTCGCCTCATTTAATATCCTTCCTCATAAACACTGCCTCAGTCGGCCACTCCCTCCCCTTCCCATCCGTCTCCCACCACATCTCCCTCACCCTTTTAAACGGTACGTACCCGCGCCTCTCATACCACCTCTGCGTGCTAACCCGCGGCGCCTCCCTTCCAAACGCGGCGAGCTTCTCCTCGCGGCCCTCGCCATCGTCCACAGCCGTGCTCAGGGCCAGAGTTCGGGCGTTCAGCGGCGGGGAGGTGGCGAGCGTCTCGATCAGGTCCATGGCTGCGCGGCCCAGGCCCGAGGATTGCTGCGCGGGGCTGATGAAGAAGTTGCTGATGAAGTAGAGGTGTGGGGTCGGGGGCATGTGCCCGGGCGTCTCGTAGGTGCGAGTTAGGGCGATGTGACCGGCGGGGACGAAGGGGGTGAGGGTTGGAGTGCGAGGTGCGGCGCCAAAAGTGGGGGCGGTGTCTGTTAGGGAGGCGGAGGCGGAGGAGGAGGTGGAAGGGAGGACTGGTGTTGTGGTGGGAACCTGGGGGTGTTAGAAGATGTCGCCTGTTTGGAGGAGGTACTTACTATCCATTGGAGATTCATGTCGCCTGTTCGTTGTTCCTCTCTCCAGCTTTCTACTTTTTCCGATTTCCAGCCGCAGGCGACCCGTTGGGCTGTCATGAGAGCGATGTGGGAAGGTGATTCGGGGTCCCAGGGGATGAGGTGGACTAGTGGGGACTTGGTTGAATCCATTTTGCTTTCCGCTATATTTTTTGTAGCTGGTTTTGGGACTTTCGAGAGCTTATATGGAATACTCTTTATCGGCTTCTTCTAGGCAGGTTCGATGACTCATCGTGATACGTAAATAAAATTTACTTCTTCCCTGAATAGGAAGTTGTCTACAAACAATAGTTAGGATTTCGATGGAAGGTTGTATCTTGAAACGAGTAGACGGGCTTCTAATAAATTCGATTTCACCTCAAGCACTACTTTTGAGGTGTAGTATAGGCTTTTGCTTCCAATGATAGGATATTGGAATATACAACTATGAGTACCATAGCAACTGCTCATGGAAATTATATGTTCTATGATGCGAGAAATGGTAACAAATTACTCGTACTCAAATTACAAACACTGGCGCAGAAGAAAGGGTCCAAAAGTACACTTAACCACGTGACACTCGAGATGGCTCTTCTTCACAGTATCTGGATAATGAAATTGAGAGTGCCCTAGTTGAATGAAAACGTCTGCTAAGGAGTAGGATAATCATATCCTCTTATGGCATATACCTTTCGGACTACTTAAAAACTTCGAAAGACGATAAATTAGATGAAGGAGAGGGATGCTTGAGGCTTTGAGGCTGATTTACTTAAACTTGCTTGCATCAAGATGATCTTCAGCCAGATTTCCGCTTGGCCACATGGAACTTCTCCATCTCTTAAAGGAATATCACACCTGATGCAGCGATGCTTCATAGTTGGGGAACCGCTAGAAGAGCAACTACACCAGCTACACTATATCTTCTTCGCGGGTTTCAGAGCCGCATATTATCTACACCAGTAAATCCCTAGTAAAGTAATGACACAGATCTTCAACTCGCTCGCAATGAATCTAAAAGCAGAAGCAGAATGAAGCAGAACAAACCCCCCTTTGCTTGAGATAATATAAGCACTTTTCCACATCCTCAGACTGTAGTGAGAGAGAACTACTCTGCTCAACTACCACCATTGCTCGGAAACGAGTAGAATCAACGAGCGAGGACATGCCACTCAGCCTCGTCATATCATTCCTACCCTTCAAGCATATACCGCTACTGCTCATCCATCCATTATAGCACAACAGCACAACAGCACAACAGCACAACAGCACAACAGCACAACAGCACAACAGCACAGCTCTCAGCCTCAGCCTCAGCCTCAGCCTCACCTTCCCAATCCCTCACCGCAGGTCACCGTGCATCGAGTAAATCAAGTCAATCTCACCGGGCGAGCTGACCGACGCCCGGCTTTATGTATGGATTACTATATATACCCATATCCTTTCCCTGCTCGGATCTAATCAAGAATAACACACCCAGCCTCGCACATTGGGTAGCCATGCATACCCCTCTGGAGGCTCTGCTCTGCTCTGCTCTGCTCTTTTACCGATATATGTATGCAGTATGTCTGTAGTACTGATCTGACAAGCGGTAAAACAAAGCAAGGAAAAGCAGAGCAGAGTACCTTAGGAAAAGCAAGTGCGGCACTGCCACTGATAGACGTGAATGTGCATACTTAGCAGAGGACAATCCATACATAACCCCGCGTTTGGCTGCGCTGCCTAAGCGCTGGGTGCTGGTCCAATAGATTGGGGGCGCGGAAGTGGGATCCTTGTCCCTGCTGATCTGAGTGAGGTGAGATGGGAGTGGGGGTGGGGGTGGGATGGGATGAATGAAAAGAGGGGAAAGATAGGAGGAAGGAAAGAAGGAAAGAAAGAAGGAAGGGTTTGTTTATTTGTTTATTTATTTACTTGTTTACATTCCCCTCAATAGGTCGCAGAAAACCGACCGACCTCTTGCGGCTCCTCTTTGCGTTTGTACGGAGAGGTCGCGTTTAAAGCGACCTGACCTTGGAGTAGAGGTTGGTGGCTGCGCTGCTCGAGGCCTGGCCTGGATATGATGCCATGCCGTGGCATGGCATGAACCCCTCATTGCAACAAGTAAGTGCTCCGTATTCCCCCACTTTGCCTACAGTACTATACGGAGGTACACTATTGATCGATCGGAGGGTACTATAGAAGCTACTCGATCCCAGTAGCTTTGTATGGAGTACTGTAGCAGGATGCCTAGAGCTGAAACAGATACTCCGCTGAGCTGCAGGATACGTATCGTATCAGATGTTGTGGTGTTTTGATTTGATTTTTGATTTTGGCGGGAGGAAGGGAAGGGAAGGCTCTCCCGCGATAGATCGCCCGCGGGGCAGGGCAGGCTGTGGGATGAGACGAGCGAGGCATACTATACTGTACTGTACCGGTATTTATTATTACTGGGTGTTACAATAGTAGATACGGACAGTATACGGAGTAGTAGAATAGTACCGTACGTTTCTTTCCTCTCATCTCATCTCATGATGACAACAAGAATACACGGTACTGTAATATATATGGAGGTAGGACGGATCGGATCTACAGGGTGAATATTAAGGTACAGTAGATGAATGCAAGGGCATCATTTGATTCGGATAGAAGCTTACAGAAGAGAAGGTCCACGGGGTCATGGCTGGAACATACAGACCGATTGGTTGCTATAGACGCTGTGGAGTGCTTATGCCATGCCAGCATGCAGCATGCACCGATGCAGATGTGGAATTCATTTGTCGGGCCTGAACAGAATAATAAATGTCTTCCTGGATTCGTGACGAGTGGTGTTGTGGGTGTGGTGTGAGGTGAGGGAAATTTTCGCATGAGGGTATTTTCGGCCCCCATAACCGCCGTCTGTAAGTTGGGTCACTATCACATTTCTATATAAATCACCAGGTCGCACTCACACTCACACTTACACCCACATCTATATTCTTATTTAGATAGGCGGTTAATTCGGCTGCTTTCTGCTTTATTTAGGAGCCTTTTATATAAGGATGCACAAAGTGGGACGAGGGCAGTGCAGTGCACGCATAAGTAGTCTGTTCATTTATGAATTACTGGACTGGCCCGATTTGACAAGAGCACTTCTATCAAGCGTGCAGCAAAATCATGCACCCAGGACCATGCAGTACTTCTAACTGGCCACCAAACGCCAATAGACTGGCTGGTCGACTATTGCGCGTCCTATTATTTCCCTCATCCGGTTCCGATTTGATGTTTGGGATTGGGGATTTGAATTTTGAACCGAGGGGTTGTGATCCTACTCGATTCGATCTTGCTTCGTGGCTTCTCTTGCAAGAAACCTTGATTGATCTACTACTACTTGAAGCAGCTGATGAGGGAGTGGGTTTTGGTAGGTGATAGTGCTTGGATAGGGAGCGGCCAGTAGGCTCTAGCCAGCTCATTCAGCTACTCGTGGCCTACCCCATGTGGTATCTAGGTTGCACTCGAACTGCGCGCTGACCGCGGTGCTTGCTTTACTGGGACGAGAGGTGGTGGACTAGAGGGTACGAGTGCTACAGCTACTCTGCCACTTGTGACACTGGACTGCCAGCCAGCGACGGCAAGGCGGACGTTGACGTTTGAGACTCCATCGCGCTGTCTGAAATGCCTATCCATGAACCATTTCCTGTGCTTCTCCGGCGTCAGGCTTCCCGGAGATCTTCTGGAAGACAGACCCGGGAGCCCGTGAAGCCAGTCTGTAAACTGAGTAAGAATACTCCGTGGGTGATTGAAGGCCAAATAATCCGCCTCATTGTATACTCCTCTCGGATCCTTCCCTTGATCCCATCAGGCCCCGAATAATACTCGGCCCATCTCTCAACTAGTCGGACAAAACCAAGCATCCGAGTCTAATACTTCTCTCTGATACCTCGAGATAGGATAATGTGAAGTTGCCCGCCCTGGCTCTGCTCTGCCTGATGAAAGGCTGACATTGATCTGCCACGGTACGGTTCCTGCATCGGAATTTCGCCCGGCTGGTCCTTTGTTCTTGACCTCTCCTCTACCGAAAGCTCGAGGCTGTCGATAATTAATATTCCGTACCGTGCCCCTTGCCCTTTCTGGGTGCTGGACGGTCAAGCCTCTATTGGAAGTTATTCACCGCCTCGTCTGGTTGTCTGGACATTGGCCATCTGGGTCTTGACCGTCTTCTTAGGAGGATCTTGACAGATTCCAATAATCAAAACAATAACAATAACAATAACAATAACAACAATAATACTTGTATCTACAGCACTTTTGTTAACACTGCGCGGTTTTTGGAATCTTCACTTTGATTTGAATAGAAGACGGATTTGCCATTGCCACTGCTTACGAAAGATTGACTGAGTCAAGCACAAGCAACGACCGGAGGACGACTTTCTTGGAATTCGGTCCAGTGGTCTCTTTCACTTGGCCGAGTCAAAACGAGTCTTTTTCATTCGACCACATTCCTCAGGAATCAGGATACCTCGAATCCTACTCTACTTCTACCCTACCAAACTTACTCTACGGCCCTACCAAACTCAGTTCACTGCCCACTCCACTCACTCACTGTACTGCAACTCCACTCCACTCCTTGGTACTGTACCTTACTACATGCACGCCTCGTGACCTCATTGCAGCATTTGGCGGTTGATCCACTTTAATCGACTGTCTTCACTAGTGGTGGGCCATTCACAGCGGCGCCTTTTCCCCTGGCCTTTCCCTATCGAGGGCATTATTCCATCGCCATCGCCATCGCCCATCTCGCTTCCATCCCCGCCCCCCGTGCTCCTACAGTACGGTCACGGTCACGGACACGACAGACAGACAGACAGACAGATAGTCAGGTCAGTCAGTACAGTACAGTACTAAGAGTGACCAGGTCCAGCCTAGGACCGCACCGCACCGTACCTACCTACCTACCTACCAACCAGCACCACCACTACCACCACTACCACCACCACCACCTCTGCGCGATAAATCAACCCCCATATCCCATATCCCATCCCATCCCCCCATTAACACCTCCTGCGCCCATCCCCATGCCCACCACATCCTACACCCATTAACAACTCAACTCAACCAAAACACCCACACCTACCTTCTTCCTCCCGTCCTTTTTTCGCCTTACAGATACTTCTTGCCACTTCCACTTTACAAATTGCTCATTTAATACTCAACATTCCCGGCGTTGACGCTGCATCTGCTCATCTCGACTCACCGTCATCCACCCCCTCTCCACACCACCTGCTACAATGCAATAGACCCTAGCTCCACTCGAAGTCGAGGAGCAACCACTACAATAATCACCACCACCGCAATTCCATCAGCTTACCGCATCTCTTTCGCCCCCTCGAATGATACCGAGATTAATCAATCATGGCGTTGAATCTTCCCGAGGATCCATACAAAGCGTTGGGAGTATCAAAAGATGCACAACTTGCCGAGATTCGAAGTGCACACCGGAAACTCGTCCTCAAATGCCATCCAGACAAGGTGCAGGACGCCGCTCTCAAGGCTATCAAGCAGGATGAGTTTCAGAAGGTGCAGCAAGCCTATGAGCTACTCAGCGACCAAACCCGCAGAGATCAGTATGATGACCAGCTTAAGCTGTTCGAACTGAGGAAAGAGATGGGACGGGGAAACCCTACACCGCGAAGTAATCCATTTGAGTATGAGGTCAGAACCGCCGAACCCAGACCCAACGCCTACCCTCGAACGAAACCCTCACCGCAGGCTTCGCCGAAAGTCTACTCGCAAACACCGCCCAGATCCTACGAAGATGTAATATACGAAGAACCAAAAGCGGTGCCGAGGAAAACAACGAGCTACGAGTCGTCAGACCGGAAACGGACTTCGGGGAGGGATGAGGACCGGAGAAAGCACGAGGATGAGGAGAAGTCGAGACAGAAATTCGAAAAAGAAAAGGAAAAGGAAAAGGAGCGCAAGCACGCACACTCGAAGAAGGAGAAGAGCCGTGACAAGGAGAAGAGGAGAGGTACCGAAGAGAAGCACTCTCGTCAAACGGCATACGTCCACGAAGAGTCTGATGAATATGTGCCTCCTCGAACCTCTGAAAAGAAGTCGAGTCGACATAGGGCGGACGACGACTTGCGGCAGCGAGAAGCCGAACGGGTGTCTATCAAGGAAGCTCCTTTGGCCCCGAAATGGGACAAGCACATGGAATACGCTGGGCAATATATGCAAGCTGCTCGACGAAAGGTCGCCCCAGCTGAAGAAGATTTTGTCCACCCTGGTCTACGGAGAGCCGAGACCTATGCAGCACCATCTTACAATGTACGACATGTTGCTCCTCAGTTCAGCGATGACGATACACCCCGGAGGTCTTCTGCTCGCAAAGAGTCGAAAAGAGCTTCGGAAGCCCCGACTCCTCGAACACGAGATAAGTCGAGTAAGGGTAGTAGCAGAAGATCTCCAGCTACATCCCCCAAAGACGCTTACATTGTTGAGCCTCCTTCTCCACCTCCAGTAACCCGGAAACCTACCCTCCAAACACGCTCATCCGCGCCACCGGATCCAGCTCCATTCTCTAGCAGTCAGCGAGAAAGGGATAGGCCCCATCGCTCAAAGACGCAAGACTATCCCCGAAATGACGCTGTTCCTCCTCTGCCAAGAGCACAGACCTTCGCATCAGGGGACCGTAAAGTTGAACCAAGTCGAGACCGTGGGGGAAGCAGGTTAAAGAAGACAGTCGATTATTCAAGTGCTGAATCCGACTCCGACTCCCCTTCTCCCCAACCACAACGACGCTCCCATAGTCCCCCACCCCGCCGCGCAGCACCACCACCCGAACCAATCCGCTACATCATCGACAACGGCCGCTCAGTTCCCATCAGCACGCGACATCGTTCCGATCTTCGTGATCTCAACGAAGACCATTACCAACAACGCGATCGTAGCGAATCCCCTCACGGTCGCCGTAGTAGAGAGCGTTCAGCTGGTACGAGAAACGCCAGTAGTAGACAAGTTCCCATCCGCTCACAGAGCCAGAACTACTACCCCCCCGATGCACCTGAGCCAGTGATTCATACTGTGCGCCCTAAAATGGCCCCGCGTGAAGCGACACATCAGAGTTCAAGGGGCGGTAGTGGGGGTGCAACAGGCTATTTCAACGATGTGAAATATGCGCCAGCATATAAGCCTGAGAATGTGATTTATAGCACATCGCCAGCGGATATTTATCAGAAGAGTAGTAGGGATTATTATCCCCATCAGAGGGGTAGTAGTGGAAGGCCCGAGGTGTACGCTTAGGGTGGATGTTGATAATGAGGCTGCTTTCTCTTACTTTGTACAAACGAACCCAGCACCTTATTAAAAAATGACGCAGTAACGATGGATGAATCTGATTTCCCCGCTTTTCTTTTTCTATTATTCACGAACTGGCATGGCAGGCACGGGAGGGATGGCGCAGCATTGTATTGCATTGCATTGACACTTTCGTTTTGGCTTTAAGCTCGTTGGGAGCTTGTGCGCGGTTCGTGATGTTGTTGTATTTTACATCTACACTCATTGCATTAAGGGGCAGTGAGTGGGTGGAGTGGAGCGGCATATTGAATATTTGAGAGGGGATGAATCAGTGGAGGGAGGGAGGTTATGAAATCATGAAATGGGATGGAATGAGATGGAATGAGATAATGCACGTACATACCCCCAAGCAGATGCGATGGATGCGATGCGATGGAGGCATAGAGTACATATTAGTGAGCTTAAGGGAGAATAAATCATGGAATTGAACGAATGAATACTTGATACATGAATGGTTCTTATACCTTACTCGCTTGCTGATGTTTTTTGTGTTGATGCTGAGATGACTGAGGGTGGGAGGGACGGTGGGAGTTATAAATGCATATATATGTACAGATAGAGGTACCTAGAGAAGTACATACAGGTACTCGAAGTATCGAAGTACCAAAGTAAAGATGCAAAGAAGTAGATTCTCAACTCCTAGTATCGCAGCCAGCTAGCGTTAATATATTTCATTTTCGATATATACTGTACACCAACCATACATACATACATACATATCATCAAGACCCCCCACGGCCCCACGGTGCCTGCCTAAAACCTCCTTGGGAATTTACATCTTCCTCGTCCAGTGCTGTCCACTCCAGTCCAGTTCACTGACTACACTCTAGGAGTTCACCCGCTGGATTACCTGAGTCCAGAACACGGACATACGGACGCAGCAACAGCAATATATATGCGCATGCATCCGGAAAACAGCCCGGTTTTCAACCTGCTGCTCTTGGAACCTTGTACCCGTGCAGCTGGCCTTCAAGAACACGTGAAGTAATTAATCAACAAGCCGCTGTCGCTGATTCATATCATATCATATCATATCACATCATATCCTAGTCAGTACTGTATGCACGATTCGGTTAATTCTTTAGTCATCTTCTCAGCCAGACAGGCCGGCCGGCCCGCCAGCCACTCTCTTGCATGCTTGCTTCTGATACATAGTGCTAGTCAGTCCTTGATACTCATCAGCGAGCTAAATGGACTGCAGTCTAGCGTAGCTGGCGACTAGCCAGACGAGGCGGGTCATGTGATGTGAGGTGGGGTTTGGTACGTAAATAGATGGATATATGTAATCATGTTAGAAATTGTGTGGTTTTGCCACGGTACGACTACTGTAGCAGCGGGAGGTATTTTGAAGATGATAATAGGGAGTTTGATGGGTTTGAGATAAGATAGTTTAGTGTGGGGTCTGGTGAATGAATGCGTTAGGTAGTGGGATTCGAGAGTGTTACTAGAGTTGTGTCGTTTTTGTGTTTTGGTTTGTTTGTAGATCAAGTGAGTGTAGAGAGAGTTGAAAATCATCTTATTGCAACGAGCGTTCGGAATAATCCAGATACTACGTGATGCTAGCTGTAGCATGTTCTGGGCTGGGCTGGGGTTCAAAGACGAGATATTTTGGTGTCAGATATCCTGAAAAGCATCGTATTAATCAACAGAGGACTTGAGAAAAGAAGGGGAGAAATACAGGGGCCCTTTCAACTGCCTTGATGCGGTTCTATTGATCTTGGTCTCTAGTCGGAAAGGTATATCGTGAGACCTACACGTACACCCGCGTAATAGCAAATAACACGGCCGGTCCTTTTAGAAGTTATGGGAAGGGCTTGACAGAACAGGCGCTGAAAAGCAGTGGCAGACAGACTTAGGTACTTGCGCTTTGACTACCTACTAGGTAGAGGTCATAACCCACATACGAAATTCTTGAGGCTTGATAATGAAAGAAGCAAAGACGAAAGTAAACAGAGAAAGCCATTTGGTGAAACATGATATAAACTCAGGGGCTTTTCGAATGTGAAATTATTATCATGAAACACACTACATCTCACAAAAAGTATGGTTGTTTAATGGATATATCTTTGGCTTTTCGTGTATACAATGGCAGTACCGTCATCTATCATCTAGGCTCCGACCAGTCTACTTGATCCGTAACCTGTCCCGAAGGAAGCACATATGATACCTTCAATCGTAATCGCAATGGCGGCTAAAATCATTTAATTAGCAATATCACACAATGCGGGTTGAGATACTTACCCCTTTGCTGCCTGTAATTCTCATGGACTGCGTTGCTTCGGCTCCAGGCGCTAATTCTGGATTCGACATGGCATTCAACTGAAGCTTCTGTGTTTTGGGTACTGCAGCTTGGAGCGCGACAGTTGATAATGGCTGGTGCATTGATTTGTTTCTGAACCGCGCCATTACTTGCACTGTTCCTTCCGAGTTCCGTTGTAATTGTAGTGTGATGTTAAGGTCATTTTTATCGTAGCAAGGATGAGTGGGTACGGTTGGTGCCGTGGGTTGAGGTGAGGGCGATGACATGCCGGAAAAGAGATCACTTGAAGCGGCTGATGCGCTTGGAGTAGGCTGCGAAGGAGCTGAAGGGCCAGAACTACCAAACAGGTCCATGATTGAACTCACGTTGGATTGTTGTGGTGGGGGCGAGGTTGTAGGTGATGTGCTACCACCTAGAATATCGGCCAGTAGATCCGCATTGTTCGAAGAACCTTCGGCAGCCGCTGGCGGATTACCGTCACCCATCAAATCAAACAGAAGATCTTCTTCTGCTGGTTTCACAATCTTCGATTTTCTGTTGCTCGCCTTGTTGGGTTTCTTCATCGATTCGCCAAAGACTCTGGATTCTTCCTTGATCTGTGGCGGTGGCATTTTCTCTAGAACACCTCGTCGAATAGCATCGTATGCGAACAAATTTCCATACTCGACAGCACGTTGCTGGACTTCGATATCAAGACTTGCCGAGTTTCCTTGCAATATCCGTCTGATTCTGTCAATCTGTGCGGGTTCTGAGAATCGGGTGGTGAGTTTCATCAGGGATGTGATGATGTATTCGGTCGCAATTTGGGTGGCATAACTGGAGTTCAAGATGGAGGAGAAAAGGTCAACCACCTCGGTCTCCTTGACTTCCTGCACCAGCTCTTCCTCTTCATATTGCCCGCCTCGGAGAAGTGCATCGCCGTATTCGCCAATGCACCATGCACCGGCCAACGTGAGACTTTCCTGGGTGATGTCCTTCTTCAAACTAGAATACAACTTCTGCACCGCGTACGTTTGTAGCTCGGGCGTTGTTGCGATGAGTCTAATAAATGACGAAAGAATTTGTTCCTTGACATAGTTTCCAGCAAGTGACAAGACTCTCAACATGGTGTCGACGTGCCATCTCTTGTTTGGAGAGAATCTATCAGCCGCAACACCAATTTGACTTGTCATTATGGGCTTGAATTCATTATCTGCAACCTCCAAGAAAGCCAGCAACTCCCTGATCAACAATCTAACATTGCCTTCATTGATGAGAGTAAAACTCAGGTCGAGAGCCCGCCTCCTGATACTGATATCAGGATCACGGAGACATTCGAGAATGGTATTTCGGTGGCGTTGAACCGCGTTTGGTTCAACTGCGACAACTTTGATAAGTGTATTTAATGCCACATATCGTATGTTATTGTCTCGATTCGAAAGGAACTTGCCAAGAATATTGACACCAAGAACTCGCAAGCCCGAATCCGCATCTATGTCCAGAATCGTGAGGACTGACTCGTAAAGGATAGAGTTTCCAACATTTTTTGACGAGTCTGTGTTTGTTGCGACTTGGGCCAGGATATCGTTGATCTGTTCACTCACTTGCGAATTTCCCCGTGCGAGAACGCGAAGAAGTTGTAGAATCTTAACTTGCAGGAAGGGATCCGTAATACCAGTGACATCGTGTTCGGGAGCATATCCCGAGCTCGCCAAGGCCTTCAATGTTCGTACAAGGCTTCCACAGAATGGCCTGAACTTTTCCACTATTCCTTCCTCACCTCCCTCCGCTTCATCAGCCTCACAGAGACTTGTAACCAACGTCAACCCGCATAATAAAACACCATGGTTTCGGTCAGAGAGGAGAGTGGATGCCTTCTCGATGAAGTGTTCTTGAAGATCAGGGACCTTTCTACAGATACGCATAGCGCAAAGAGCAGCTTTTCGTCGAATGTAAGGGTTCGCGGTGGATAGGAGGGTTTCGATTTCAGGAAAAAGATCTCTTGACATCTCGACCGAGGCAATATTTCCGAGGGTGCAGAGAGCGAGTCCAACGATATACTGATTGGAATGGTTGAGATCACTGTAATATCATGAGCAAATCACCCCCATATCCAAATCTAGAATCTCTTACTTCTTCAACGAATTCGTGACCAATGTAAGCACCTCCTGATTCTCATCCAGTAGCAGCATTGTTCCCAAGTATCCCAAACGTTTATCCGCGAATCGAGGTGAGGCAAGCAGTTTGAGGCATTCAATTTGACCAAAATGTGTCCGCTCCCCGAGAGTAAAAAGGTATAATAGTTTGGCTACATTGTTCCGCCTGCAACATCTGTCAATAATTGTCGCATGGCCGATCAGTCCAGAGTGGTTTCCTACCTAACGTTCGAGTCGCCGCTCTCCTCCCTAAAGCTGGCTCTAATGGCGGCACTCTCCTTCTGCACAACAGCACGCTCGTCCGCAATAGTCTTCGACGCCCGCACATTGCGAATGAATTGCTTTACTTTGAATGGTTAGCGAGGGTGCTGTTTTGGCATTGCGGGTGCCTCACAAGAGCTCATTCTAGCTGGTTAGTGCCCCTCTCTGGGCCAGCCGTTTGAAGTTGACCAGCTGGAGAGACTCAAGGATCGGGTATCATGTAGATATGTCAAGAAGCGTAGGGAGAGATCGTAGTCGTGGTAGTCAAGGATTATGCTATTCAGCTAGGCAATGTCTTTTGTTGTCCACTCCATATGTTGAAGCTCGCTTGCGCTTGTAAGCGTTAAACACTGCATGGCAGGGGCGGACACAGATGCAATGGGTGGATTGGACAGAAATGGAAGAGGGCGGTAAGGAAACTTGGCAGAATGTTTGACGATTGTGGCTGAACCCTTGCGCCACGCCACCCTTTCTTCTTATAAGAACTTATTGATAAGACTTCCCAGATTATACAGACCCTACAGTACTGGTGTCTGATTGACAATAACGTATGGAGATATTCCTGGTATAAATCGAATTCTGTGGCTTGAACCAGCGGTATATCTTCTGCAAACTTTCCCCCATCCGTGCGTGAAGCTTCACCATCTACATTGTTTCAAGCTCCGAGTATTCTACAACTTTTAAGCACAACTTGTTTGATCATTAGGTCTTCAGATCAAGCTTCACAATGTCGACTACTTCCGCAGAGCCACAGCTCAACGGTCACCACAAGGAGGACCATGACCATATTCTACGTCCCCGCGCGGTCAAACCGGGAAACCCAGCTGTTCTACGCACTCTAGGTGAAGACGGTCTACTAGCAGTCAACGGCAAAGAAGCCTCCCAAACCAATGGTAGCACATCAGGACAGACGAGGTATAACTCCTATATAACCACCAAATAATATCGCTGACTTTGCTGCTTCAGCGGGCGCTCAACCCCAATCCCCGAAGATGCGCCCCCGTCCGCCCACTCCATATCTTCTGCAAGAAAGCAAGTACGTGCTGAGCAACGGCGGCGGCTGTTTCCCACTATCGAATATGCTTCCCGAGTGTCCCACTTCGACCCGAATAGCGATTATCGAGACTTCCATGGCTTTTATGCCTTGTTCTGGATTGCCCTCACGATTATGGCTGTGACAACGATGCTGAGGAATATAAAAGATACGGGATATCCCATGAGGGTGAAAATTTGGCAGTTGTTTACTGTCAAGGTGTGGGAACTTGGTTTGGCAGACGGACTGATGGTTGCGAGCACTGCTGTGAGCTTACCATTGCACCGTCTGTTCAGAAGCTCAACTGGGAATATGATGGGATTGAGATGGGCAGGCGGCGGAATGGCGCTACAGAGTCTGTACCAAGCCATTTGGTTTGCCTTTTGGGTAAAGTGAGTTCATTTGCTTGGAAATTTCTAGATATTACATGGACGATGATGATCTGGCCAATTAGGGTTCAAGTGGACCGTGAGGATTGCAAACTGCTCGCCTGTTAGAATATCTTCACATGCCAACTTTATGGCAGTAACCTTTTGGGGGCGATTCATAGCCTTTGGATTTCTGCTCAAGCTAGGGCATCAGATTATCTCTCATGCCATTTTCGGACTGTCTCTTACTGACTGGTCCTAGTGTTCCTTTCCAGCGTAACTGGACCTGGACGGCTCAAGTCTTTTTTACACTTCATACCATTGTTCTACTAATGAACATGCATTCATATGCCTTCTACAACGGCCATCTCAGTGAGACAGAGCGAAGGCTACAAGCTCTGGATAATCCGCAAACAGCATCAAAAGCTCCTGCATACCAATACCCCACCGCAGGGCATACGCCGGAAACATCAGCAGCAGAAGATAGACCAAAAAGCCAAGAAGGAAAGCCAGACCTATCCCGCTTGCGAGAAGACCTAGCCATTGAGCTCACCTCCCCAATGGGATCGGTCACTTATCCAAAAAACCTGACTTGGGCAAATTATGTCGACTATATTTTCTGCCCAACCCTATGCTACGAGCTCGAATACCCCCGAACGAAAGGCATTGTTTGGTCTGAATTGGGATACAAGGTCCTCGCTGTGTTCGGTGTCATTTTCCTCCTAACTATCACCTCGGAAGAATTCATCCTCCCTGTAATGATCGAATCCGCTGTGCGCCTGGAAACAGTTGACTCTTTCTCCGAAACGGCGCTCATTCTAGCCGAAGCAATATCCAATCTTCTCTTTCCCTTCATGGTCACTTTCCTTCTCGTCTTCCTTGTAATCTTCGAATACCTACTCGGTGCCTTTGCAGAGATCACCTGTAAGTCCTTCACGCTGCTCAGAGTCTTATAAGCTAACTTTTCCCCAGGCTTCGCAGACAGACACTTTTATTCTGACTGGTGGAATAGCACCGATTGGCTAGAATTCTCCCGCGAATGGAACATTCCCGTCCACAACTTCTTCCGGCGACACGTCTACAGCGCCTCCCGCCCACACATCGGGCGTCCCATGGCCACATTCATCACCTTCTTCATCTCGGCCATCGGGCACGAAATAGTCATGGCATGCATCACGAAGAAGATCAGGGGGTACGGCTTCCTGTGCCAGATGTCCCAATTGCCTATCGTGGTGTTGCAGCGTACGAAATGGGTCAAGGGTAAGAAGGTGCTGAACAATGTGTGTTTCTGGTGCTCCATGATCTTGGGACTGAGCATGATGTGCTCTTTATACGTCCTTTGCTAAATTGCGTTGCATTGGACGTTTGGGAGGCTGCTTGATATTTCAATTATACCCAGAATAGAACGTCTCTTTGTTTTTCTCTCCGTGTTTCGTTAGAAGAAGCATCTATATAGATAGATATATGCCTTTTAATTACCTACTAGTGTCATGCCATACTTGGGTAGTGCCTTCCGCAGTTTAGTCCGAGTAATAAGCCTCGTCTACACCAGCATATATGTTCCATCGAGTTCCCTGTTTCAAGTCAATCTATCTCACGCACTGAGAATTTAGTCTTTGGATTTTGAGTTTGATTTCATGCCATATCCTTTAGTATCCACAATGCGTGTATCTATTTGACCATATCCTGCGTCTTTTTGAAAAGTTCCCATATCCCACTCCGCTCCTACCTCCCCATTAATGCTTCCTTCCACCACCTCCAAGAAGGTGCTCAGGAGAATGTCATCCACAGATACCACGTCTCGCGACGAGTCTCAATGTAGAGATACCAATCCCAACCCCCTCCTAAAGCCAGCAGACCACATCAATACCTATTCCCACAGCCTACCGCCTCCATTAATCAAGAATGAGAATGTCCGGAGAGGAGAATGTCATCTACAGAGACCGCACCGCACCACGTTAGGCGACGGGTCTCATCTGCAGAGATATCAATCCCTCCTTCCCCCCTTTCCCTTCTTTTCCCTTCCTTTCCTGTCATATCCATATAAGAGCACAATTACCAATAAATCCCATCTGGTGTCTTCGGCGCTGGAACCCATCGCCTCAACGTCTGCTTTACATACGCTGCGCAAAGGCCCTCGGGACAAAGCTCTACAATCGCTCTGTTGAGCCTCTGTACCATCTCATCACCTCCGTCCAACATGCCCTCTTTCTCCTGAATCTCCTCTGCATCTGCATCTTGATCCTCTCCTTCTCGTGCAACGAGAACGTGGGCCTCAACAACCTCGCCAGCGAGTAGTTCAGCTTCCGTTTCATTACCGAACCAGCCGATCGATTTATCGCGCTGGAAGAACTGTGCTAGGACAGTGGACATAGCGACCGAGTACTGTGTGCCGTTCGCAGTGAGTGCTGCGAGGGAGAATGGCGAGATCTTGTATATTGCTCCCCACGTTGCATTTCCGTCACTTGGGGCGATCTTGACTATGCAGTACACTTTCATTAGCGCCTATTCCCAATCTCAATCTCAATCTATCCTCATCCTCTACGAAGATCAAGGAGGGGAAGAATTAGGACTTTTAGACTGGTAATTTACCTTTATCATTAGCACCAACACTCCATTTATAATTCTCTACTTTCGCGCACGATACAAACTGACTCCCGGGATACTTCCGCCTCATTTCCGAAATGCTCATCTCGATGCCGTACGCGAAGTACAGGATATCGGACGCGGCGACCTGGGGTAAGGGGAGTGTAGGGTGGGTTAGGAGTTCGACTGTAGCGGAGGACCCGCGTTCTGTGCGCTGTTTTTTGGGCGGTGGTGCTGGGAGGTCGGCGTCATTGTCTTCTTCATTGTTATCATTTGATGAGCGGCTTCGCTTCTGGGTGGGAGCTGAGGAATATGGTGGGGTCGCTGCTTCGCGGGGCGATGGCTTAGAGGCCTGAGTATAAGCTGGTACTTCTGCCGCTGCTATTGGTGCTGCTGCTGCCTCTTGAGACGACGGCGCCGGCGGTGCAGCAAAGTTTCGAGCAGCGCTTTTGCCAGCTACTGTCTTCCTAGCTTTTCCTTTCTTACCCTTGTTTTTCACAACGCCTTTGCCATCTAGCTTCGGCAGCCTCGTTCCAAAAGTCGCCGAGGGTCCTGTAGCAGGATGAATTCCACCTTCCGGGCGATCGTCTCTCAGGAACTGGCTCATGGACATTGGGGGCCTGGTTGGGCGGGCGTCGAGAGCGGCGTCGATTTCGAAGACTGTTAAGCGTTTGCGTTCTGGCTCTGGCTCTACGGATGCAGAGGTAGATGTAGACGTAAAGTTAGCGGCGTCTTTGGATGTTTGGACACGGCGACTCTGGCTTGTGTTTAGGGCGGATGCAGAGGCTATAGTTGATGGCGAGGACGCGAAGGGGTTGGTTGGCGATGGTGTTGGAAAGGGGTCGGCACGTTGCGAGTTGAAGGACGATGCTTTGTGTGTGGGTTTGAGCGGGCGGTCTGAGCGGCGTGTTCCGACTAGAGCTGGGGCTTGAGGGGCAATTGTCGTATTTGTCTTCTTCTGCTTTTTGCGTCTTGGCTGTTCATCGGCTTCTGATGATTCGAAACCCTCTACAGGTACCTCTGCGCCAGCTTTTCTCTTCCTGAGAGGCGGCGTTGCGACACGAATAACGTCTTCTGGTGAGGGTGAGCGCTTCTTAGCTTTCACATTCTGCTTTTTTGGAGACTGGGCTGTATTTTTTGCTGTCTTGTTCTTGGGTGGTCGGCCACGTCTCTTTGGAGGAGGTGCGACGGGTTCTGGCTCGGGAGCTCCTGAGAGATCGAGCCAGAAAGTTGGAGAAGGGGGTGGTGAGGGCGAATTCGTGAACTCGGTCAAGGGACTTGATGGTGGGGTGTTGATTAGAGACGCCATGGTGTTCAGATCAGATTGGTTTGGTGTTGATGAGTGGAGTTGAGTTGAGTTGAATTCAGTGCAGAAGGTAAAGCTACGAGCGTGGAAGAAAAGAGAAAGCTTTGGGAGGTAGGTGGGTGGAAGTCGAAGGTTTCTTCGGAAGGCTAACGTCTTTACAATGGCGTTTAACAATTAATGAGGACAATTGTATTGTGAATGAGTGAATGGGCGATGGAGTATTGCTGCCCAGTCTTTGAGTGGCTGGGACTATTGACAGATCCGATACCGTGATATTCACTTGAAGGGAGATCTATCAAGGGAATGTAAAAGAGAGGTACGTGCTTGATAGTGCTTGCAGATATAAAAGAAATGGATCTACAATGTACTGCGCAATACAAGAGCGGGGCAATATGAAGTCGAAAAAGAATTGAGTATTCACTTTATACAGGAAAAGGACTTCAACAGAATGAATCGACTTTGACTCTGTCTTTCTGGTGTCTGTCTCACTTGAGATGGATTTCTTGTTCTGCGCTTGTAAATACATTAATCAAGCCCATGTCCCTGTAATACTTGTCTTATCTCACATAGACCGATGCTACCTAAAGAGCTCTTATTCCCTACCTCGATGACATTAAACTCCATATTCTCCGAAAAGCAAGTATAGCTAGGAAATCACAAAACATTTACTGAAAGATATACATACATAGGAGGTATTCGGAGATGAAGTATTCTGCCTTAGCCGTCAAATTGGATCCACGCTGGATGTTGCTTAAGTTGGGGGATGTTTTAACTGACTGTAAATTCTCACTGGAGGATAGGGTGGCTGGCGATAGTGAAACCGGAGATGAACAAGGAGGCTAAGGAGAGACGGGTTATTGTGAACGAGATGTGTATTGAAGAGGAACAATGGGTTGTTATGCAGCAAGCAGCGATTATAGGAGAGAAACCTGCTTGATAATGAGAAAGAAGAGCTTTCCTCAAGAACGGGAGAAAGAGGAGCTTGCTGAACCAAAAGAGAAGGCTGCAAAGGAACTGGACTGATCATGAGATACCAACAAAACAGAGGAAGCTAGGTTTATTGCCATACGTGAGCATAGCCTAGCCTCACCAACGTAAAAGTAGAGGATACAAACACAAACTCGCAAACAGTAAAGGATGGACATTGCCATTGCTGAGGAATACAAGGCGTTCAAAGCTAGGGATCATCCATCCATGCTGTAGACTAGTACGCACGATCTCCAAACCCATTCTCCCCTAAACAAAACACCTTGAATACAGTCTACTGCAATCTTACCTAGGTAGGTACCTACCCAACTAATCACACCCCCCAAACCCATACCAAAGCAATCAATCAATCACCCAATGTTCCAAAACAGACCCCCTGAAACTAAAATCCCAGAGCCAGATATATCTGCATGCATATACCTACATACGCATATCATGCCCCAATCTCACAACTGTGTGGTGACACGAAAACATCGTATGTCTGTCTCGTTGGAGCAAGTACGAGTCGGTATCACTTGCATGATGCATAGTGCAATGCAGAGTCGCAGACAGAAGCTTAGATAAGAATTTGGGCAGCGAGTGGAGTGGACGCGGGGCTCGTGCGACCGAGCATAGCAGGTAAGAATAAGTGGTTGCAACTTGCAACTTGTGTGTATAACGGAAATGATGGCTTCTTTTGTGAAAATTCGGGGTTTGATTGGAATAAATACACGGCTTGAATTACAATATCCACAAACGCATTTAGCGAATAGAGCAATGGCACATGGAGCAACATCTAAGCTGTCATTGACATCCCACAGCTTTTCCTACCTGATACCTTCGTTGCCGTCTTCCACTTCATCCCCCATCTCCTCCGCTCTTCTTTTCCCACTCCCTACTCCACCTCCGTATGTATTCCAATGCCCCATCTCCCCGCTGACTCCCAAAGCAGGCCTCTCATGCCCCCAAGCCCATGTCATCTGCATTCCCCCTTCGATCTGTGGTATCAATAACTCGGTCTCAGGCCTCCAATCCATTCGAGCCTCCCTGATTTGCATCCTATCCCCATTCTCCGTTTCTGAGAGCCATTCTTCCAGTTGCTCGAGGCATACGAGAAGGTGTTTTTTGAGGCGGCGGAGGTCGGAATGTGAGGGTCGCTCGTACTGGGGAGATGTGGGGTTGTGGACAAGTGGAGGAATGGGTTGGTGGCGATCGGGGTTGGGATTGGAATGGGTGACCTGGTAAGAACCCAATCTCGGTCCACCATTTGCAATTTGACCGTAGTTGCCGGTTTGATGTGATCCTCTTCGTGGTTGCCACTCCCGTGGTGGGTCCTCAAGCTGGTCCTGGCGCTGTTTTTGATTTCGCCGCCGTCGTCCTCTCCGTGACATGGTTGTAGTGACCAGTTTCCATGTATGGATTGGAGTAGGTTTCATGACATGATAAGGTGATGATATATACTACATCCATGATTTGAAATTACAAAAGAAAAAGAGGCCTAGTTGTGGAAAAAGCTGGTTGTTGGTGACAGACAAAGCAAGAAACAATAGCGTTTCGGAATCTCTTTCTTAGATTGAACAAAGACGTTTCGTGCTCATATAGAAATTCGTGCATCGGTATAAGCATAGAAAGTTCTTTGCACTATAAATATTTCTTTAGACCTGGCCCGAAAGGAAGATCAATGGGAAGATTGGCTCCAGTTCCATTCTTTCAGCAACTGCTGCACGCGGTAGTCTGTGGCCCAGCCAAGATCATTTTCAACACCTCGCAAGAGTTCAAGAAGGACACGACGCTCGCGGCTATCAGTCAGACATTGACCGGCTACAAATAGCGGTTGTACTTGGTGTATCCTGACACTCCCTTCGGGTCTTCCGAGAGCGATTCCGCAGATCTCATGGCTGTGATATCGAACTTCAACTTCGATTGAACGGTATGAATGCAGGCGATTTGAAAGGGTGGAGCGGCGCGCAGTTGATTCATGGGGCTTATTGATGAGTAATATTGTTCTGGCCATGTGGTAGGACTGCATGGTTGATGCACACATTGGGATACTGTACCAGATTTCGTAGAATAATGCTCTTGCAGAGTCTGTAGGAATGCTTCCATCTGTGACTGGTGGTAGGCGGGCGCATGGTTTGAACGTATCAGGCAAGCCTTTGAGCCAAGTGTCAAGTTCTTTTTCTAATTCTTTCCATCGCTGAAGGAGCAGCATTTGATTGATGCCAATAAGTCCTGAAGGGCTTGCTGGGTCTTGAGGAAAGACGTGATCAACGGAGTCTCCGGAAGCTAGAAAGTTGATTATCTTGGACATCAAAAATATCAGAGCATTCGAAATCATGTCTTCTCGCATAACGAGCTGCCTTTCTGGAAACTGAGAGTCTTCTGTGTTGCTTGGGATAATAAGGCCATGGTCGTCGAGATGGAGACCGGCAGCTCTCCATAGTCCGATGTCATCTGTGCTGAGCCTCGTCTGACCTTCATTTATGACTGTACATCATGTCAGCAAGTTGTTCGTCAGGCAAGATTTGACAAATCTCTCACATGCTGCTAGGAAATCTTGGCGAGCAAAGTTCCAAAAGGTAGCCTTTCGACCTCTTGATGGCTTTATGCGTTCAGATAGAGCACCAGGACTTGTTGGAGACCGTACTGGCATCATGCCCTCTTTTTCCGCCATGTCAAATAGAGATTTTGTGCCACTGAGATGCCGTGCCCAAGCGGTGTTAGCATTATCCAGAAACTCGTACACACACAGAATAGAAGCGGCTGCCAATGTTTCATCAGCGTGGTTGGAAGAAGTGGCTCGCGACAAGCGACGTCTTTTATTTCCTGGAGTCCTCGGGGTGCTATGGGGTGAGGCGGTGCTTCCTTGCGGGCTGAAGGTCTCGTCTGCCGCTGTTATTGGGGTCAATGGAACGCCATCTTGATTTCCAGAATTTGAGAGCTCTTCCATCAGGAGTGATATCGCTCGATCATAATATTTTGCTCCGATGTAAGCCCAGTCCACATTTTCAGGACGAGGGTACAATTCCATGTGGCCCTGTCTACTGACATTGCCACCAACGACTGCCTTCCGTCCCCGCACACGACCGAGTTGCTTAGCAGCATATGCGCATGCGGAGTATCGAAGGAGAGGATTGGACATGGACTGGACCGGAACGTGATGCGCAAAATAACAGCCTAGGTCAAACAGATCCATCCTGATATAATTAGTAAAGTTTGACAAGTAGATCTTCCGATATTTACCATTGCCCAGTGGTTTCCCCAAAATGCCGTAGGAGGAATGCTACTTCAAAGTCTTCCACTGCCCTAACATCATTACTTTGCGGTGAGGGGTGGGACGTGATTAAAGAGGGATCGATCGGCGTTGATGCTGCATCTAGATCACATCAATGACTGCTAATTGACAATTGCCAATCGTATTCTCAACACATACCAGTAGATCTATCTGGCCCAGTTGGATTCAATATGAAATTCAGATTGTTCGAAGAATGCGGGGAGGCTGTAGCCTCGAGTGGTGAATGTGTAGGAGCTGAAAATGGTCGAATATATTGCATATTGCTTGTGGCAGCCGCAGATAGAGCCTCGAGACCTGGAGCTTGGTCATATTGCATGTGAAAGTATGGGTTCTCGGGACGTTCTTCGATTTGCGGTAAACTAACAGGTGTTGAAGCTGGACGATATTCGGGTTCCGGAGTTGGTTCCATATTGAAGGGATCCGTGATATTATGGAACGTAACTAAGTCCAATGGTCAATCCCGGTCTTATCCAACATGACTTCCCGCTGCTACCGACCTGTCTTTGGGACATCAACCCATATATTATGTTCATCGAAGGTATTTCGATACGCGTAAAATCCGCCCAGCTTTCCATTTCCGTCGTCAACCTCGCCGACTCCATTCATGGAAGCATTCTGCTGATGCCTGAACACAACCCCATCGCTGGGCTGACAATCGCGAGAACCTTTTCGACATTGGCCGCAGATTGGCTTGTTTTCATCGCACTTAAGCTTCCTGGAGCGGCAGGTCTGGCTGTTGGATCAGGGAGGCATCAGCAGCTGTCCGGCTAAGCAGTACACACACGGACGGCACAACTTGGTACTTACCATCCCGTACGAGACCTCATTGTCCCTGTATCATCTTTTGGGGTATAGAGCAGGCATAGTTCGGATCGTATGAGGTGGCAATGTACTGATGGGAAATATATGATAGGGATTTCCCCGCGTTAGGAGAGTGAGGCTGTGAGTCTAGAACTGGGACGGCGCTAGTGCTGTTTCTGGAACAATAAGTCCCATCGCAAACGACAGACAGCACTTCACTTCTTAACTTACTATACATATACACTTCGGCAGAATATAAGAGAGTCAATAGGTTCAGATACAAATGTGAGTCTATTCCGTAGGAATTTATTTCTCATAGTCTGCATTGGGCAAGAGATTATCTTTTCATGTGACAACTGCAAGGTGAGCTGGTCACTACTCTTTTTGTATCATTCCACAGAACCTCCTACGGTGGTCCCAAGATATTGGGCTCCTTATGATCCACAATGGAGAGGATACTCGAGGAGGTATAGGTAAACATTTAGCTTTATAGGAGTTTGCCCCATTGTTTTTCACTCATACGTGCCGGATCTTCTTCCCCTTTGCCGTCTACTCACCGCCTCGAGTCCGTGCGAGACGCGTATGTGCGTGATGCAGACGCGATGAGGGGTTCTATACAGTAGTAAAGAAATGATTTCCTTCCCCACTCTCCAATATGAGTATGAGTTGCAAACCCTCCCTGCCTTCTTGAAGATTCTCTTCAACGACCAGCCATGAAGTCCATCTCGCAGTGTAGGGCACTCAATGTGTCTGATGAGAAGCGCTGTGAAGAGACTGCAACATCAGTAAATGGCATGTTCTGTGGCTTTCACTCTAAGCAATGTCAAGGTATATCTACAGCTCTAGAACCTGTTTATAACTATCATACTGACTAGTTCCCATCAGGTCTCTATCGTGGATACAAAAGACGAAACGAGAAGCTCGACAGGCTCAATGCCTCCCCACCTGAATTTCTAGCCAAATCCTCAATAGCCCTGTCAGCCCAGGATTTCGAGGATGTCGAATCGAAAGAAGTTTGCCATGAGATCCACAAGTACCTCTTTATGAAGTTGCAGCTGCTTGATCGTGTTATCAGGGCAAGAAAACTGCACCACAGTCGGTTTTTTTCTTTGGACATGGACTACGGGCACTCTAAGTATCTTGATTCTCTACTTAGCCAGAAAGCAACAATTACTTCTACACTAGAGCGACTTGAGCGCCGAACAGCCGAGGCAAAACTCCTCCAATTATTATTCTATGACTATCTAACATGATTACAGGTTCTTTACAAACATGAGCAATGGTTCAAGTGGGTACGGGAATGCCAAAACGAAGAGGAAGAGAGCAGGGAGAAAGAGCAACAGAAGGTCAAGAAGGAAGCTGCCCTCTTCAAACGCCATTGGAAGGCAGCCCAACACCGAATGAGAGACTTCAAGGCAAAGGAAGACATGAAGAGACAAGATGCATACCTCGAGAAGGTTTACAAGGAGAGATTGGTCGAGCAGGAGACCGAGGACGAAGATTTCGATGACATAGACTGGGATCCTATCGAGGATGTTTTAGAGGACAATCGTGGTAATTTTGTGGGTACGTTAATTATTTCCTGCTTGACAACGCTTTAATTTTATGTGTTTGGGGCAACTCGGAACATAAACTGACACATTGAAGATCTCATTCAGCATTTCCTCTGGATGTCTGTCATGGAGGACGGCAATGATGCTAACGAGAAGGAAGATGTGGAAATGTCCAATGCTTCGGCGTCGGCCTCAACTACTTCCCCTGCCAAGATCCCGACTCCAGCTAAAGAGCCCAAAGTGATTGCTCCCAGGAAAATGGTAGCAGCTCCCACGAAGAAAGCCAAAGCCAAAGCTCTAAAGAATAAGGCGGCGGGCAAAGCATCCGTAAAAGACACGCCTCCCCCGAAGCCGCAACCTGTACAAGAACCAGACCTTGACAAGGATCTCATCGAAACCCAGGCAGAGATGCACAGTAGACTGAAGCATGGCAGCGAGTACAATCACGGCAAGATCGCGGGCGTAATGGTAGCTGGTACTGTGGAGAATCCGATAATTCAAACAAAAACAATTACGTTTCCTGAAGACGAGATACAACAATTGCTTGTTCAAGTATCCGACATCAAATACTTGCTGTTCTGCCGACTTTTACTTGGACATGCTACCCTGCTCCCTGCTGCGCTCCGAGCCAATACCGTCGACGAGTTCCTGGCCGATGAAGAAGTCTCTACTTCTGCTCTACGAGATATTTGTTTGAAGATGGAGCGTCCTGGCTTGCAAGAAATTCGCGATGCCTGCGCAGATCTCTTTCGGTCCGACGAAGACGAAGACGAAGATGAGATCATCAAGGCGCGAACGGCAGACGGGGCCCATAAGGATTCCGAATACGCCGATATTTTGAAGAAGAAAATATGGAAAGCCAAGAAGCGAGCTGGTGCTCTACCCGAGAAATGGATTTCAGAACGCCAGAAAGCCAAGCAAGGTTTGGGCAGCATGTTACCTCCGGAGGGGAACGGTGCAATCGATTTTGGTCCAAGTAATGCGGGAGACGAGCCCTCGGAAAAGATCCGTGTGAAGATCTGCGGCCGTTATATATGGAATTACCCGTCAGATAAGGCTATGAATCGCGGTGGATGGTTACAATTCTGCATTCTGGCTAAAGACAGCCGGCTGCACGATGCCGTTGCACTTTGTAGACATTGGGACGAATTCTTTGAGCTGAATATCTTGGCTTCTTGGCAATACTTTCCAGCAGCAAACTGGGCTGAATGGGTGGGAAGTCGATATAGACAACAGATGCTTCAGCTTGTAAGTTTTGAAAAGTCACATGTTTCTACAAAGCTTTCTTCTCTCCGCCCTGCGCATCTCTAAATAATGGATCTGCGCCGAGTGACACCAAAGAGACGACAAAGGACAACCTCGCGAAGTTTTAAGTAACAAGAGATGGGCTTTGAGACCTATTACTTAGGCACGGCAATTCTTGACTGTCCAAAGTCTATCAAACCTTGCCGGTTAATACACCATCTCTGGCCTTTGGCATATATACCTGAAATTTACCATTGTGCTAACAATTTTTATCTAGGGATTCATCATGTACTTTGAGAGCACGAGCCCTGATGCAATGGACCTGACTGTCCGTCACCAAACGTCAGGGCGCGGACAAAATCGACAATCTCATGCGCATTTTGAGGCCCGAAATTTCATATGTGCCCATGTCAAGCGTGACCAAGTCAGTCGTCGGTTGGTGCAATACCTTGCTATGCAAACACACAATATACTTATGCTTGTACGAGATGCAGAGAGTGGAAAACTCCTGATCACACCCCCAGAAGACGAGAGATGGCTGTTACGCGAAAAGAGTGGACTTGGGCGAGCCGTTAAAAATGAGTGGAACGTGATCAAAAGCATTGGGCCCCAGTTTTTTGAGGAAATGGACCGACACCGAGAATGGCACTTTTCTTTCAATGAGTACTACGATGTCTATGTCTGGGACGTTGCCGCTGGAGAGCGCTTTGCACATTTGTATAACCTTGTTCAAAATGTAAGGATTTTACCTCTTCCTCATTTGCATTGCTAACATCGCACAGACTATCATCAAGGCTCATCGCTGCCGATCGGGTGTAGACCTGTACCGCCCCGCAGAGTCGATCCTCAGAACGTTATATCACGACGAAGAGACTCATCGTCCGCGTGAAATAAAGCCCGAAGATAAAGGGAAGGTCCAGAGCATCTGGGAGGGACTCAATTCCGAGGGAACAAAGTTTCTCTTCACTGAAGTTGAAGAGAAAAACCGCCGACTTTTGGCTCATCAAAAGGGGAAATCGTTGACCGACTTACCACAGCTACAACACGCGGAACCTCACCGCAATCTTTTCTATAATGATACAGATGCTCTTGAAGATGCAGTATTGTTCCCTGAGGAGCTTTCAACCGCAAGCATTAATCCACTTGAGATTGGAAGAATTGAGCCAATCAGGAAGTGGGAAGATGATGGTTTTTCTCTTGCAAGGTTCGTAGAGGGCATGGATCTCGTGGACTCTGATGAAGAGGAGATGGAGGCTACCATGGACGAAGAGGCAGGATTAACGGATGGTGAAAGCTCGGAAGAAAGTAGCATCGCCTCTTCAGAAGCTTGGGATGATCTGGATGACGATGATGATGGGGATGAGATTGACGAGGATTCTTCAACAAATGCCACCATGCGGAAACTGTTCAGGGTCATGCAAAAGAACCCAAATCCAAGTAGAGCAGTTGCGGAAGATCCTGCAGGTATTGAGGCAGAGTTCATGTCCTTTCTGGACCGAGAAGGCTAGAAGTAAGTCTCACATCTTAAGATATAGAACCAAGACTAATAATTCATAGTCTTCAAAGAAGTCTGGCATAACGCCGATCTTGAACCTCACGCCCAAGTTCACTATAAACAAATGCTTGAGATGACCAAAAAATCTCGTACCTTCATCAAGAAACTCAACGTTCCCTCACACCCAATAAACCGGCTCGCCATAGACCTCATTGACGTTCTTGACATCGAAACAGATGACACAAAAGACCTGAACAAAGCCATCGCCTTAATCACACCTTTCTTCTTCCCCGACTTCCTCGACTCAAAGAAAGGCCTGAAATTTAAGAACTCGCCTCTCTTCCACCAAGTCGAACGCGCGAAGCATCCCCCAACATGTCGCTCTCATGTTTCGAACAAGTATCTACCAAAGGAGTTCTTCGATGTGTTGGATGCTTGCGGGATGAACATGGAGCCCGAAGAAGATATTTTAGACGCCTTCCCCACAGACTGGGACAAGACCGTCCGTCCCATCATCGCGCGCCGTAAGCCCCTTTCCCCCTCCACTCCACCCCAACCCTGAATTAACAATAGCCCACCCCAGTCTACAAATCCGGCGTCCTCCGCACTCGCGCCGACCCATACTTTGCCGGCCAAGCAACTTCCAATACCTCACCCAACCGCGAAACCCCAGATCTATTCATCGACTATCGCATCCAAATCCCCACCGTCACCATGCCCCCCGGGATACAAGACCCATACGGCGTCCCCTCATTCCGCGCCTTCGCCTCCAACTTCATCGAAAAACACCCCTCCGCCCGCTTCTCCATTCTCACTTTGTGGTCAGCACCACACTTCTACCCCCTGATGATAGGCCCGCATAACCACGACGCGACAGCCTTCCGCGATCTAATCGGCCGCCGCTTTATCTGGATGTTCGTACCGAAAGACATGCCGTGCAGTGAGTGGAGCATACATACGAGCGCGCGCAATAGGATATTGCCATGGAAAAAGTCTTTTGGAAAGAAGGTAGTGGTGAAGAGGGATAAGTTTCTCGTGATGGGCGAGACGGAGGAGGAGTGTAGGCGATTGACGGTAGCGTGTGCGTTTGCGATACAGATGCGACCAGTAAGTAGGCTCCTTTTCTTGTTATCGGGAGTGGTTCCTCATTTTAATTCTTGTTTATTTGTGTATTTACGAGGTAGAGTATTGGCTAGTAATAACTAATATGTTTATAGTGGAGATGGGAGGTCGATCTTTGGAAGAGTTTTGTTGGGGTTGATGCTGGTTTTGTGGAGGGATTGGATGATGCGTGGTTGGACTGAGTAGATACCCCTGCAGATAAAGGGCATTGCATGTTTTAAATAACCTGTATGTACGTCTTTCGAGTCTCGATTTAGACTGTTTTGGCGTTAAAGTCAAAAAGCCATCTAGTTGGATTCATTCCCAAGTCAAATAATGTCTAGTGAGCTGTGCGAATCACAGCTTCAACGAATGTTTTGTTTTCACTTCACGCCGCTTCAGGTGTTGTAATAACTTTTGATTTTCTGACTTATCTATCTATTACAATGAACCAAATCGCGCTTTTTATTCTGTCGCTCGTTCGCCTGATGCCAGCAGGGTATAGGTATTTGTAGCAATCAAAACTCACGCCCGGAAATCCTAAATCAACCCATCAATGCACCCAATGAACTATCAACTCCAACTCCCCCCACCCTCCCCACGCTGTTCGAAAATCTCAAATCCATACTAAGGCGCTCTACCAGTGAATCAAACCAAATGCTCAACGCTTAACGCGTGAGAGAAAAAGCCCGCCAGCACGCGCAGTGAAGCAAATACATCCATCTATCGACCCATATGATCCAACGCCTGCATTCCCTCATCCCAACTTCCCATCCCCAGCCCCTCGAATCCCCCCATCCCTCCAATTTCACCTCCACCTCCACTTTCACCTTCATGTCCTCCAACGCTTCCCACGCCTGCTACGCCAGCAAACCCCAAAACGCCACCTATCTTCCCAAACGTCTCTTCCATGACCTTCTTAACCCCACTAAACCCCCCCTTCCCCCCCTTCCCCTCTTCACCCTTCTCAACCAACTCCTCTTCCGCCGCGCGAACAAGGCCATCGATGCCGAGGAGCATAGCTTTCACCATGCGCTGCACGAGGTCCTTCGCTTCTTGCTGGTTTGTATCCCTCTCGTTTCCCTGTGTCTCTGCTCCTACTTCTGCTTCGGCTTCGGCTACAGACATGTGGCTGCCGTCTAGTGGTGTGAAGAGCGGGGTGGGGGAAGAAGGCTGGGCACTTGCGGTATCTGCATCATCGGAAGTCTGGAGGAGACGGAGCGAGTACTGGGCAGAGAGGAGGTTCGCCATACAGTCGTCGACGTCTAGCTGCTTGAGGCCTTTTTCGATCTCTGTATGTGGCAAGCGCAGCAGCTTGGGATGGGTGAAAGATTCCGGTGACCGTGTGGTACTACCTTGTGAGAGCTCGTTGCTCAAGAAGCGGGAGAGGGGTATAGAGTCTGCTTCTGCTTCGAGGGCTGGGAGGAGGGGGCGGTGGGGGATTAAGGATTGCTGTCGTCGGTGGGTGGAGGTGTTGTGTGAGTATTGGTTTTGACCCTGGCTTGTTGATCGAGGCTGGGAACTCACGGACAAGGTCCTGCGAGGGGGAGCTGAAGGCCAGATGGGCTCGGGGAGGTCGGAGGCGGGCGATTTGAGAGCCTGGGGCCTGGGTGTGAGAGTGGTCCTGCGTCGTGGGGCGGGGGCATTGGAGGTGCGTCTTGGGAGTGATGATCTAGCCGGTGTAGGCGCCGAGGCTTTGGATAGCTTGCTGTTCCTTGGGCTGGGCGTGTTGGGGTTGGACTGCGAGAGTGTTCGCTTGCGCGCTGCGGTAGCCAATTCAGGGGTTGGTAGTTGGTTCGGACTGGCTTGGTATTGCTGTGATGGAGCTGGGGATGGGGGATTATAACCGTTTGGGCGATATTGAGAAACCGCTGCTGGAGGGAATGATGGGAGTATATGCTGGTGAGGCATGTATTCGCCATAGGAAGTGCTAGAATGCGGATTTGCAAGATGAGTGACGCCGTACACAGGGTGGTTGACATGGTGTCTGCTTTCCAGGAGTGGCGATGAGAAGCTATGGTCCTGAGTATGGCCGGTCTGGTAAGCGGCTGGATATTGGGCGTGCTGGTAAGAGGAGTAATTGAGAGGTTCATGAAGTTCCACATTCATATCTCCGTTCATGTCTCGTAGAGAAGTACTCTGCGTTGAGTTATCTTGAATAGCAAGGTGGTTTGGCATCGGGCTAAAGTGATAGTCTGCATTGGTTTGGACGTTGGAAAAAGAGTTTGGGGGTTGAAACATATTCACAGATAGACCGCTCTCTCGATTCATACCGAAGTCCAGGTGGTGAGGAACCGCCTCGCCCATTGCATTTCCAAAAGCACCCGAATGTGTATCAATGCTATTATTGTAATTGTTGGTGCGTACATTGCCAGTCGTGGTGTTGAAATCCTCATGTCCATGTGCAGTGTTATCGAAAGTGGTAACCCTTGGATCGAATTCAGGAAAGGGCTCTTTCACTCGGGAATTCTTCCTGCGCTGGGCGGGCTGCTTCTGCTTTGGTGTGAATTTTGGCCAACTTTCGACTGACTCCTTCAATGTCACATTCTGATTATACTTTCTTTTAAGCTGCGCGATTTGTTCCAAGAGAGCCTCACAATCAACTGGCGCTGCCATGTTGTCTTGAGGACGTCGCGCTGCATGTGTTGCCGCTTCTCGTGAAACAGCTTGTGTCTTCCCTCTCATCGTCTCTGTGTTTGATGGAATTCTTGGACCTTCGTTGCCGCGCTCCCTTTGACCTTTCATATCTTGCAGGTCGCCTGGTTTTCGACTTACGTTCAACTTCAGCTTGACTGGCGTTGTTTTTGTTGATCTGGCCATTGTGAAGATACCAAAGTCCCTGGATCCAAACAAGAAAGCAAAGAAACGAATTTGTCTGGAAGTATGTTGCAATTCCGAAATGTTATATTTTGTTGTTGTTGGATGAGAGAAGAGCAAGACATGGAGAAGACGCCCTCGTGATGGAGCTGAATCAGTGGGGCTGGCTGTAACAGTAAACAGCACATTCAATCTACGTAGCCGGCATCGGAGATACCGAGAAGCACGCCCATGTCATATTCACCTTTCTTTTGATCAAAAGGCTGTTCACTCACTTTTTGTTTCTAATTATGACCACGCCTAGATATCATCAAGGGCATTCTACATAAAGAGCCACCTATGTCGGGTCTGGAACATGCTCCTCGACTTCTGCTAATGCAACAGCGGAGTGAATAACAGATATCAACTACTACTTGTCTCGCAGCTATTATGCGTTTGAGTATTGAAAGATAGGTAACGAAGATACTTCAATTGAGGCATCAAGTAATCTTACGTACCTACCTAGGTGCCTACATTTCCCTAGTTCCTCGCTTAAAAAGGGGTATAGTAATCCTTCAAAGAAGAGAAACTCCTACCTACCTACGATACCTAGATAGATGCGCAGTGGAGGTCAGGACTCTAAAGATTTAAAGAATTAAAAGTCATGGTTGCTTTGACTAATGATAATCCGTTTAGTGAGACTAGAACTGAGATTAGACATGCCAACGGTGAATATTAGATCACGTGCCATGGAAGCGGACATGTGACTGGTTATTGAATGGTAGCTTTGAATTCTCATTGGGACATCATCAATTGTGATATCGTGAGGGTTTTTGGAACCATCGGTTTCAAATCATGCCCCTTTTCAAATCCAACCGCCCGGCTCGATTGTTTGACAGGCGATTCGAGACAACACCTTATTGATTACAGGCAACGCAGCAGATAGACGACACTGGCATTACTTCCGAAACAATGACCGAGATGGTGATCTCAAATAATTCCGATCTTTCATCATTTTTTTGAATTATAGTATAGCCAAGCACTAAGCTAGCTCAGTATACATTATTTCGTTCGTAACCTCGCGATCGAGCCTTTTGTCTCTTTCAATGCCATTAAGCATTAATCATTACAGCCAAACCTCCATCTGCTCCATCCTATTTTCCATTTTTCAAGCCAAATGAAAAGAAACTATAACTTCAGTAAAAACAAGGGGTATTGACATCACACATTTGAGGTAAAAACCCAAGTCGTAAATCATCAAAAGATGTGACGGAGCACCGGCTCCTGCTAAAACGCCTTGCTAAATCCTTTACCATATCACCTCTACCCCGACTTGACCGTACCATACGAGATTTTGAACCGAATTGACACCCCAAGACCCATACCACATGTGATTGTAACAGCGGATCAGAAAGAGTTTGAATCATTTTTTCGAGCCTGGAGTTCCGTCTCGTAGGTATCAATTAGTAAAGACTTGCTGATGGAACGACGGCTCGATTTACGCCTTTCGGCGCCGTGGTGTTCGCGATCATTGTCGACTACAAAGCGAGCGACATTGCTGGTGCCAAAGCAGCGGCAGCCGCAGAAAGCAGCCCAGAACTCCCTGCAAGGCTGTAAACTAGTCGTCGCGTAGATGATGCAGTTCCAGAAGCCTTGTAGTGGGAGGACGAGCGCAGAGGCATATTCGAGCGGGAGTGAAATTTCGTTGGGGTGGATGGTTGAGTAGACACGGTTGGCAGATGAGGGGATCCAGGTGACCATCATGGCGATAAAGAAAAGCATGGAAACCTTAGTGTAGGACCAGATCGCGGTGTTGGATTCATTCGAGGTATGATTTCGTGATGGTGCATTTGCAGGTTGTGGAACCGAAATGGGAACGGTCGAGGTCGCTGAGATAATACTATCATCGTGCTTTTCGATGGAAGACCAGCGGCTGGGATTGGGACTGCTCCGATTTGCACCGGAAACACCAACAGTGACTGTGTTCTCGGCTTTTATTACCGGATATCGCATTTCGGTGGTAGGCTGGTTGAGGTGAGAAACAGGGTCGTCGGTAGGGCTAGCATTCTCATAATTGACAGAGATCTGGGTGATTTGCCGGATACCCTTTCCGGTGAAAGTAGGGTGATCATCCGGGATAAGAGGTGATGGCTGAGTTTGTTGTGGGGGATCGGTGGTGGGGAAGTTGCGCAGTTCTTGTCTCTTGATCCAGATGTCCCTCCCAGCACGGAGATATATGCATATCGTTAAAATGATGACCGCCCTGGAGTTCATCAATATCAAAGCACAAGTAAGTAGAAGCGGAAAGGTTGATTTACCAGACTGGTGCATAGAACAGAGCAATACGAAATTTGTCCCACTTAGTGGCAACCCAACACCAAAGCGTGGCATTGCCGTACATGCGGCCATTTTCTTCAGTGCGGACTACAAGGTAAACAGCAGCTGGGATCAGAGGAATGCCATAGCAGAAGAGGAAGTACCACTTTTCCAATCGGCGAAGCTGGTAGGCACCGAAGTGGTGGTAGAAGGTGAGATAGACATTGCATGCCATCGCGAACGTCCAGTATGCATCAGCTGGCATGAACCTGAGGACAAATGTCAGTACGAGCTCAAATAGGCACGATCGATAGCAAATTACATTTGAATCAGGAATCCCTGTAACTGGCACAGATGACCATCGCTATGGACTAACGCCTCTCTCGAAATCAAGGTTGCGATATTGGTGAAGGTATTCCCGATGGAGGCGAAGACGACAAGTCTGTTGATGGGCTTGTGGAAGGCCGTTGACGTGCAGTACGTGACTAGAATGAAGCAGATTCCAACGAGAGAGAAAGAAGATGCAATTCGCTCAAGCATGTTGAAGTAGGCAAGATGACGTTCGGTCACATCACTGACACGCATTTTGACTGGAAGCAGTGCGCGTGTGAATACGGCAGAGTTTATATATACCGTGTGGGTGTGGATGAGGATAGGAACCTGGACTCTTCTCAGAGATATTCCTGAAGGAGCCAGTTTTGGAAATGAGGATGTTGATGTTGAAGGCTGGTATGTGGAGCCGAGTTAAGGTGGTTTGTGAGAGACGAGGTTGCTTATGACAGACGGAGTTGTAAAGTTTTATATTTAGAGGTCTCGCCAGTGCGAGCGCTAGAGACTTTTCTGGAAAGCGGTGACCTGCGACAGTGAATCTTCTTTAGGCGATGTTGAGGTTTTTGATATCGTCTGGATGTTCGCTGGAGAAAATCGAGGGGGAGAATCTTCGATGAGTCGGCAGCATCCGTCCACAAAATATCCATGAACCCCAAGAACAGTCCATCCGCAACCCACATCCGATGTCAAAGGAGGAACGAAAAAGTCTGAAAGCGACTGGGGATCTGGGGAAAATGAAGGTTTTAGCCCTCCTCTTTCCGATCCCCTGCAAGTCATGCCCTGCCACTCTAGGACCATTAGGATGTGGAGTAGGATTTGTGATTGATACCGGCACAGAAGAAGCGATTATATGGAACACGAGATAGTGAGGCTTTTGGGTCAATATTGTGTTTGTCGCAGGTCTTATGCGGGCTTAGGATTGTCTGCATGTCGAACACCTGTTGCAACGAGCACCTCGCAGGGTCCTTAATTGAGCAGAACGGGGGCGAGAGAAGGAACAGACGGGACAATAAAGGTTGGGATGAGATAACAACGAAAAGAGCAGAGTCCTGACTAACATGCTCAGCAGGTGCAATAGAGAAAATCGAGGAGTCTCGACTAAGTCCACAATAGGCTACAAGCAGGGGCCAAGCAGCAGGCATCCTGGACACGGAAGATAATAGGGAGGGTCGCAGCATATGCTGAGGGATGATCTCGTGGGGTTGACTAGACAAGGGTTTTGATGGCCAGGGAGATCTGGGGAATTATGCGGTTGGGTATTTGGTTTGACAGACATACGAGCCGGCCATGCTCGAAGCAAATCATTGTTCAGTGGTGGATGGCATCTGGAAGGCATCTTAGCCACACAAATAGACTTAACAAAACGACTGCCCGGTGTTCCTCAGCATGCGAGTGGAAAGCTGTGACACCACACCTCGGGTAACTCCCGAACTTGTACTATACAGCAGAAAGCTTCCTTGGCCGTCCTGGACAGACGTCAGCCAACAATATAAGTTGTCAATGGACCGAGAGCACTACAGCATGCATGGATGATGTACAATCTTGGACTCAATCGTGGGAGCCATTCATTTGGGGGTACTCAAAGCCTGGTATCCATTGGTACAAATGGGACACCTTGATAGTGGCGGGGCGGGACATTAGGCTTGGGCAAGTGGCTACAACGCTCGCGGGAATAGGAATCGATCGAAGTCAACAGGACTCAGGGGGGTTCCAGAATGATGACAGACAGACGAATGTTAGAATATCTTGGCTCTTCATTGACAACAAGACATTGCTTTTGAAAAGCGTGGCCAGGAGCCACGAAGCGGTTAAGGTTGCATTTCCTGCCGTTCTTGTCGCTGGCAGGAGCACCACAACAGCGATGAATTGGACTTAATGTCTCAAACCAAGACCTCGAACCAATCTCAATTCCACGATCTGGAGAGAAATACTTTGGTAGATTCTGAGGTTTGATGTATCCGGGCCAGGTCAGACAGAAGATATTTTCGGCCCACTGCGACCTGCACGGAGGGGGATCTCTAGGCGCAAGCACCCCAGATCCCCAATGCAAACTAACCCCTGAAGGTTTGACTTTTGCAGAAAACCTGATATTCTTTCCTAGCTTCTCTACCTTTGGAACTTTGATTCGCAAACCGAATCCCAATATACAGGTAAGAAATAACACCACTTTGACAGGGCGGCGCAAGAAACCAAACTGCGTCAACAAATACATGCAGATAACTCGTATCTTGCCATACGGTCTAGTCCCAAAGATCTGAGGTTAAACCTGCTTTATATCTGTACTTCGTACCAGCGAAGAATTTCAGCAGCCCAATCCTGCATTATCGAGCCGGGGAATCAGATCTAAGAAGGACTTGGAACCTGGCCGTTGCTCTCCGCAGCACGACGTACGACATACTCCGCATATCAGCCAGTCACGAATGCCGTGTCCCTGATCTCGATACACAATGGGCACTGGATGTTACTGTTTAAATCTTACCTGCAAATACGATGGCTGTATTGGCTTAACTTCCACATCAATTTAGATCAGAAAGAGTAATCTTTTTCACTACGATGTCAGGTCTCAATTATGTTTATTTCGCGACTAGGTTTGAAGATCGTCCGCCACGACTTTCCCGTCCCAACACGGTCTTGTATCGAATCAGATTGGTCGATCGCTTGCTTCCATAGATCAAACAAAGAATTAAGCCCTCATGATATAGTCATATGCATATGTAGTGTCCCAATATTTATTCTTGCATCCGTTGCTTCTTACCTTCCACATCGACAGCGCGAAGTGTATCCGCAGCCTTCTATTTCGCAAGATGAGGCTCTCATTACACTTTCGATTGGCTGCACGCCCATGAAGTCAGCGATGACTTCGTCTGACAACGACCCAAATTCGGAGTTTAGCCAATCTAGTATCCCCAATGATGACTTGGTGTGTAACACAAGAACAATCTACCGAACTCAAATTACATCTTACAACCATGATGCTGGCGGTGTTAAATGAATTGCAGTAGAGCCAATAAGGCATTTCAATTTGACGCTTCAACTGAAACGAACAGCTACAACTTCTTCACCCCACCATACACCCGTCGACCAACCCCAATCACTTTAGATTAGAATCCTAGCGTACAGTTGCATGTGAAAGCCACCCAGGGCCTTGGATTCTGAGTGTCAACAGCCTATATCCAAGTATGAATTGCTAGTGTACAAGGCATCTAGCTCTTACCTTGATCTACTAACCAGAGCCTCGCAGTTATTTACAGCACCCCGCATGCTTCCTCTATGTCTGATATACGGATCCAAACATCACCTTGTTTTGGAAATCAATTACCTTGGTACAATCTCCAGATTTTTTATAATTCGAACATTTGTGCCCAGTTGCGTTACACTGCAATTATATATCAAAGCTGCAGTCTCCTTAGCAACTCTAAGTGGTTGGAGCATCCCAGCAATTTCCTGGGGAAGTGGAGACAGTATTCAGAAGAGATAGGGGAAGGATTCTTATCCCTTTTTGAGGATTTTGATGATAGCAATCTTACAAACAGGGAGAAACGGGGTTTAAAATTTGATTTGATCGCTATTCGGAGAATATTTCAAAACTCAAAATCGCCTGCCACATTCCTCACGCCTCAAGCCCGTGGTCAGCACCTCGATAGCGTAGCAGCTGGTGAGCCCCAGACATTTTTAAGGTAATCCCCGCAAAAACTCATTGTAAGAGCCGCATGGTAGTGGAGGTCTGCTTCCCATCAATCATCAATCACATGATTCGATGAAGTCCCCTGACTCGAGCTCAAGTCTGAGCTTGATCATGCGATTCGAGCTGCAGTCACTCTCACAACTGGCTTCTAGATCTGGGCACGCGGGGTAATAAGTGTAGAGGCTTATCGAAAGGCGCGAAAACCCCTCACTGGAAATATACGGTGTTTTATATGTCTGTGATAGACAAGTTATGCAGATTTGACACTCCTAGGCAAGCAACGTCACCTGCCTATTGAATGTTATACATCTCGTCTTCCATTGCTTCATGTCTAAATTTACTCTCTGCCGCTTTGCACTAGAGACTCTTGAGTGTTGGAACTCAGCCAAGTTTGCGGGTTCGTAGCCTACTAGTAGTTGACAGTTGTGTAGAAAGCCACATGGGTACAGCAATACGGCTCCAGCTTTCAGTACCTTTATATGCAAATCAGAACATTACTTTTTAACCAGATGACCCACTCTGGTCACGATTTATTTGCCGATTAGGCTTTCATACCTTGAATCCGATTTTGACTATAAATTCAGAGGAACCTTTATACACCCATTTTGACCAAGGCTATTATATTATGCGATTAGGTGCTTCAGCATATGTGGAGTTATAGATAGATCCACTTCTAATGCTAGGGTGTGAAGTCCCTATTTAACTTGAAGTGATTACTTTCGAATTTTATTATCACAATGTATATTGTTACAAGGATTCTAAATCTCGACGCATTCACTTCTTCCGTGGATTTAGAGCACGTTCATGTTTTCAATAGACATGAAGAGCAAATCCTCGCCTCGCTACTAGTACAGCACTTTGAAGATGAGGAAGGCTTGACCCCGCAATCCGGAAACTTATCCATAAGCTTCTCAATAAGCTTTAACCACAAGTTAAGGAGGCGCATACAAGTGAAGAAGGCAAAAAGCTCGCGGGGAAATGGAACAGAGCAAGAAAAGGATGGGGGAACGCTAGCGACTAGAAAGTTGCAGTCTAAAGACTAAGCAAGTAAAGATAAAAAAACTTAAAATTTTAAAAAGGGATATAGAAATCCTTAGCACTTAGCAAAAGCTAGTGTAATGGGGAGGATTAGTCAGCACATATTACGGACCTGCCTCTATATAAGACCTTCCAGTCGGAGGCATTCTAGCAGTAACCAATTCACATACCTTTTCTTCGAAATATCTTTTGTGACCATTCCCTATTATGCCTACGTGAATATTACGATAAAACCGCCAATTCTTGGGGATGCGATATACTCCATGTCAGCACCTTTACACTAGAGATAGTGTAAGGCTCTTATAAGCATAAAGTCATAGAAAAATAATAGTAAGGAATCTAAGGAGGAAGATGAAATTGAAAATGATAGGAATGCAAGCAAGAAGTGTGTATTAATAGAGAGAATCTGAGAGATAGAGAGGACGGCAAACTAGAATCTAAAGAAGTAGAGAAAGATTACCAATCAAAAAGTACTTTTACGCTCTAGCAGATCCGCGAATTAATTATAGATGCGAAGGAAGAGATGCTGTTT